CTGATTTACAAGTAAGCATTCCTTTGGAAAAGCAGTCCTATTCTGTTTTCAAGATATTTTAAAGCCTCAATTTCATACAATGCGCAGATCTATTCGAAATTGCAAGAACTCTCAAGAAAAATGCAGCAGCAAAGAAGATTCCATAGTTTCTAGCATCAAAAATTTACAACCTTAATACAACAGTTAAAGAGAAGCTCGAAAAGAAAATATTTAACCATAAAGCTGGAAACCATTCGATATCTACTATTGGATCTAATAAAAAGTTAATTATAACATATTTAACATGCTATTTGTTGACTTTGTTCCATTATATTACCATATATACCTTTTTGAAATCTAAAATATTTTTACAATTTTAACCATGTGTTGTTGAAACCATATATCAATCTTAGCTAAAGTATAGTTTATGAGTCTGTCACCATCTAACGTATGAATTTTCAAAAATGTCAAATATGTTCATTTTTTCTGTAGATTCAGCCATAATTTCACGTTGTTATACTATTCAACTATTATTTAATATTTTTATCGATTTAAATATATGATGAGATGCTTAGTTCTCCTGGAAATCGATTTTTAATCGCAATTTTAACTTTCCAAAAAAAATTCAAAAATAAAAATCCCTCTCAATTTTCTAAGTTTTATAACTCGCCAAATCTCTAGCCAAATTTTTTTGGCCCGTATAAATATTGTTTGGCACTATATAGGGATGCTATTTATCATATTTTCATCCCATTTTACTGTTATCGCCTAGTGAATGTACCTTTGTTAGAAAAAATATACAACTAAAATGTCAGTTTTAAAAAATTTAAAAATTATATTAAAACAATAGTCATTGAGGATGGTTAATTGCAAAAACTCAAGAAACTATCATTATCTCTCTTTGCTTAACACATCTACAACTGGAAACATCATTCCAAATGAAGTTCCTCAGTCTCGTCAAAATTTCTCTCTCATCTACAACAAGCTTAACTCAAAACTCAAGAAACTATCATTATCTCTCTTTGCTTAACACATCTACAACTGGAAACATCATTCCAAATGTTGCATTCAAGAATCCTATTATTATTCTTTCTTTCAATCTTTTATATTTACTCTTTAAATTCTAATATAATATAAATTCTTCATTTCCTTTGTTTAAACTTTTTTCATTTTAATACCATTTTATCAGATAGTAATTTTTGTTTTTCTCTGACCAAAAATCTTCTCAATTTAACTCCACCTTCACAAAAATTCATTGAGTTCTCTCAAAATTCTTGTATTTTTGGTATACTTAAAGTATCATCTTCAAATATTTTTTTGGAGAAAATTGACTTTGCATAATATCGTAATACTTTTTAAGGCAGATAGATTTACCGTAAGTTGAAGAACTTTTAATTTGAACAGAAATTATTCAACAAATATTCTTTTTATTTGATCAAGATACGTATACCAATATGATCTACTTGCTAGGGATATGTAGATCACGTTCAGAATTTGCCAAGTTTGGTGAATATCTATGGGATTAGGGACATCTATTTAATTTAAGAACTAAAAATTAGCATAGGCGTATTATGCTGTTACTGAAATATATTTTGGATGTATAAATTTTTACTTAATACTCTTTTATTGTTATCATTTTTAAAGATTTTTTATTATGAGCAAAAAAATGGCAAGACAATAATATATTGTACATGCAATTTATTATTACTGAATAAATTTATCAATCAAATTTGATCACATACAATTTTTACAGATAAATACATTATCTCAAAAAATATCTATATATTAGTATATGTTACACGAAATGTAATAAAATGTATTACTTTGGTTTATCAATTTATAAATAAGAATGAAAATTTGTTATAGCTTTGTTCCAATATTTATTTTTATATATTTAAGTTATCCATTTTACTGTTTTCATTCATATTTATAACAAAATTAGAGTCCTTACATTATTTATCTTATTTCAATAGTGATAAAAATCAACTATATTTTGTAAGATCTTAAAAAGTGACAAAAATGGAAAACTACATTAAATTTATTTATAAGGATACAAAATTATATGTCATTCCACCAAGAGCGGTTAAAGCATTAACACTTTATTTATATATATCTCACAAGCTAAGTTTACCTCTAAACACATTCGAATTAACAACAAATAACTACATCATACTGGGATTTATTCCTTATTCATCTAGTTATTATAAGATTTACAACCCCATGAAAATTTAAAATTTTGTCAAAAATAGTGAATGTACCTTTTTTCTAACACAACTATCAATAAATTGTAATATCATTATACTATATATTAATATGAATTTTTATAGAAAAGCTTTATTTTTTTCTCAATTTTTAATTTCATTTCAGTCTCTAAACTTTCTTACTATGTAAAAACGTATTATTATAGTAATAAAATAAAATACATGTTTATTCGATCTCGTATTTCAAAAAAATAAAATTACTTATATAAAAAGATTCTCTTTAGTCAACTTTCTTTTTGAATCTCTAATAAGTTTTTACTGTTGCTTCTATATATTAAGTATTGATTCTTGTAGTAAAGAAAATCCGGAACGTTTATTTATTAGAATACTCGAACTTTGACTTACATATTACTAATTGTAATTATTTTCAAGAGCTATTTCTATTACTCCTACTTGTTCGGCTTAAAATCTGCTATATTGTTAAGATAAACTAAGTCTAAATTTTGAACCATTTTTTGAAGTTTAAAGTGTAATACATATCGATTTTTTATCCGAATTTAAGAATTGCTTCAAAGTTTTAGCGTGAAATCGTGCATTTTTTCTAATGAAATTGTTATTATAAGATAAGCAATCTGAGTTTTTTTGAATAATATGTCACTACACATGATAGAGCGTTACGTGCTGAAAAGTTACGCTTCGTTCTGAAAGTGGTAATGAAGTTTTATTAGAATTCATCAAAAAAACGTATGAAAATAATCGTATGTCAAAATGTGAGCACTTCTCAAAATTTGCTCACATTTTGACTATTTTTGTGAGATCTTCCTCACAATTTTTTGACAAACGTACAAAAAAGTGCCAAATGTGAGCAAATGTGAGCAATTTTTATATCTCGACTCTCCTTGCAGTTTCGATTTTTTCGAAAAGTGAGAGATTTTCCGTTCTAATAAATATATTTGATAACCGGGGTGTCCCCCGGAATCAAATAAATTATCATATCGAGAATCGGAGATCCTTGCAGTTTCGATTTTTTCGAAAAGTGAGAGATTTTCCGTTCTAATAAATATATTTGATAACCGGGGTGTCCCCCGGAATCAAATAAATTATCATATCGAGAATCGGAGATCCTTGCAGTTTCGATTTTTTCGAAAAGTGAGAGATTTTCCGTTCTAATAAATATATTTGATAACCGGGGTGTCCCCCGGAATCAAATAAATTATCATATCGAGAATCGGAGATCCTTGCAGTTTCGATTTTTTCGAAAAGTGAGAGATTTTCCGTTCTAATAAATATATTTGATAACCGGGGTGTCCCCCGGAATCAAATAAATTATCATATCGAGAATCGGAGATCCTTGCAGTTTCGATTTTTTCGAAAAGTGAGAGATTTTCCGTTCTAATAAATATATTTGATAACCGGGGTGTCCCCCGGAATCAAATAAATTATCATATCGAGAATCGGAGATCCTTGCAGTTTCGATTTTTTCGAAAAGTGAGAGATTTTCCGTTCTAATAAATATATTTGATAACCGGGGTGTCCCCCGGAATCAAATAAATTATCATATCGAGAATCGGAGATCCTTGCAGTTTCGATTTTTTCGAAAAGTGAGAGATTTTCCGTTCTAATAAATATATTTGATAACCGGGGTGTCCCCTGGAATCAAATAAATTAGCATTACTAACATTCCTTTTTTATTTAAAATTTTCAATTCTTAAAACAAAGTTTTACCTCTATTTAATTATTTGCCATGAAAGTATAGAACATTAAAAATTTATCCTACTACCTCCACCCTTATAATACCTTCAAAAAAATTATATCTCAATTTATTTTCTATCTTTATATTGATGTGCTTATTCAAAAACACTAAATCATAAGTCTTCAGTTCTCAAAATACTCTCAAATTATCTCATTGCGCATATTTTGAAATTTGATAATTTTAAATTGTTAAAAAATTCATTAATCACAGTAAAATATCTATATACAACAATTAACTAACTGATTCCACATCTTGAACATTCGCATTTATTTAATATATTTGAATATCATTTACATCTTATTGAATTAGATCATAAATCACAGTTCCTTAATATACTATCTAGCTAACCATTATTGTTGCACAACTTACATGTGATTAAACACACGTGTATAATTCTGTACAACTCATATCTCTATCAATACTTTATTTATAATCAAAACAAAGGTTAAAATTGTATACCCTGTCACTGTAGAGTATTCTCCCAACTTTAAAGTGAAAATCAAAATTTGATATTTTAGTAATTTCATGTGAGATCGTTATTTTATAGGAAAACATACTGAAAATGTTTATAAGATGTTTCTCTATCATATGCCAAAATATCATGGTTTAAATGCTCTCCTAAGTGTCTATAACTGAATTTTAGGGCAATAACCTTATTCTAAATGTTGGGAAAGTAGGGTATTTTGATATAATTTTCAGTGAAATTTAAAGATCTTCAGAAAGAAAAACTCTATTCATCTTGCAGCTCAATGTAATCATAAAGAAAAGATTGGACATATCTGCTCAATGTAATCATAAAGAAAATATTGGTATTTGAAAGATTTATAGGTATGAGAATGTTAGTAATAGATTTTATGTCATCATTACTATTAAATGCCACGTTAAATTCATTAATATCTCAAAAACCATTTGATATTTATTTTAAATTCTGAAATTAGTCCATATATTTATGGGCTAAAATTGCACAACATAAAAATCTATTGTTAATCTTCCAGGCAAAATGATAATATGAAAATCGATAATGAATAAAAAGCGATCAAAAAAAAATAAGCTTTCTCTAATTTTTTATGTCTAATATGTATGAGGACCTTTATATTTCACTGATCTCATGGTCAAACATGAGTCTTCCACATGTTGAATGTTCTGCCATACATACAACTGATTTATCTAAGAAAAAACTTCGATACTCATTTTTGGATGACAAACCAGTTCAAGGAGTAATCTCATTCGGTTGTTATTCGGGTGAACTAATACGATTTATCATTCTTAAGGACGAAGTAAAGCCAGCATCAGTATCTTTTGCGCATAAAACAAAAATTGTTGCACTCAGTGATTGTTATTTTCAAAGCAATTTCTTTTCAGTTGCATCACTTTCGTTTGATGGCCTTTTCTGCATATGGTCAGTTCAAGATGGCATTTGTTTAGGAAAATATGAAAAAATCTTTCCAGTTGGATGCCAATTGATGGCTACATCAGGAGATTCGATTGTTGTTTCAGGCAGTTTTCCGAATGTTTTTATCTTTAATACATCAGAAGAAAGAGTCACAAAAATTTTACATCCTCATTATAGTTTTACAGCCGGTATTGGCATTATTCCTAGTGACAGATCAAAAGTCTTATTCCTTATGGACTCAAAAGGTACTGTTACTTATGCTTCAATCGATCCATCCATTACGCAAACGTTCAAATACCAATTGCTTGATCCGAATCGTGTAGTTATCAAATCCTTACCATCACCATCGTTCAAATTCTTACTAACATTATACGGAGATTTACCATCTGCTAATTCATCGGCAGAATCATCCTCTCCATCATACTTTTCTATTACAGACTTATCATCTGTCGGCTTCCCATCAATTACACATGAGTACAAAGACCTTCATACGGCTACATGGATTGATGATTATACATTTGGTGTTTTATCTTACTCTGGCTCATACACGCAGTTCGAAATCAACGACAAATACGTTGAAGGCATGGACAAGAGTGAAGAAGAAGAGTATTACGAGGACGAAGAAGAAGAATCTGAAGAAAATACAAATTGTCCAACTGAAGAAGAAGAATTTCTACAGCAAATGACTCCCAAATCACCTACATCCAATGATACCGCAACCCATATTGACTATCTCTATTCCCAATTGAAAGATTTGTATCCACAATTGCGAGATCTTTCACATCCTGATGCCAAAATCTTTGGTCGCAACAGGTATTGTAAGATACCAATCACCAAGTCCAATTTGCACTTGGAGCAGCTTTACTACGCCCAAGGAACATTCCCATTTGGCTGCATCACGAGTTTTAAGAAAGAAATCATCGCCGGATTCAACGACACTGTTATCTTTCTTTCAAACAATTTCGATGAATTCTCATTAGGCCAAATGTTTGAGCAAGGACCGAAGCGAACAACGGCACAATGCTTAAACATACAAAACGATTTGGTCAAAGAAATCATCGAAGGTTTGGAAGATGGCTCGATTTCTTACTACGATTTAAACTCGATGACTTATTATGTCCAAGAAAACGTCCACAAAGGAAGAATCAATGAGATTTGTACTTGTGGAAAATACTTGTTTTCCGCAGGTAGTGATAACACATTAGTTGTTACGAACTTAGAAACAAAACAAGCTGTCAAAACTTTTCAACATTTCATGTCAAGAATTACTCAATTTTTGAGACCAATTGAAAAAGTTCGAAAACCGTTTTGTGATTATTTGTTTTGTTTAACGGAGTTTGGAGCTATCTCTGTTATAGACATTGAGCAGCTTGACAATGTTTTCAACATGACAGGACATGACGGACAAGTCACTTCTATAATGATCCATTCTTTGTCAGGAATTTTGATTGTAAATGCAAAATCTTTGTTTTTCTGGTCACTTCACTCTGGCAATCTTGAATCGATTTTGCGAGGCAACAGGAAGGAAATATATCTCAAAGATCCAGACAAGAACCATGTAGAAGTCAAACCAATACAAGCGTTCGTGAATGGAGTTGTTTACGAACAGTTGTTGTTTGGAGGAAATTCTTTGAGAGTTATTGATATCAACATCAAAACAGTTTCTAATCAAATCTCTAATTATTTGATGAGAGTTGCAGATAAATCATTGAAAGAGACGATCGAAGGATTCCCTAATTTAGGATTATTAAGTGAAGTATTTTCTACTTATGTTTGTGATTTCCTCAAGAAAAACATCGGTGTTGAATATGGAAAGCATTTCAACATTTGTTTTGTAGGAGATAAAGGTGTTCACACTGTTAATTTGATCAAACAAAGATTGCATAATGATATTTGGACATTTAGTTCTGAAGTGTCAAGTATGATCTTGGCAATGAGAATAATGCTTTCAATGGCAATGAGAAACCATCCTCTTTTCTTCGATACAATGAATGATTTGATTAACAAATACACAATTTCTATCTCTTCAAACATTAAGTATTTCAAGAATCCAAATGTCACTTCACTTTTCAAGTATTTCAAGAATTCCACGCCAATGATTATCAACTATTTCATGGACATGGTTGAGAAGTATCCACAAGAAACAAGGCGTAGATGGATGAATTACTTGCAATTAGTCGAAGGAACAACGAAATACAGAAGAGATTTGATAATTGGCGCATGGATTGGATTGGGAACAACTGTTTTATCTACTTTGAGTGATACGGAATTGAAACTTTTAGCGGAAAGAGCTCAGAAGTTAAGTAATTCTCAGTACAGAACATTTATTCCTGAAGTTTTGTACAGATGCGCAACGAGATTTAAAGATATAGCAGGTGTTTCTGATATTGTTATTCGAACATTGATTACTTCACAGAATGCAGGACGTATCGATTTGAACATTCTCTTCGATGCCGCGCCAATTGGTTTCTTAAAGAATATCCTTCAGCTTTCGAACGAAGGACAAGAAACATTGGCAAAAACATTGATAAATGTAATCATCGATATCATTTTGCAGGGAAGAGTGAGAGATGACATCTTGTTCCAAATGATACAGACAATTATCGGTTGCTCAAAGGCTTCCTTAACTGACCATATCAATAAACAATTGAAGGCTATCGATGATAAACATAAATGGTTCAATTTCGGAGCCGATCAACATTTGATAGCTTACGGAAATAATTCTGGAACACTTTTTGTCACTAAAAAGATTGGTTCTGCGTTCAGATCATCGATCCTTTCGTTGGCGAAAGAACCCCTCTTGGAGGTAACAAGCGATGCCTCTGGAAATGTGATTACTGTAAATACAAAGTCAACAATCTTCGAAATTCAAATTAAGGTTGCTGACGACCAAGAACATATGCAGCTAGATGTTGTTAGTACAAAACCAAAAGCTCAGTAACTTACTACATTTTTATTTTGTTTCTTTTATTTTATAATAAAAATTTTATTTAAAAAAATTATACGAGAACTACCATATAATACCAAAAATTCTTTTATGGTTGATGGTTCCCTTATCAATAATCACTAGATTTCAGGAAAACATTTGATATCATAGCAAAAATTTCGTTATTTTAGAATAAATTGCTATAATATCCTCATTTATTAGAATTAATATATTATTTAATGGAAAGGAAAATTATACATGCATATTAGATCTTTTCAATGCATGGGTTAAAAAATTAATTTATTATTTCATAGAAATACATTATTTAAGTGGTATTTTATGTTATTATTACTATATTAATACATATATATAACTGCTAAAACATTAATCTGGCTGTTGTTAAAAATTAACTCAAAAATTTTTGCGTTTTTTAGATGAGTATTGATTGGAAAGTGATATCCTTTTCATTGTTTTATTTTCATTCGACAAATATCAAAATTGGGAGTTTGCCAAATATAATTTAACTCTCAAATTTTTTTTGTGAAAAGTGTCCTCTGAAAATAGATTGTGAATCAAGAAAATTGAATGATTTTTTACAACACGAACGATTAATTTATCTAAGCATTGATGAATTATATCATTAAAATATGTGTTTATGCATTTTATCCAGAAAACACTTTAAAATAATATAAATATAAATTTGAATTCAAAACTAAGGATTAGGTGGACTTTTCTGATTATTAAGCCGAACTCAATTCTCTGAAACAGTCCGAAGAATTATTTTAAGGGAACCTTAAAATTTAGTATTGAAAATTCTAGACAGACATTTAAAATATTCTCTATTTCTCATTTGCATGCAAGTATTTCAACTTAATCCTGAACGCCGATATTAATTTTTCAGAATATTATTAGAAGTTTTCTGAAGGATTTGGAATTAAAATAGTCTTATCACACTTTTCAATGCTCGATTTTTAAAAACTGTTTAAAAATGGAGCTTATATTGAAATAGTGTAGAGACTAAAAATTATCACAGACTATTTCAGAGGATTGAGTGGCAACTCAATCCTCTGAAATAGTCTGTGATAATTTGCAAAATTTTCAACTCGACTCTGGATGTATACTAAAAATCATTAATTATTTTTTCGATTGATACACCATTAATTCTGTTAACTTTTGAGATAAATATCAGGACGATAGTGCAATATTTTCGTCTTTTTAGTAAATTTACAATAAGAATTCATTTTGGTACTACTTCATTCTTTTATATTATTGAGAAGCATTCAATATTCAATGAAATATTAATGTTTTGTTAGGGTTTTCAATTTCATAATGTTTAATCTCTTCCTCGCTACTGTAAGTTCCGAAAAGAGACCACAAATCGAAGCTGATAAAGTTCGTTTCCAGGGTTATGGAAAGTTTAGCAAGACTGGCCACCAAATAGCTATCTCTTCTAATCAAAGACTTTATTACTACGCAAGCGTACACATTATTAACGCTTACTTCTCCAACTGTGTGGCTAATGATCTTAATCTTAAATGGCAAATGTCATGCGGTGGTGCTATTTTCTTAAACAAGGGCAGCCTCTACTTCGAGAGAAAAGATGGATCCTATTCAAGCAGTTTCGATCAATGCCAGGCTACAGATAAGGGTGGTGCTATCTACGCTTATGATAGTGCTTGCGACATTTTCCAGGTTAACTTCTTCCGCTGCAAAGCTGGTAATGAAGGTGGTGCTTACTATCATGATGGTATGCGCTATTCTCGCCCATACTATGCCAATGCTAAATACAACACTCTTATCATCGAGTATTGCACATTCAAGGGCAACTTGGCTGACTCATATGGTGGTGCCCTTGCCGTCAAGGGTGCAGTCCCATTCACATTGAAAAACTCCAAGTTCCTTAATAATGGAGCTGTTGCAGGTGGCGCTTTATATGGCGATTACTCTGACATTACAATGACTAATAACTTATTCGTTCTTAACTTTGGAGATCATACAAGACCTTGCCAAAACAATAAGAAATGCGGGTCTCCAAACTATCAATCGTTCAAATACGTTCCAGCAGGTGCTATCCTTATTCGCTCATCCCCAGAATATTTTCCAGTCGATGTCTACTCAGCAGAAAACTGCTTCAACCAGAACTTCCTCCTTAACAACAGATGGCCAGATAAGAGCAAAACTTCTGTCAACATTTTACTCCTCTTCGCTGTCAGATTTAAATCTGTAAACGATAAAATGAAGTGGCACACAGTTAATGTTATCGATAACATGACTTTGGCAAAAAAGTTTAACTATCCAAAGGAGTACCCATCCAAATATATCCAATTAAGAGCTAATGGCATTAATATTAGATCCTTCGAAATGACTGGAACAAGGCAGGATGTTGAGGGTTGTAAAATCGATGGTTTTCCAGCAGTAACTCCAATTCCACCAGCAACACCAATTCCAACACCATATCCAACAGTCCCGACACCAGATCCAACACAGCCACCGCCACCAACTCGTTCACTTGCTGCCACACCATATCCAACAATCCCTCCACCAAGAACACCATTCCCATCAGCAACAATTCCTCCAGCAACAAAGAAGAAGGATACTCCATTCCCAACACTCGCTCCACCTCAAACCCCAGCTCCAACACCATCTCCAATCCCAACTCGAGAGCCAACAGCTCCACCAACAGCCACACCAGCCGCAACCCGCTCAGCTATTCCAACACCAATCAGTGTTCCACCAACTATAAACATCACAATTCCAGCCAATGCTAGTGTTGACGAAGAAATCAATACATCAGATTGTGGTGAAATGTGCAAGACCGAACACATCCCAATGCGTACACCAAATGCTATCACAATCAATTATGAATCCCCTGTTCCAAACACAGAAGATAGCGCCAATAACGCAAAGAATGCAGTTATTGGACGCAACACAGCTGCTCCAGATGAGTCGGCCGTCGGTTTCGTCATCGCTGCAGTTGCTGCCGTCGCCGCTGTCGGTGTTATCGCAGGTATCATCTACACACTCACAAGATCAAAGCCACCGCCAATGGACTTAGAAAATGCTGAACGGGTTAACATGGGCAACGACAATAATGCTGTTGAAAATGATAACCCAATCTACAACAATAATGCTGCTCAGGATCCATTCGCTGATGAATTCGAAGACGCATAAACTTCCTAATTTAATCCCGAATAAATAACTTCATCCTTTTGCCTAACAATTTTAATCATTTTTTATTAATTGACATCCTGGATTTAATTAAAATTATAATTATGTGAAATTATAACATATATCATTTTTATTTGCGTTATACCAATTCTCGCCAATGAAAATGAGGATTTTAATTTCATTGATATTTATTTTTCTAGCCCCTGTAAATATGATTCATCTCAATGGTTTGTTCTTTGAGCATTATGACTGATGAAATATTTTCTCATTTTACAAATTTCTTATCAGCTGCTTCTGATGAAGAAAGGCTGGAAATTGAAAAGGTTCTACTATCACTGATTCAAACTCTACAAGGTTTGGCCACTTATATTAACATTTTAAAGACCCCAGATGTTCCGGATAAATTTTGTTGGGTTGCTTTATCAATTATTCATCGAAGTATATCCCTTTTATGGGAAGCATCAGATCTAGACACAAGAATTGCCTTTGTTCTCGAGTTTAATCCCTTAACATTTCTAGATAATTCATTTTTTGCATCAGTATTAGATTTTCTTGATGACATATTATGCAGTTCGAAAAATTCTTTTCAAACATACCACTCTTTATGGGCCATTTTACTAAATCAATCTCATGAAATATTTCCTACCCTTAAAGACGATAATCATATCATAAAATTTTTACAAACTGTACAGGTATTATGCAAATCACTCATTAACTCCAATGCGCTTTACGAAAACGAAACATGTGAATTTTTCTTTAATTTCACTCATCCATTTTTAGAATTAGACCTATACTCAGACAATACTAAATGCCAGCAACTTTTCCTCGCATTCTCTATAACTTTCGAATTATCTTTTCATTCTGTTTTTAGAAAGAAATGTGATGTTGATGATGTTACTCCATCTTCATTAATAGATGTCAGAAATGCTTGTTATGAGAATTTTACTATATTTTTTTCCATTTTTAGTTCAAATGAAAATCCAACCGAGCCACAACTGAATTTGATGGAATTCATTGTATATAAATTGTCAAGTATTGCATTTGACACAGAACCAGATGATGAAACCATAGAAAAAGAGCTAATAATTTCAATTTTGGATTTTATTTGGCCTTGTTTCATAATTATACTTGAAAAATCAACATCAGAGCTTATTAAGTGCGAGTATGTCCAACTCATGATTAATCTTGTTGATTTTTTCGTTCCTTCCGCAGAAAATTTATCAATTTTAATTCAAGCATTAGAAATCAAAGAAGAGGACAATGAAAAGTTTTTATTCGAGCCAATACAGTTCGTTGATGACAATTATTATCCTACTATCGATGTAACTTCTTCTTTACGTGATTTAATTTTGAGATATCTGTCGAATTTGTCAAATTATGTTTCTTTTGAAGATATCAACGAATTACTCAACAGTGTTGGTGGATCTGAACAAGAAATGATGTTCGTTTCATGTTTTGCAAAGAAATCTTTGCAAAATGAAGAAACAACAGCGACATTAGCATCGTACGTAACCACAGTAATGAGTAACATATCAAATACAATTGAAGAATGCACATTTTTGTATCTTTTGTCGAAATGTTTTCAAATATTTGATTTAAATTTCCACAACGAGTTGATTTCATCAGTTTTTCTGCATCTTGATGGTAATTCATTAGTTTATGCATCATTATTCTCTAAGTATCTTTATAAATTGGTGAAAAAATCATATTCAGAAATTATTCCAGTCGAAATCATTCTGAAATTACTTGAACTGTACGGAGGAACAGTGATTTCTACTGATTTATTAACAATTTTCATGAAATTGTTTGATAAAAGTGAATATTTTTCTGAAATTTCTCCAAATCTGCTTAGAGACATAGCAACTTATCTTCCATCAGTATCAATTGATACTTCTGACTCATCGATTGAGTGGACATACACTGCAATTCAGTGTTTGACCCTCATTATTAACAAAATTGGGGATATTTCGCATCCAGAATTAGTTTTTCATTGTTTTGACACATTGTTAAATGATGAAAATGAAAATGTGAGAGATTTAGCTGTTTTGGCAACGAGTTGCGTTTCAAATAATTCTCCTTTGTCAAATCAGTACTTTGAACGAATTATTTCTGCATTTGAGAACAAAGAATCAATGAAATATTATATTGATGACTTCAAAGAGTTCTTTTTCACATTCATTTTGCTTTATCCAGAAAATTGTCAAAAAATCTTTGACTTTTTCTTAAATATGTTAAGCAACATTGAGTTAGAAGATAGTACAGATATAGCAGCTTGCATTTCAGTGATGGCTTTATCAATGCAAGTCTCAGGAGACTTTGAAATTTCAGATTCTCTTCTAATAGTTTCAAATTATCTTAATGATATAGATGATACATGTTTGTTGTATTGCATCAACTATTTCACGGCTTCTGCGCTCATAAACAACAGAGCTGGAAAATATCAGATGAATGAACTGATAAATAGCTTCTTAGAAGCAATTGTTGATCATCAAATTGCTTCTTTGCATAACTTCTATCTGTTCTTTGATGCTTTACAGAATTTATGTCTAATTTCTCAAGAAATTCAGACAAATTTTGCAAATATCATGGAACAAATGAAACAGGATCCAACATCATTCATTCAGCTTGACGCTGATATGATGGATACTCAGAAAATAATGAATTATTGTATAGGAACTCCTCAATATCATGATGAATAAATTTTTGTTATTTTTTTTTTTTTTTGTAAGCCGGAGTTTGTATTCTATCTAGAGCATAGCCTTTAGCACGTTCACTGTTCTTGGAGGCGCAAACATTATATTTTCTAATGAAGTTCTCTGATTGGCGAAATAGAGAAGCTTTGGAGATGGGCTCGTATTCGTTTTCATGGAAACTTCCTATGGGCAATATTTTTGGATTTCAATGATCTACTGATCCCAAAAGATAGTTTCAATATTTACTAAGCATTTGTGGCGAATTACATTTCATCGATAGATGTTTGTGAATACTACAAATTATCATATTTCAGAATTTATGCGCATTTTTAATTTTAAACAATCTTTATTTGATAATATGAATGAAGTTACAATACATTTCATATAATCTATTAATGATCTATCTTAGATCATGGATAAAATAAAATCTAAAATATTTTTCATTGATTCCAAAATCACGCTGATATCAAATGAGAATTCTTATAACTCACAAAATTCAAGATTCTTTATTGAAAATATTCATATTTTCATTAAATATAAGAAGATATAATTAAGTTTTTCGGATATTTTTTATTTAGATAAAAAATGGTTAATTGAAGTTAAATATTCGAATTTATTTTATTCATTGAATGTAAGAAAAAAAAATAAATCATTAGAGTTTTTCAGATGTAACAATAGTTCCACCCCATTCAATGACTGTGAAGCCATCACGATTGAATATTGGAAGTTCTTGTGGTTCGATGTCGCATGGACTCTCTAGAGGGAGAGCTGCGAAGAAGACTTTGTTGATGTTGTCTGGTTTCGGTTCGACGTTCATTGGACACATCTCGTCGAAGTTTTCGAACTGGAAGCATACTTTGACATATTTGTATCCACAAAGCTTCGGACACCAGTATGTGACGAAATCACATATCTCTGCGTCGTTGAGGTTCATAAACTTCAGCTTATCCTCGAAGAAAGAGACACTATCTTCGCCTTTGATGATGAATCCTTTGCCATGTTAAGATTAGGGTAGAAGAGTGTTTCCCAGAAGAGATACCTCAACTTCTTTCCTCTGTGGACGATCTCGCCTGATGGGAGTGCTTTCACATTCCACGTGTTATCTTTGTCGAATGAAGGATACACGAATGAAAAATCACCATCATTGATTTTGATACTTACCTTTGCATCGATTTCTTCCTTTGGATACAAATAAATCACTGGTTTTCCGCCACATAACCTTAAAGCAAGATTAATTGTATCTCCATCATGAACATTATAATCCATCAATGTATTTTCATCTTCCATTTGTTTTCCAGCAAAAATGAGTCTTTGAGATTCAGGATATACGCCTAATTTATAATCAATAAATATTTTCAAATCTTCTATTGTCATATTTAGACTTACGCCTTTCAGAGTGTCAATGTTTCCAGGAAGTGATTTAATATAAATTTCATGAGTTAAATCATCATAACGCCGAAGAATCTCATTTATATTAACTGGGTGCCTATAAAACAAACTAATTGTGGAATCATTTTGAATTTTATATTCTTTTAGTGTATGATCATTTCTCATAAGTTGACCAGCAGAGATCATTCCTAGATTTTCGATCGGTATATCAGTTTTCTCGTGAACTATTGATTTAAAATTTTCAACGCTGGTATTTAAATCAATATCATCGAACCTCCATCGTTTCCCTGATGATAATAATACATCAATATTGGCATATTCAGGAACAGGAGATTGGGATGTGTGATTTTTTGTCTCCGAAATTTCTTGTTGAAGCTTGTTTTGGTAGAAAGAAAATAGTGAATCAAGAATTTGAATTCCGAGGATTGATGTAATCGTTTCAGAAATTTCAGATGCTTCTTCTTGACTGTTGAAATCTTTTAAACGTGCACGACTAAGCATCATCAATATGTCTGCTTTCCCATGATAATTTGAAAGATTTGTGAATAATGTTGCAAATTCGCAAGGACTTAATTTTGCATAACTAAGAATTTTAGCTATCTGTTGAGGACTTCTTGCCGATAAGAATGTATCATTATCAACATAATCAGATATATTTCTAGCAATCTCTTTCCAGTCTGGCTCCATCAAATTTTAAATTTACGACTTTCGCCTGAATTTTTTTTTCCAGCAAATTCGGTCTTTTTAGCTCATAAATTCCCTATAACAAACACCACATGAAATTACCACTGCTAATTCAATACTCAAATTTTATTGATTTTAAAGATTTCAAAATCTTGGGGATTTTTATAAGTTTTAAATAGTGAAAATTAAACTTTGAATTGAACGTTGAGATATTGAGTGTTTGTTCGGCATTCTTGTAATGATTTTCGATTCAACAGATGATTTGAGTGAATTATTAACAATTTAAAGGATAGTAAAAACTCCTTCATTTCTATTATTTGGGGAAAATTGCGATTTTGAATATGTTTACACATACTAGTTTGCTTTCGAATTTATTATTGTCAAATAGAGTTAATATATAATAGACAAGTTTATATATTAAGAATAAGAAATATCAAGTATTTAAATCACATAAAAGATAAAATAAAATAATAAAATAAAAATAAAAATTATTCTTCCTTTGGAGGAGGTGTATATAACTTTGTAATCTGTGCTCTAGATTGTTCATATGCATCCCATTCTTCAGTTACCTTTGCAGACAGTGCATTAACACCTTCACGTAAATCTTCACCCAATTCAGGAACTGAATCTTCTTTTGCAGAGTTTCCTCCAGCAGATTCATTTCCTGTTGACGAAGAAGGTTGTTCTGCTTGTTGAGGAAGCAATTTATCAATCTCTTCCTGTGAGAGAACCTTTGCTCCGTTCTCTTCCTTGCATTCCACGACTTTAAGGACTTTCTGGTCAACGACAGGAGGAGCTAATTGAACTTGTGGTTCAACACTTCTCTTTGATGCTTCACTCTTCTTTCCGCCGCCTGGTTTTGCACTTCTCTTCTTCTCCCACGCCGCAATTGCTGCTGCTGTCTTATCCGCAGGTGCTGTGTCCTCTTTGCAGGTGACATTTCCTGTGGCATAAATTCTGAGTTTCCACTGGAAATTGGAGACATTTTCAGAGCAAACTGATTTGACAATTAATCTTGTTGGATCTTTGTCTGTTGGCAATTTGCAGCTTGGCAACACGCAGAAGCCAACACCTCTTACAACAGAGATTGGTTTGTCTTCTTCACAAACTGTCAATGTCAATGATAATGGCTGGGATGTCTCAAGAACAACAATACATTCGCAACCACCAGATAAAACGTGACGTTGAATTTGATGGTTTTCATCCAATTCTGTGACATCTCCTTCCACATCGGAGTAGTTTGCGTGTGCGACATCAACGACATCAGAGAGAGGAACGTCTGAGAAGATCCTTGCGCGCCACTTTCCAATCAAATCTATTGATTGCATGCCCATCAAAGATTCGCCGTATAAACCGAAAATCAGCAAAACATAACCTCTCTTGTTAGGAGTGATTGCGATGGAAGAAGATCTCAAGTTCTTGGACGGCATGACGTCGTTCGTGTCGCAGTTGAAGAGCAGGCAAGCGGCGTTGTCTCTGTGGTGCTGATTAGTCATGGCAACAGCGAAAGAAACGTTTCCTGGCTGGTCCAAGTTGAAAGCGATTTTTCCAATCAACTCAAATCTCTGAGGGAAAACATTGATGGCGAACTCGTCGAGGGAAACAAAGAAAGGCAAATCGCCTTCACTCTGTGTAACATTAGTTACGTCTGAGTAATTAATGAACTCGACATTCGCGTCATTGGAAAAGATCTGCATGATATAGCCACCGCGAGAATTCGTCTCCAACTCGAAAACTTCTTCACTTTTTTCGATGTTTAATGTACTTGCTGTCCATCTGCTGCAGTTGATGGAAAGTGCTGTTGGACACTGACCGCTATTCCATGCGAACTTTCCTAAATTGAGCTGCAAATTGTTGGAAGGAGCTGTTGTAAGCAAAGGAGCACAACAGATCTGTAATTGGCCTGGTCCTGTTGCTCTCATGAGTGTAGGAGCTGGAGGAATGTAGAACTGCTGCTCCTTTGGTACCCAAATATCTTGGTGGCGAACATTGCACTGGAAAGAGGTCGATGGAGAGAAAACCATGATGGAATCGAAATTCTCAACGAGATCTTCAAGAATCATCCAGAAGAAACCGGCTGTAGCGACTGTTTCTGGGTCGATTTCAAGTAAAACTCTGATCTGATTGGTCCAATGCTTAGTATCTTCTTCGAATCCGGAAAATCTTCCTCTCCACCTTGCTCCTGGGCATTGTAGCTTAACGAATTTGCGATGCTGGTCGACTTCGAAGACATCGAGGATATGGAAGAGTCTGTCGCCGCCGAGATCGTCGTTTCTTGGATTTTTGATATACATCGCAACTAAAGAGTCTGGACGGCCAAACCAGAAGACGATATTCTGCCATTCGACTGGTACTTCGAAATGGACAAAGCCTGTCATAAGACTGACGCAGTCTGGAGCGGAATATTGCTCGATGTGAGTATATCTTAAGAAAGCTTTATGTAAAAGTGTAGGAAGCATGATATGCTCATCGGTATGTCTGAGAAGAGCGCATTCGCCGTTTTCATTGCAAGGAATTTTATCATCAAAAATAATCCTGACTGATTGGCCATTTTCGAACATACGAATGCAGTATTTTCCTGATGGGTTGATTTCATTGGGGAATATTTGGAAGGTTCCTGATTCAAAGAACTGGAGACCTTTTGAAAGACATAAGAAAAGAGATGATGAGAATCTGCTGTCAACCTCGGGATTCTTGAATGATATTTGTACGTCTGGATCATCGAATTTAGCATCTGCTGGGAATATTTGCATTAATCTATTTAATTGTGGGTATTTCTGTGAAAAAACTTGATTTCCTGGCTGATCATCAAATATTGGCTTTTGTGCAACTTTTATTGTTGTAGCTTCATCGCCAGTCCATGGAGTATATGTCTGAACTGGTGCAAAAGGCTTAACATTCTTTAAATAAGTCATTGTTGGTAAAGCCTTCTTTCCTTTTCCTGCTTTAGCTTTGTTTCTTGCGTTAGCATCGCCACGGGCTGATGCTTGTCCGCTTCCAGGTTTCATTTGTACGTTTTAATTCAACAAACGAGAAAAGTGACGACTAAACTATAAATCATGCTCGGCAAATTAGAAAAATAAAAGCAAAATGGTATATGAAACAATTTTCGTCTTTAAGAAATGAGAAAGAATGTAAAAGAATTAACTTTTTTTTATTTCAAAACTTTTTCAATTTTTTTTCGAGTGAATGTTTGAACTCGTTGCCGTAGTGATAGCTTCATCAATTGTTAGCGTCTTGTTTGTCACAATGTGCTGCTGCTGTAAGAAGGAAGAAGAACCATATAGAGAACCACCGCCAAAGAAGACTGAAGCTTTTCAGGATAACTTAGAAGAAATATCAGAAAATGTAGCTTTCCATGTTATTGCCGGATCAAACAAGCAACAAGCATAAATTCTCCAATAGCATGAAACGTTTTGCCTTAAATTATCAAATCATTTTTGTTTAAATTTACAATATTTAATAAAAAATATATGTAAGCTTTACTACTTCGAATTTTATCTACTAATTCTTTCCAATTTAATAACCCACATAGCTAACGAATATACAGATTCAAAAAATTGACTCTGCCAAACTCTCGATATAGTTTTTCCATTTGCCTTATCGATATACGTTAATCGATATATCTAACGGTCTTATATTCAATAAAAATAACTAACTCGATATCCTTTTAATCATTATGGCTTCTATTAAGTGAATAATTGTATTGCATATGAAGTACTATCTTATTATCATGAATATATAGTCTTACATAGAGTTTTAATTTTATTCAAAATATATAACATGAATATTATATTTTAGTGGTGAATTTGTAATCAAATATTTGTGGATGAATAAAAAATTATATCAGTTGGCTTTGATTTTGTTGTTTGATAATCTTTACAAATTTTCCAAGATTTTAATATTCATGGCATGAAATATTCATATCATAAAGTCCTATTGCAATGGTGATTCTACTATATGACTTCACTTATATGTCGCAATGTGATGTTGAAAAAATCGAAACATTTGTTGCGGCATTAAACTCGAATGAAGCTTCAGAAGATGATAAAATGGATGCAATGGACTTCCTCGCCGAATTTATGAAGCAAATTGACGAATTATTATTTTCAATTTCACATTTCACTGAATTTTCAAGTTCACAAGCTCTGTTATTCATTTTGAAACTAATTAGTTACTGGATTAACGACAGATTTTCAGAAATTACAGATGAAATCCTTTCGGAACTTAAAAACGTATTATTCGAACAAGGATTACAAATGACATCCAAAATTGGTCAAGAATTTACATCAGCACTCACTAATACTCAAATTGATTTGATATTTAAAGCATTTCCAGATAATTGGCCTTCATTTTGGCAAGATATCCAGAAATACGGATCTAATTATATATTTAGGTTTTCAAATATGTTTTGTAACAGATGCTCCATCATTACACCTCAAATATTCCAAAATTTTTCGAATTTTAAAAATTCATTGATTGCAAATGACGTAATTTCTCAAATTTACACGATGTCCTTTGGTAATCTCAACGAAATATCGTATTCAATCATATCTTCTCTCTCAAAATGGGCAGATATCAATTGGATTTCCGACGATTCATTATTTCCTTCATTTTTATCGGGAATGAACAATCCTCAATACGCAAAATACATATTTGACACTTTTTCGTCGATAATTACAAGAAATCTCGATGATTCAATAAAATTATCTTTAATTTCAAATGTTGGAAATCCACAACATGTTAAAGAGATATGTTCTCAAGCACAGAATACAGAAGTTTACCAGTCGGCTGCTTATTTCATTTACAACGCCGGATTAATTTTAATAAACACAGAAAATTCACTTCCTTACTTTGAATTAGCACTAGAATTTTTACAACAGTCCGAACCAATCTCTTCCATCATTGCTCCGTTCATTTCTGCCTACATAAAACAATATCCTGAATATTGCAGCGATACAATCCCAATTGTCCTGAATTGCTGCACAGAGGCTTTTTCTAATATGAATGAGAGTGGTTTTCCATCAATTTCTCAAAAACCTTTTTTAGATAATTTATGTAACATCATTTCTTCATGTTATTTAGTAGATAACGACACAACTGTTGCTACCCTCAACAATATTGCACAAGAGAACTTCAATATAGAGACAAATATACCTTTTGTCACCTCATTTTTATATTTATTAAATTATATGGTCGACAAAACGAGTTCTTCCACAGATTTCGTTTGCCAGTACATCAATGACATTGTTGCTTTAGCAAGCATCTCGAATCCTATACCTTCTACGCATATTTTTTCTGTTTATTTGTTTTTCAGACTTTTTGTCCATTTAAATGACAAATTCCCTTCCGAAATCAAGCAAGATGTCTTCACATCTCTTATTAATTTCATTGTAGAAGAGGAAATCCCTGAAACTCATCTTAATGGCTGCATAGATTTTTTAATTCAACTTGCAAAGAACCAGAAAATGCAATTGACCATATCCATTGAAGTCCTTATGTTGTTTATTGGTACTTACAATGAATCCCTTGTTGGCGCAGCCGGTGCATTACTCAGATTTGTTTCTGTTGACGAATCTTCTGAAGTTATTGCCCAAGCAATACCTCATTTAGCCGAACTGATGTTAAATGAAGAGACAAAACTCCGTGGAACATCATGTATCTTAAGTTTTGCCGCAAAAATACCGAATTCCAGTTTATCTCCAAACTCAATTTCATTGTTGATGGAAGCAATATCGACATGTGAGATTCCTGCGATGGAATCTGATGACACAATATCTCTTTACATCAAAGCATTGTCTGAGCGTCAAAAGAGTTCAGCAAACAAAGATTTAATTAATTTAATGAATGCCTTATGTGGTCCAAAAAGTATTTGTTGTTTTGTCAATCACATGATCGTGAATAGAAGTTCCTTTTCATCGGAAGAGCTTGTAGAAGTGTTGAATGACTTGTACCAGATATTCTCTGTTCAAATCGAACTGTTCCTCTTTGATTTGGACACTTTAAATACAAGTGACAGTTATTCAATTGTTATTCGACAATTTTTCAAGTTAATGAGTGATTCCGTTGAAGTTTTGACCGAAGACATCATTAATCCTCTTTTAGATCTTGCTGATACAGCTTTAGACAGGTACTACAACAATCCTATTATATTTGATGGAGTAATACAGTTTTTGTCTGCTTTGTCGAAACAAAATCCAGATGAAATAATCAAAAGATACTTAGTTGAATCATTTAATTTCATTTTCATGAAGAATTTCGATCCGAATAATCCTAATGGAATGAAAATTGTCCAGAGAGTTTCGAGTTTTCATCGAGAATTGGCTGTTTCGAATCCGGATTTACTTATGGAGTATTTACTCAATGTGTTTGGATTCTTTGGTTTAGGAATTGATGATGCAAATAACTATATCGCAATACATGACTTGGATGCAAGAGTAAAGAACGAAGAACTTCGGAAATTTTTCCAAGATCTTGTTAGACTCAAGAAATCAATTGAATTTTAATATACTTTTTTTTATAAATGTTAAATGTTATTTTAAAATTATATTTATTGGGTTTTACATAGGGTGCAAAAAATGCACAAAAATGATTATTTGAAATTGAATTTGCATATTTTTTGCGTATTTGAAAAATTTTGGAGTTGACCATTATTAAAAATCAAACTCATTAATAATGAATTGCAACAGTTGCGTATGCAAAAAATGTAAAAGAAAAATTCATTCATTGTTGACTACTTTACACGGATTGATTTTTAAATGCACAAATAATGCACAGATTGAATTTAGAATAATCGTTTTTGCGCATTTTTTGCACTTGTAGGAAAATCCTATTTATTTTATATTGTTCTATTACTTACCTTTTAAAATGTCTTAAAGCATACAATTTATGAACCAACAGTTAACTGTAAATGAGATTAGATTATTTAATAATGTATGAAATATTCGCTATCTCATATGGGCGCACTTTGTATCCCGATTTTCTAAGGTAAAAAAATTGAATTTTTAGTAGGGAAAAAGTGATTATAAATCATGAAATAGTCCATAATTTATATGTTATATTTTTTTCGTTATTTCAATGAAGATACATTGTTTTAATGAAAGCATGATGATTTTAAAAAATCAATATAACAAAAAAGTATAACAAGCATGTTGTATTATAACTTTCATCGGAAGAGAAAGTAGTAAATGCATCCATAAAATAAAAAAATATTGTTTATCAGATAGGATAATAATAAGCAATTCTCATACTTTTTATGATTAAAAAAAACTCAAAAAAAAAGTAGAAATGATTTAATAATTAATTGGTGAAAAAAAAATATGCAAAGGATTTTTTATGCTGGAAGAACATCTTCAACAGCACTATCATCTTCATTAAATTCGTTTGCAAATGGATCATCATTAGCATCTTCATTGAAGAGTGGATTTTCTTTTTCTTGAACTGCGTAATCAGGATCAACAGCATCAAAGTCCTCAGGATTGAATTCCTTCGCAGACTTTGAAGCTTCTATCGCAAGGATTGCAGCAGCCGCGATAACTGTAATTCCAACTGCAATACCTGCTCCAATAAATATCCACTTCTTCTTGTTTGCTTTCTTCTTTGCAGCAGAATTTGCTTCAAGATTGCGATGGGATTCCATCTTTCCTTGTTAAAACAATTACATATTTTGTTGTTTGAATTGTTATGTCAGCACTATCTCCATTGGAATCCTCTGTTTCTGAAACCGTCTGCGTAATTGTTTCTGAATAAGTTGTTGTTGAGTCTACTGGAATTGGATCAGGAATTACAGGAAAATCAATTGTTGGCATTGGTGTTACTTCTGGGAATGGAATAATAGTATGTTTCTTTACTTTGAAGCTGAACACTTTATCAAATGAAATTGCACCTTTATTATCATGAACCCGAAATGTTACATTATGAGTTATGTTTTCTGGAAGAGATCTGTGAACAATATATTCCATTTGGAATTCATACCACTCTCCATTAGTATTTTTAAAAGTAATATATGGTTTGAATGGCTCAAGTGGATTTGATTCAGGTAACTTATATTCCACAACCAAATCATCTCCAACATCCTCATCCATGACGTATCCTGTGATTGTAACATTATTACGGTAAAATAATTCGGGAATTTCATTTTGTTCGATTTTGATTTCAGGAGTATGCAGCTCGATATAATTGAATGGGAAAATGAGTATATCTGATTTAATATTCCATTCATCTTCAGCCCAAATGTAAAGAGTGTGTGAGCCATAATATAGTGTTGTTTCTCTAAGGGGAAATGTCTTTCTAAATTCCTTCCACTCCCTGTTGCATTCAATCATTGTATTGTCTGCACTAAAATCCCAATCATCATCGAATTTGTAGTGAATATTTGCTTTTGTGTCATCCCAAAGCAAACTAAGAACTTCCACATTGCCGCCCATAAAGTATTTATCACTGATTCTGTTAACAATTTGGATTTTTGGAGCTTCGTTTACCAAAATATTCACTGTGAAATTATTAGAATACGTACCTAAACTATCTGTAGCCCAAATATATAATGGATATTTACCAACTTGAATTGGAGTTTCAAATGGAATATCGAAATTCTGTTCGAATGACTCATTTTCACCTGTATAATTATTTTCGAAATATGGATGTACAACGCCATTGAAACTATACATCAATGTAAGGTTGACATTTTTTTCTGCTTTGACAAAACCGGTTACATTGAATTTTTGCTTTGGTAAATATTTTTCAGAGAAATTCGATGTTACTGTAACAGTCGGAGGTGATGGCAAATATCTTCCAACTCCTAATAGAACTGCAAGCCTGAGAGTTTTACCTCCTCTGATTGTTCGGTTAACCCATCCAAAAGAAAAAGCAGAGTCTCTGTCTTGAAGCGGGATTGTACGATTTGTGTTATCCCACTTATGTAGATTAACACGTCCACCCCATTGTCCAAACCAAAAAGTGTCAACATTTTCGACTTTGAATGCATCACGTACTAAAAGAGTTAGTGTGTACTTTGTCCAACGTTCATCCGTCATTGTTAATCCTTTCATATAATTGTAACCATCTTGATAAGCTCGAACTTCTGCCCAGTCATTATTTGCAATCATGACATCAGTGTGAGAAGTCAGAGAAAAATTATGAGGCTCTGTTGGATGATTGTTTGTGGCAAAAAATTCAATCAGATAAAAATTATCACTGTTGTTACCAAATTCTACTGGATGTGTAATATTTGTTTCTACACTAATATCACCATATGATGCTTTGCCATCATTGTTACCTAAAATTTTAGTTTCTGGTCCATTATCAACTTTGAATACTGGCCACCATCCTCCATTTTCATATGTTGTTCTATAAATGGTTCCATTATCAACATATTGGAAGTCGAAGCATGCGTGAAAATCATTCCAAATTGTATAATTAACATAGAGAAAATTCAAAGATGGCATCAAAAAAAAATAAAATAAACACTTTTGAATATGAATATTGAAAATTAGAATGATTTTGATATAAATTAAGTAAATAATTATAAATAATTAAAGACAATTTATGAAAAATTGAAATCGATTCCAAAGAATTGTTCTGCTTTTTATTATTGTGATTCTATAATAAATTATTATAGATAACTAATTTAAACTTTTTTTTTGAAAGAATAATAGAAAAATTCTGACAAAAATAAACTAATAACTTGTGAAATACATTTTATTTACAAATATTTCTTTGGCATTTAAAATATGCAAAACTTTTACAAATGGATGAAATAAAAATGATTTCAATTTCAAAATGAAAAGATTTTCAGAATATTATCCTATTGGTGTATTCTCAATTATTACATATTAGACCAGACAGAACACTATTAAATATTTCAAAATTATTATATGTTTTGAGCAAATTAGGATTCTTCAGAATATTTTCAATCATATTGAAAAATTGAATCTATTGGCGAGAATTTTTGTAGCTTCCTCGTTAACGCAATCCAAATCATATCTAAATATAATATAGATTTAGGCAATAACTGATATAGGGACCTTACCATAAATATTTTTGATAGTAACGATAGCTCTTGTTTGGCCGAAAGACTAACCTTCAATATTTTATTTCTATTGTCTCGATTTGCAGATTTATTTAAGGACTAATAAGCATAGTTGAATATAAACACTTCTGAAATCGCAAAATTAAAAATCTTTGAGTTTTCGAAATTTCACCAATAGAAATTAGAAAGATATTTTCAATTATTATGATAGCATTAGAACACCTATATTGTGTAGAAATTAGTTTATATATGATAAACTGTAATCCCTAACCAGAATAAAATTTTAATGCCGGTCCTATTTCTAATTTCAATCTAATTTTTGAAATCTCATCTATTAAAATGGACATAAATTAGAAATTATCAAAAGATTGAGTATGTGAATTGAGCACTAGCTGTTTACTGTATACTTTAAGAATTTGATGATGTTCAATATTCGAATTTATTTTATTCGTTGAATGTGAAAAAAAAAATAAATCATTAGTGATTTTCAGATGTAACAATAGTTCCACCCCATTCGATGACTGTGAAACCATCACGATTGAATGTTGGAAGTTCTTGTGGTTCGATGTCGCATGGACTCTCTAGAGGGAGAGCTGCGAAGAAGACTCTGTTGATGTTGTCTGGTTTCGGTTCGACGTTCATTGGACACATGTCGTCGAAGTTTTCGAAATGGAAGCATACTTTGACATATTTGTATCCGCAAAGCTTCGGACACCAGTATGTGATGAAATCACATATCTCTGCGTCGTTGAGGTTCATAAACTTCAGCTTATCCTCGAAGAAAGAGACACTATCTTCGCCTTTGATGATGAATCCTTTGTCCATGTTAAGATTAGGGTAGAAGAGTGTTTCCCAGAAGAGATATCTCATCTTCTTCCCTCTGTGGACGATCTCACCTGATGGGAGTGCTTTCACATTCCACGTGTTATCTTTGTCGAATGAAGGATACACGAATGAAAAATCACCATCATTGATTTTGATACTTACCTTTGCATCGATTTCTTCCTTTGGATACAAATAGATTACTGGTTTTCCGCCACGTAATCTTAAAATAAGATTAATTGTATCTCCATCATGAACATTATAATCCATCAATGTATTTTCATCTTCCATTTGTTTACCTTTAAAAATTAGTCTTTGCTGATCTGGGCAAATACCTTCTTTTTCTTTAATCATATCTTTCAAATATCCGACCTTACTATTGAGATCAATATTTAAGAATACAATTTCTTTTCCTGTTTGAGTCTTTATAGTGATTGCATTTGCCAAGTTAAGACGAGGAATAGAATTTTGGGATTTGTGATTTGTGATCTCCGAAATGTCTCGTTGAAGCTTGTTTTGGTAGAAAGAAAATAGTGAATCAAGAATTTGAATTCCGAGGATTGATGAAATCGTTTCAGAAATTTCAGACGCTTCTTCTTGACTGTTGAAATCTTTTAAACGTGCACGACTAAGCATCATTAATATGTCTGCTTTCCCATGATAATTTGAAAGATTTGTGAATAATGTTGCAAATTCGCAAGGACTTAGTTTTGCATAACTAAGAATTTTAGCTATCTGTTGAGGACTTCTTGCCGATAAGAATGTATCATTATCAGCATAACCAGATATATTTCTAGCAATCTCTTTCCAGTTTGGTTCCATGAAAACTAAATGTGAAATGAAAAATTATCCGCTACCTTTTCAATACTTGAAAAAAAAGAGTTGACTTTCTCCTGAATTTTTTCACTTTTTTTTAAAGTAAAAGTCGTAAATTCCCTATGATATATTTAACAAGCACGATCCTTCTATCATACATGTATCTCTCAAATTTAAATAATAATTAGAAATCGTTTTAATTTGATTCAAGCACAGCATATTTTTCTATCATTCATTAGTCTCTCAATCTCTTATATCTTTATTTCACTATAAGACTTATAGTATTTGGACTGCTGTATTTCTGAAAATATTTTCCAAAATTTCCATTTTAATAATTAGAACTGTTTAGTTAAAAAATTTAAAAAAAGAAGTTTAGCAATTCTAACAATGGCATTCTAAACGCAATAAATCTAAGAATTGTCATGCATTTTAATTCTTTTTTATAATAAGACTTAAAGAATCTTTTATGAATTCATTGGATTAATATTATGAGAAGACACATTAATTATAGTATTTGAAATGGTAAAAATATTGAAATATTGTTCTTGATTGATAAAAATGGTTTCTTTCGTTTACATTCATGTTCTCCATTGGTAGGTTAATGTATTTTCAAATGATATATGTTGAAGTAAGAAAAAAATTTAACGTCATTTTATCACTTTTTATTGTAAAAATATTTTTCTGAATGAGCACTTCAGCCAGTGAAGAATTGAAATCTGAAATTTCATATGACGAAGAAGAATCATCTGCAATCGATGTGAAAAAGATTTTAGAGAGCCTCAACATTAGTTATGAAGAAGAAGAGGAGGAAAAATCAGAAATATTAAATATTCAAGATACGTTAAATACGGAAAATCAAAAAAATTCAAATGCTGAAGTCAAAAAACAAGAAAAACCACACGAAAAAACATATTTTGCTCACAGATATGAAACAGGAATAACTAAGACTCCAAAAAGGCGAAAATTCAAGCCAATAAAACCAAGAAATGAATCACAAAGTTTATCAGCACCGAATTCTCCAAATCCTCGTAGGCTAAGCATTCATGAAAAACCGAGTTTACCACCTAAACAAGATCCTGTACAACATGAGAATCACAACTATGCTGTTATTTCAAACGAATCATTCATGAGGCTTAATAAAGGCTATAAATCTAACATTAGACCAAAAAGATTCAGTGTTGATGACTACATTCCAGAGCCACCACTCAGAATTGTCGAGAAAATACCTAAATGCTATAGAGATACAGAGGAAAGATACGAAAGAAATGGTCAGGAAACAAGAAATCGGTATGCACCAGAAGTTCCAACAATTGATTCATATCTTCAGAAGGATTTCAAGCCATCTTATCATACTAAAGCTGAAAAAATTAAAGAAGAATATACCCGTCAAAAGATTCTCAAGCAACAACGTGCTGAGATGGTTGAAAAACTCAATCAAGATATGAGAAAAGCATCAATGGAAGAAGCAAAAATGAAGATGAAAAATAGACCATCAAGGCCAAGGCCTATTGACAATCCTGAAAAGAAACTAAGAGATTTAAGAACAAATATGAGAAATAATTACGAATCTTATATGAACTTTGTAAATGGAATGAAGGATAATATCAGCAAGCGTCAATGTTTGCTTGAACGCCTTGAAAACCAATTCATGGCAAATCAACAAATCTCTGATGATGAAGAGTAATTTTTTTCCTTATTCTCAATAAACTGTTTGAATCATGCTCAATCATTTGTTTTTTACCTAAGTTGAATTTATTTATTGCTAAGGATTCTTTAATTTTAAGGATGCACTTTAACTCGAAACCATATTCTTCGTGTCTTTCTCTCAAAATTTGATACTATTGCGGTTTTGGTTGGCAATGCATATTGTCCAATTATACAATTTTAAGCCAGATAAAGAGCCACACCATATATAATGCGTGTTTACACTCTATGTGCATAGATGGAATTGATGTTCATCTTTATTTAGGTACCAAAACACATGCTTGTAAAATCTCTTTTTTAGCCGAGAATAAAAATTCTCGTTAGATCTAACACTATTGTTATCCTTTTTAGAACAATTTTTCATCATCAGAATTATAGTGTAGTAAATGATAATAATACCTGAATATCAATTCCTTTATCTTGAATTCATTAAGGATGTATTAACTACTTTCTGACATTCTCTCAATTTTTTGACGTCGTTATCATTAATTTCCAATTTGTAAGGTGGAGAAGGGGTGTTTCTGGACGGTAAAAAGCTGCTGTAAAACAATATATAGTTCCTAATATGGTTATTATACTTTTTTGTTATTAGAATAAGCCACATACTGAAGTCATTCAGATGCAAATTTAAAAAAAGGAATTAATAATATATTTTGAAAGCGAAGATAATTTTTTTTATTTACAGAAGTCCGTCTTCATCAATTTGTCTGAAAGTACGTTCCTGGCATTTTCTGAAGACGTCTGAAACGATTGCAGTGACTTCGTCGGCGGGAACAGTTCCCATCTGGTCGAATCTCTGCTTCAACTGTTCCACAGCTGAACCCATAAATCCGAAGAAAAGTTCTTTAGCTTTACTTGCTGCTTCAGCAGAAGATCTCTGTCTCTGGGAAGCCAATTCGTCCTGAAGTTGGTGCACGTCAGACTCAAGTTTTGTGAGATTTCTCTCCCTTATATTTCTCAATTCCGCTTTGAGATCTTCGTTCTCTTTCCTCAAATCTTTTGAACCTCTCAAGACAGATCTCAACTGTTCGAGTTCTGTCGCTGTGCTGTCGAGTTCTTGTTTCAGTCTAACGCCGCTCTTTGAGCCTTTGAGTTCTGCAATAAGACGCTCTTGGTCTCTGATCTGGCGCTCTTTTCTGTCCAAGTCTGCGGCCATTTGCTGTATTTCGTCGCATAAAACAGCGGTCGGCATTTCCTCGTTTGCCTTGGACATCAGCTGGTCGAACTTGGAGGTTAAAAGAGCGTTGAGTTGGTCCATTCTGGCAAGAACTTGCGCTTCATCAACTGTTGGAGCGTTGACAACTTTGACAACTTCGCGAATTCTTTCTGGTTGTGGGGAGGAAACAGGCTGCTGAGGAGCAGGAGCTTGGTATGTCTGTTGTACGGTCCTGGAAGAGTCAGAAGTATTTGTTGTTTCGTTTGTTTGGTAATCAGAAGTATCTGATACGGAATGAGATGCAGGAGCTGGCATTCCTGGCATGAAAACTGCACCAATTCGTTTCATCTTGTCCGAAAATGATGTTGCTGGTGCTTCTTCTTCCTTCTTTGGAGCAATTGGAGTAGATTGTGGTTGTACTTGGGTAACAGGAGCTTGAACAGGCTTCTGGACTGGCTGCTGTTGTTGCTGAGGCTGTTGCTGTACTACATGTTGTGTTTGAGGCTTATTAGATTTTGATGATGTGATTGTAATTAAAAATGTAAGGATAGAATTAGGAGGAATCAAACCACCGGCAACAGCGTTTGGTCCGTATGCTAATTCTGGTGGAATAAAGAGAGCTCTTGTGCCTCCAACGTGCATTCCAATTGCGCCTTGGGACCAGCCTTTGATAGTCTTGTCGCTACCAATTGTAAATGAATATGATTCGTTTGCATCGAATTTCTTTCCGGTTGTTGGAAGATTGCCACCTAAAAATCCAATGTAGGAAACAGAAACAGTATCGTCAGTATCAACAATCTGACCATTACCGATGAGTGCATCGTAAACCGACATCTGTGCGCCGGTTGTATTTTCTAAGATTGATCCAACTGTAATTGCGAATCTTGCAGCGCTTTCATTATCTGAAAACCTAATAGTCCATTGAATTCCACTTTGATCTGTAATATAGCCGAAGATTTTTTCGCGTAAATTAAATTTCATTGAAGTTGTAACTTGAATTTGAAGAAAAGGTTGATTTTGGTTTTGATAAATTACAATATTGTGAGCTGGTGGATTTGGTTTTACTATTAACATGAATTTTCCATAATCAACATTCTTATTTTCTTGAGTATTATATTGATAAAGGAAAATCTGGCCCATATATGGAAAAGCTGGCTGTTCAGGCTTTGCTTGTTCTATTTTAGGCTTATATTTGAAACTTACTTTATCAATAGATTGTTCTGCGCCGAAAAGCGCGTCAAGTGCACTCATCCTGAAAAAAATGAAATTTGGAAGAGTTATTTCACCTTTCACATTTCATTAATCATATTAACTCTAGATTTCAAAAATATTTTATTAGGATGTCAAACAAATTCTGTCATATTTTCAAAATATCAAATTTAAAATCATGTAGAATTTGAAATTATTAATAGGAACTTTCTAAGCATCCATCTACAAAGCTCATATTTCAAGTAACATGAATAATTTAAAAACACATAACAATTTAATAGGAAAAATATAAAATTTGATAGAGTTTAGTTTACAATTCTTCTTTTATGCTATTAGGTGGTTGGCTATGTGCTGTGAATTGATAACCATTTAGCCAATCAAATATGAGATCATGAAGAGTGCTGGAATATAACATTGTGAGGTGATTAAGGAAAGGATTAGATGAATTCAAGTCATAACATGTAATATTCTTCCAATTATCACAAATGTATTTTGGACCTTCCGCATTAACAATAAGATCTCCTGGTCCATAATTACTCCTTGTGAAAATTGATTTCCTCAAGTCAACACTTTGCAATGTATACAGTCCAGAGTTATATATTACGGCAACAGGAACATCTGGTTGCTTAGGAGCATTTACAAAGAAATGTTTGATTTCATTGAAAATATGGAGAAAATCGCCATATAGTTTTCCATGATTAACTAAATAGTCAGGGAGTTCGTGGGCTTTATATTCTTTCCCATCATTTCCATACAATATTGTTTGGTTTCCAAATATCGCGAAGTTAGGCATATGTATTGAAATTCCTTGATTCGTACTCAATGTTTTCTTGTATCTACCAAGATACCAGAAAAATGGAACACGTTTTGTTCTGATTGTATCAAATGAGGTCACAGAGCCCCCAAAGGATGGGGCTATATAGATAACAGAGTCAATATGTTCTTGAACCCAAGATTTATCTTTTAAAATGGTCAATAAATTGTTAACTAAAAAGCAGCCCATGGAATGCCCTAGCAATACTACTTTTTGACCTAATTTTTGATGAATTTCTTCGATAAATTTTATCAAATTCTCAAAATATTCCATTTTTTGGTTTGCTCCATATCTCCAGTCATATGGAGCCCCAAAAATATCATACTGGTCTTTATAGCCTTCTTTAATGAATCGGTCTGCTAAAATTTTATAATATGGAACAACATGAATATTAAAGAATATCGTGTCTACATGATTTACATTATCGATCTTTCCTATTGGCTTAGGCTTAATTCGAATATAATTTGGCTCAATTGTTCTGTTATTTATTGGATCCCACTCCATTCTTAAATAATCGAGCAGACAATTCCATTGGAATGGAAATATAATCCTTTTGCCTATATAAATTATTTCATTTTCATGAATTCCACAATACCAATATGGCTTCTTTGAAACATTCCCATAAAGAGGCGAGCCTCCAAGACCAGGGAATAATATTACAGGCTTATGTGACATAGTCAAAGCTGAAAAATAAATCAAAAACATAAAATGAACTTATAAAATTTTGCATCAAAGCGATTAAATCAGTTCAATTTTATCGTTCAGAAAAATTTTATAAAAAAGTGCCAATATAAAAGGCGAACTTCATTGACAACAAAGATATCGACCAAAATTGTTCACATTATGCTTGACATATGAAGCATAGTAATAGCGTGTATGAACTTATAGAATGACTTTCGTTTAAATTCGAGGTTTATAATAAAATATCCATATTTTGCTTGATAATGCAGATATTTTATTGTACCATGAAAATTGAACGAAGAAATCGCTCAAGACGAACAAAATTCGATGTTAAGAAAGGAAATTTTTTATTGATTAGGCTGCTTTCAGGTATTTTTTGAAGAAGCACTTCTTCGTTTTCTTTTTTGCATTTGCATATAAAATATGCACAAATAAGGATTTACATTTAAAAACATTTTTCGAATTGGGTAAATAAATCATTAGATCTTAGATTTTATTAATCGGTTCTTCTTACAATGAGATTGTAGTAACAATATCTGTGTATAATAGTTGAATTATTGCTAATTTGCTGTAAATTTTGATAATTTTCAAAAACGATCTATAGTATTGTTCAAATATAATAAAATTCAATAATATGCGATAACATTGACTGTTCACAATCGATATTAAGTGAATGATGAAAATCGATATCAATATTTCAAATTTTCGGGGCTTTTTTGTCTGGATGCAATCACCTTTGGCACCTGGAATGAATTTATCCTTGGTGAATTTCTCCAAATTTTTTCTGTTTTCGAAATTGCCCAAGCAATTTTTTAGAAAATTTTAACGATTTTTACAATTCTTGATTTTTTTTGGAAAAATGAGGTTAAATATCCTGAAAATTTAAAATTAATATAGAAACAAAGCATTTTTATTGAATTCTAAATCGACAAATGCTTTTTATTTTTATTATTCTATATTTTCCTATTAAAACATGTCAATTATACAATATAATCAAATAATAATTTTTCAATGATAAGTAAAATAATGCAATATACAATAGTTACATAAAAATATTATAATATTTTAAAATTTTTCTCTTTAGAACTTTCAAAAAAAATATATATCAAAAAAAGTAATGATGGTGAAAAAAATTAATAAGCTTATTCTTCTTCTGGTTTCTCCATTGCTTCTAAGAGATCCGGAGGAGCGAATCTCTGAGATCCCTTGTTTCTTTCCTCATCTTCGAGAACACACATGAAGCAAGAGTCGATACCCATCTCGAAGAGTGAAGTGAATGTTCCAGAAACGATGTAAGAAAGGATGAAAACGAAGATAGCTGGGATGTAGTAGTAGTAGAGATTGTTGATTCTCTTGAACCAAAGAAGGGAGCAACCAGCGCAGATTGCAGCAACGAAAACTCTTCCCAAGAAGAGCATGAAATCACCAACGAAGTTGACAGTTGTTGCGCGAACTGGGTTACGTAAGATCAATCCGAATGCCTTGCAAGCACCCTGCCAGAAGTTGTAACCATGGATAGCGATCAAAACATAAGCGTTTCTGTTGATGTAGCGGAGGAACTTCTCGAAGCACCACATGCAGCACTTCATGCACTTGATGATGAACTTGATGAAGCATGATTCCTGCTGTGCGGCCTTTGTCTTCCTGTCGATGTACTCAAGGCAGGCGCGGATGAACTGGCAGATGGCAATCAAAAGAGAACCAAAGGCCAATGAACCCATATGGTACTTCAATGCGCGGCCAAGTGACTTCGCGCAGACCCAGTGACCGACATTTTCATCACGTGGCTCGCGAGTGAAGTAGTACTTGGAGAAAACACCGGCGAAGGACATCTCCATGAGGGCTGTGACGAAGGCTGTGCCCCAGAGGAACATGAAGAAGTGGTAGATGGATCCGTACTTGATTGCGTCGCTGTACTTCATGTCTAACCAGCCCATTGTGACATAGTCGGTCTTCTTGCTCTCATCGTATGTAAGAGTGCCGGCGCCGTAGAGGACATAAGCGATGCCAATGCAAAGTGCCCACCAGCAGAGCATGATGAGGAAGAAGATGAGTGGGAATAAGAAGAGCATTGGAACTTCACCGAATACTGTGGAAACAAACTTGATAATTCCAATTGTAAGTTTGATACGACGGCAAAGGAAGATGAAGAGAAGGAGAATGATGATGTCGACAACAATTAAGACGTAGAAGATGATTGTAAAGGCCTTCTGGTTGTTTGTCTTGTTGTTGAAGGCGAAATTGTACTTGGTGTCTGTATTTTCGGACTTGTTGTTTGGATTGATGCCGGAGACATAATAGGCAGCCCATGTGAAGAAGCCAAGGCCAACGAAACAGCCAATGATAGCAATCCAAACGAAAACAGCAGCAGAACATCTTAATGTGAGGATCCAAATAACGGAAAGGAGTAAGGCAATGACAGCGAAGCAAAGGACGTGCTTCCAGGTCTTCTTGATGTCACTGTATGCGTTACCAACAGATCCGATACCATTAATGAACTTTTCGATATCGTCCCAAAGCTTGGAGTTATTGGAGAAGTCGGCTTTCTCGATGGCCTCTGTAGATGTGCATCTAAGAAGGAATGGTGTTGTCCTATAAGGGCAAACATACTTCTTATTGCCAACAGCGTAAGGATCGAGGATTGTAGCTCTAATTGTGACATTGTCGATCTTATAGCATGTCTCGTTTTCCTCTAAATGCTTGTTCCAGTAGTTATGGAAGACGGAATAGTTGAAGATACCTTCTGTTGGGCATTCCTTGACGCACTCGGAGACGACATTGCCATCTGGAGCCTTTGTACCTGGCTTGGACCAGAATAAGTACTTCTTATCTGTATAATCAAGGGAATAACCGTTTGAATTGTTCAAGGATTTATTGAGCTTCGTGTTATCGTAACCGCAAAGGAAGCCTCTGTAATCTGTTGGTGTGTACAAGTAGTTGACCTTAGAAATTGAAACAGCGTAGAAGAACAAGCCGAGCATAGCAGCAATAGCTACGAAGAATAAAATAAGGCAGAAGCAATCTGTGCAGTGTCTATCTTCTTCTGGACCGTTGAAATTTGGATCATATGAGTATGGAGTGTTTAAATCGTCATCATACTCATCGTTTGGCTTACTGGAGGTAAGATCTTGGTGCTGGACTGAAGAACTACCACCGCCACCGCCGTAGGTAATTCCTTCATCGGCGCCGTAGCGAACTCTGACCTCAGACATTACTAAATTTATTCGTAAAGTTTTCAAAAATATCAAGGTTTGAAAAATTCAATAATAAATTCACCGGAGTCAACGGCGTTTTATTTTTTTACATAGTACTTGGCTTATTTAGTTACTCACTGGTACGATAGGGATCCAATTTTCATTTCAAAGGTAAATCGATTATGAAGGAAAATATTATTGTCCATTATTGGTTAATTAATTAATATTAGAAATTTCTAACATTTTTATTTCAATTTCGGATGATCTCAATTTATAATGATTTCATGTTTAATCAACATAACATTGTAACCCAAGCATACTATTTAATTCTTTGAAAAATTTGAATGTCACATTTCATAAAAAATTGACAAAGGAACGTGTAAAATTTGATGACAAATTTGCATTTCTTGCATGAATTAATTTAAAACTATGCATCAAACATAATTTGCGTAATATCGATTCTCAACTACAGATAAAATCCGAAAAATAATTTTGAATTTTGTTAAATTGGCTGCAAACTTAGTAAAAATACATAGGTTATGAATAAGAAATCTGTTTATTTATCTACATTTTATAATTAATATACTTTTTTTTTATAAATTCCATCTATTGAAGGTTTCTGTTGTATCTGCGCTTCCTTCTAACTTCTTATAGTTTTCAATGATATCCTTGACCTTACCTTTAACTTCCTCGACCTCTGAACTATCAACATAAATATCAAATAACTCAGATTTGGCTAAATTCTTAACAAACGCGAATTTCTTCTTAGTTGTGAAGCTATCAAGGGCATTAACAACATTTCGGATGATTTCTGCATCCAAAACGTCGCCAATACTTTTAGATAACTGACTTGGAGGAATTTGGGTAAGAGTTTCCTTGTATTGCTCTGGTCTGAGGTCTGACCATGATACATTAATAGGCTCTTGAGCTTTCTTGGCTTTCTTTGCTGGAGAAGCTTGTTTCTTTGGAGATTTTGTTTCTTTCTTGATATTTTGGACTTCGTTAAGGATATCGAGAGCTTCTTTAGTAGCGCTATCGAGCTCTTGTAACTCTGGTGTTGCTTTCTTTGGCTTTTCCTCTTCTTGGACAATTTCGATTTTCTTTGGCTTTGGCTCTTCTTCCTCTGCAACAATTGCAACTTTCTTTGGCTTTGGCTCTTCTTCCTCTGCAACAATTGCAACTTTCTTTGGCTTTGGCTCTTCTTCTTCGGCCACGATTTCGACTTTCTTTGGTTTTCGCTCTTCTTCTGCGACAATTGGAACTTTCTTTGGTTGTACAGGTTCTTCTGATACTATTTCGACCTTCTTTGGCTTTGGTGTCTCTTCAGAAACGATTTCAACTTTGGATGGAGCAGATGGCTGAATTTCGTTCATAGAAACAGATTCTTCTTCGACAATTGTCACCTTGTGAGGCTTTGGAACAGGCATTGGGATGAGTTTTGGCTCCTCTTCGACCTTTTCTTCCTCGACAATTTGAACTTTTGGTTTCTGTACTGGTTCTTCTGATACTGGCTGGATCTTTGGTGATTCTACAGGCTTCTCTTCCTGTACTGGCTTGATCTTTGGCTCCTGGACGACTTTAATCTTGCCATCTGCGGAAATTCCGAGTTTGGCACGGATTTTTGTAAGCATATCGGCAATTTGATGGAAGTTCTTTGCTTGGTCTTCGATGAATTCGAGGTCCTGAAGTGCTTCGTAGTCCTTTCCAAGAGCTTCTCTTGCACATGCACGTCTCATGTAAGCTTTGACGTAACGAGGATCGTATTTGATAGCTTCTGTGGCATCTCTTTCAGATTCTCTGTAGTTTCCGTTGAAGAATTGTGTTGTTGAGCGATTGAAATAGTAAACAGCGTTTGTTGGTGCGAGTTTGATAGCTGCTGTATATTCACGAATAGCGGCTTCGTATTTCTTATCTTTGAATAACTTGTTACCTTTCTCTTTGTGCTCTTCTGCTGTTTCCTTTGTATTTTCTTCGATATCATCATCTCCTTCTTCATCCATTTTCTTAAGTTTGGCATCGAGTTTTTGCCACTCTTCGTATGAACGTCCGTATGCGCCTTTTGATGGAGCTGTACTCGTTGCTTCCTTTACTGGAATTTCTTGTTTTGCGTCTGCTTTGACTTCTGCTTCTTTCTTGATCTCAACTCTGGTAGGAGCAGCATCAGTCTTCTGTTCTTTTGGCTTTTCTGCGTTTTCTTTTAGTACTTTTTTAGCTTTTTCAATTAAATCTTGGTCTATTTTCTCTATCTTCTCTTCCCATGAAATAATGGACTGTAAGTTTTGGCGTGTTTCATTTGCTTGGTTTCGAATCTGAAGTTGAATATCAACAGACATTGAATTGAAAAAAAAAAATAAAAAACGTTCTTCAAAAAAATTTTTATAAGTGTTCCGACAAAACGAAATATGGGAATAGTAAGGTGACATGATTTGCATTAAATGCATCCAGTAGATATTAGCCTGAATGACAAAAATCAAAATTTCGATAATAAAATATTGATGAAATACGCTTATTTAGCATTGGATTAATCATACAATATAGAATTATTCATGAATTGATATGTAAAATGAGAATATTCATAGAATTCAGAAACATTTCATTTTGAATTTCATAGATTTCAGACGAAAGAGAATGGTTTTGGCATGTAATTTAAAAATATGATAAAAATTAATATTGTATATATATTTAATAAATAAAACTCTAATTGATTGTAATTGGCTTCTTCTTGAGGATTCTGCAGAAGGCATAGACCCAACCACCGATAAGAAGGAGGGTTGGAAGCATTCCGAGAATTGGGAAAATTGCGTATTTGGAATTGAATAAACCGAAATCAACTGGAGGAACGGATTTGACTTCTCCTTCGTATTCGATCATGTTCTTATATGGATCCTTAACTTCACCAAGAATTGTAACATGGCCAGGCTCGGAATCTTGAGTCTTAAGATCGAAAACAAATGGGCGTGGGGATGTTGGTGATGGGTATACTGATCTTGTTCCAGTGAATATATCATAGTAACTTCCTGAAACCATATCATCTCGATATACGTACATCTTGTCTCCATTAAGATAAGCTTGAGCGCCAATCATGAGCTTTTGAGCACCAGGAGCATAGAATACGCATGTATCTTTGTTCTTTTCGTCTGCTTGCATTGTGTAGTTCATTTTTTGTGTTGTGATGATCTTGAAACCGTTGATGCAAGCTGTATTTTGATCTGTTGGAAGTGTAACGTGAGCAAGGGTAACGCATTGGTCCTTTGTCAGGTTAGCGACAATTTGAACATTACCCTTTGGGAATCTCAATGCTGGGAATGACATGTTAATATCTACTGGTGATGTGCCGGCTGGATAGCTATATTGTAATTTTACGTTTGCTGGAGCTTCAACCACAGCAACAATGAAATCTGAGCGCTGCATGTAATCGAAAACGTAAGATGTTTCTTCTTCTGGGCAATTCCTAACAAAGTCAATTGTGTTAAGAAGGTGAACTGTGCTTGTGGCACATAAAACATTGGAAAGGAAATACAAAAACATTTGTCACGTTTTATCATCGTCCTACAACTCCGATACTATAGTTCTTTGAATTTTTGAATCAGATTTCAGTCTGTCGTTTTTGTCGCTGATCTAAGAATGAAGACATTAAAAATGTCCGAAATTTTTCTACCTGTATTTAAAAATCAATCGAAATTTCTTCAACCATTCTAAAACTACTTGAAAATCTTAAAAATTGCTCCACTTTCTTGTTTATATAAAATTTCTAGAATCCTGGTTCAAAATTACACAAGAATCTTCCAATTTCGATCAATTGACTTCAAAACATTTGAGAGCGTTTGAAATCAATGTTATTTCTCACAAGAAGATATTGTTCGGATGGAAAAATCCCCAATTTATCAACTTCTCTAAAAATATGATTTTGGTTGGTCACAATTGACAATATTGGATATAGATACTTAGTTTCAATATTATAATTAATATCAGAACTTATATTCAACATATTAAAAATTTTTGAGCTAACGTGAGTAGTAGGATAGGAAGGGTTGTGTGACTTTTTTTGTTACGTCTATATATAGACGAAGGTATATTTTCACATCTTCTATATATAGATGATATAAAAATTTTTTCTTACGTTTTTTAAGTCATGAATTCGTAAGAAAGCGCGACATTATTAAATAAATTAGTAATAAATATTTATATACTAAACGCATTAAAAAATTAACATTAATATTAAAATAATTTATCTTTTATCTTTTATAAAAGAAGCTATATATAGATGATGTCAGATATTCCGCGATTAATTAAACATTGTTTAAATCATGAATGGAATCAATGGAGTCATAATCAAAGACCTCATAAACGAGTAAAAGAAATTAGAAATAATTATTTTCATGAATGAAAGATTCACTACCATAATGAAATAAAAAAAAATTTTTTAAAAATAAACTTTAAAAATTAATGTCTTACATTTTTGAATAATTTATTTTTATTTTGTATGAAATGAGCGTCAAGACTAACGACATGAAAACATTAGGATTCACAAACGAGGAAATAAAGGATATATTAGATGAGGCGGGTTATGAGGTTAGTAAATATTATTTAAGAAATTGTCAAAAATTCGCGGAGTTTTTAAATGAGTTTGATTATGATGGAAAAATGAATAAAGATGATGTTATAAATTTCTTATATCCCACATCTAAAGAAGGAACCGTTAATGATGTTTTTCCTGAATATTATGAAGAACGGATTAAAGATGATGAATACGATGAAATTGAAAGACTGGAAAAAATAAGAGATGAAATAGATGAAAAAATTAAGGAATTAAGAGAAGTTGAAAATGAAGTAGAGGGTTTAATGAATATCCCAGCTTCAGAATCAGAAGTACAGAAATCTCATGAAGAAAGATATAAAAATTATGTCTCAGAATCAACACAAAATTTATTAGATGGTGAAATAGATGAAACACTTTCAGAAGAAGGTACTAAATTTATTCGTAAACATAAGTTACAATTTATTGATAATGAAGAATACCCTTGTATCTTACTTTCACCACCTTTAGATTCCGAAAAATTCAAAAAAGCTCTTAAAAACGTGACATATGCAACTAATACGATTAAGAAAGAAGATCATGATATTTACACAAATTATTATTTAAATAAATGCACAGGTGTTGATAAAGTTTTTGATTTATTAGATAAAATATCAAAAGAAACCATTGGAACATATAAAATTTTGTGTGATTGTGGTTTCATTATTGAAGATACCAATAATGTTTCATATGAAAGAACAACACCGAAGGAAGACGAAGTGGAAAGGTCTATACCATTCGTTATTAAGAATATAAAAGATATGAAAACTTATAAGCATTATATTTATTCATTTATTTCAGAAAAAATGGAAGCAACCCATAAAACATCTTCTCATCATTTTTAGCTATTCATACATTCCTTTTCAAAGTTGTGAAATTAAATAAGACAGGAATTAGATTTAATGTATCAGGGTACGCATTCTTGAGTAAATTAAAATGTATTCGTCACGTCGCAGATGATAAAAATTTATGTGTTCTTAATTCATTTTATGGACTTTAAAAAAATAAACTTTATTTTTATTTATTTTTTAATTTTTATTCTTACATAAATGAACAAAAACGGAACAGCTAAAATGAATGATAATCAAATTAGAGCAGAAGGTAGAAGGTTATTTAAACGCTTCTATAACATTTCTGATGGTGTTAATCCTAAAACTCGTAGAAGCTATTTAAATGAAGCAATAGATGCATATGAAGGGTTTGACATTTCATCAGAAAGTGAGAGATTAGCGAGAATGTTAAATGTTAATATTGATTTCTATTATTGTGATCCTCAACCAGAAGACGTGGACATAAATAAGGTAGACTTTCCATTAGTGGAATCAATAATGATAGATCCAGAATTTGAAACAGTAAATATTTTATTAACACAGAGTCCATGTGGAAAACTTCACGCTGACAGAATAACAGACGTTGAAGCACTCACCGGCTATAAAGTTTGTCCATATTGTAAAGAAGAAGTTTATTCTATCCGTGATGATCCAGAAAGGAAAAACCAAAGAAGATTTTTAAAGCATTGTGAGAAATGTAAAGAAAATAATGGGAGATTAATTCAAGACGTTCAGTTGCAAAAGACACAGCAACCATATGCACCACATATTACGAAACAGAAGATATATCAGTGGTTATTAGCTCATAATTTGCAGAAATATTATAAACCGACAAGATATTATATTACTTTTGACTTCGAAACATTAGAGACTAAAGAAGAATTACAACTTTCTGAGTGTGCAACTTTGAACGCTTACTTAAAACCATTCATGGTATCATCAACGGTTAAATTAAATGATAAAACATATACGAGGAATTTTTGCTTAACTTCGAGTGATTCTTTTATTTCTGATTGGATTGAGTTTTTATTTTCAACCTGTTCATTAGTTGCTAAATCAAATATTGAACAATATGAAGAATTAATGAAGTCGCAAACAGACCAAACGGTGGGGACTTTGTCTCATACATTAAATGAAAAACAGAAGGAAGCATTTAAAGAACTTCTAGATGAGGAATTCAATAAAGTGAATATCATAGGTTTTAATTCGGGAAAGTTTGATTTAAATTTAATTCTTCGTGATTTAAACACTGCAAAATGGAAAATAAAATCAATGCTGGGTTCATCTTCACAATTTAAGCAAATCATTGTAAAGAAAACAAACGTTCCATATGAATTGAGATTTATTGACATCAGAAATTATATAGCGGGTGGGACATTAGACCAATTCACTCAAGATTTCGGAAATAATAAATCACGTGTTAAATCCTTTTTCCCTTATCAATTCATCACATGGGAAAATTACGAAGAAGAATTATATAAAGTGGAACCATTCACTCAAGATTCATTTTATTCAGCATTAACTCAAGAAACTATATCAGATAGTGATTATCAAATATATCTCAATGATGCTAAAATTTTTAAGAATAGATTAGAATATTTTATTCATTATTGCAATAAAGATGTTGAAATTATGATTGACCCAATCGATAAAATTATTGAAGAAACATTTGTTTATAAAATTGACATGCTTCATAATCTTTCTTTATCATCGAATGCTTCAATGATTCGTTACGCTTTAGCATATAAAGACTTTAATCCTAATGAAAAATATCCTGAGGAAGAGATAGAATCAAGTTTTGAATTAACGAAAAAGTATTGGAAATATAAAATTGAATCATATAAGAAACAAGATGAAAAAGCAGAAAGGGATACTAAAAATAATGTTTCAATGGATGATTTTCAATACTATCACGATTTAATCCTTTCATCTAAATGCAAAATGTGTGGTAAAGCGTTTACATATGCAAATAAACCAACATTAGATAGAATCGATAATGAAAAACCACATACCAAAGAAAATTGTCAGTTAATGTGTTGTTATTGCAATGTCGTAAAATCAAATAAAGATGAAGATGTTCAACGTTTAAGAATCAATTTAAGAAATTACGCATTAAAAAATAATTTACCAATGACTTTAGATTCAGTTGAAGCTTATCACATTCTCCGTAATGGAATTACTGGTGGTTTATCAAATGTTCAACACCGTGTTAATCTTAAAGGAATCACACACATTAATAAACTTTCATATAGTCCAGAAACTAAAACTGTATCAAATGAGGACACTTCCAACATCATGACTCATTTCGTTGGTGTTGATTTTAATTCATTATATCCTTCATCATTTTCATCTAATCCTCATGATTTCATTCAATATACTGACCATAAAATGTATATGCCGGGAAGATTGAATGGTGTTATCATTTGTGATACAGCAACAAAGAAAGCAAAAGCACTGGGAATAATTAAGAAGAAAAATACTTTATTCGTTGCTGAAGTAAAGGGTCACATTGATGAAAAATACATTAATGATTACATAAACTTTTTACCGATAATAAGAAACTTAGATATTATCACAGATGAAAAAACAATTGGTAGTTTTATGTATAATTACATGAAATCAAACAATCTACCAGTTGACCAGAAACAGAGAAAATTAACTCAATTAGCATCAACACACAACCAATATCAACCATTTTCTTCTTATTATCTTTGGTATCTAATAGACAGATTTCATTTTATCATTGATGACATTCAATCAATTTTAACATTTACTAAAAACACTTGTTTTAATGAATTTGCGAACAAATTTATGAACGAAAGACAAAAGGCTGAATTAGAAGGAAATAAAGGAAAAAGTTTATTTTGCAAAATTTCACTTAATGGATCATATGGTTACGATGCAATGAATACACAAAATTACGCAAAGACTAAAATAATGAATGCACAGAAGGCACGCGTTGCATGTATGTCAAATAAGTTTAAAAACATAAGAGAAATAGGTGAAGATACATATCAAGTGATGCTCAAAGATAGATTTTATAGATGTGATACATGTTTACAAGAGGCATTCTTCACTTTAGATAATGCTAAATACTGGTATTTGGTTTTCATTTATGATTTTATGTATAAATGTATGAATGTTAATCGTTTTCATTTCATTGAAGGTGATACTGATTCATCTTATTGGGCAATCGCTGGCGATCCAAGTCTTCCTAACACTCAAGCATTTCAAGCAATTGTTACCGATAAACAATTTTATGATAAAAACATTTTCAAATTCGCACCATTTGATTTCTTCTGTTTTGATGAGAAATTTAAACCTAAATTAAAGAATAAAGCTGAAGAAAAAGCACATGAGAAAAAATTATTGGGTTTAGCAATTGAGAAAACAAGGTGATAACATGGTTGCTTTATGTCCTAAGTGTTATACATCATTCAACGGTTCAATTGATGGAAGTGATTTTAAAAAGATTGCACAAAAAATGAAGGGTGTTAGTTTAAGACAAAATAAGCAATTAACACCTAAAAAATATTTGGATATAATAAATGATAAAGTGATATTTGATGGTCAGAATATTAATTTACAACTTAAAAACGGGTCAATGACTCGCTTAACAATTGGTAAGACTGCATTAACAGGAGCACACACTAAGGCTGTATGTTGTGAAAATGGATGTTGTATGCCATTTATTTAATACAATTTAAAGTTTATTTTTAATGAAATGCCACAGAAGAGACAAAAGGAACCAAATCGATTTATACCAAATGGTTTTAACTTTCAGATTCCAAATAATCAACCACAACGAATTTTTTAAATCCCATCACAGCATCAACAGCAACAACAACCGCCACCATTTGATACCGTTTTAGAAGAAGGAACCGTTAATGATGGTTTTGATACTATGATTCAAAGAGGTGGGCACCCTTAAACATTTATTTTATTTTTATATAAATGAATAGCGTAGATTTAAAAAATTTAATTGATGATTTAGTACTTAATCAAAATTTTCTTAATTATTATGATTTAAAAGCATATCTCCAAAAATATGATAACAATATAACGGGTGATGATATGGAATATTATTATCCATATTATAAAAATGAAATTTTGAAATATCATGATAGAATAATTTCTAAAATTAAAGACAAAATTAAAAATAATGAATATACAAAGGGAAAAACTAAATCACAACTTAAACAGTTGAAAGATTTCAAAAATAAAGTATTAACAGAAGAAGATATTGATGAATTATATAATTTATATAATCCTGAGCCGCAAAAACCAAAGGAACAAAAACAAAAGATGCAAAACGCCCAGGTCCTTCAGACCATAAATGAAGCACAAGCTTTAATTTATGATTCATTAGTTAAACTATATTCAGCCCGACTTTTAAATGAAGATCAACTTTTGGAATTCATCCTTCAACATAAACTCGAAGCGGGAAAGTATATCAAACCTTTATATACAGCATATTTAAAACAAATGAATAGAATACATCCAGAATTAATGAAGGAAGGAATGAAATCCAAAATTAAAGCAGATAAAATTAAACCACTTGCAACACCAAAACCTCCAACGACAGTACCGCCTCCTCCTTCAGTTAATCCTTCATCATTCACTTTATTATATCCATTTCAAACATTAAAGAAGCAAAAAGATTTTAAAAAGGATTTCAAGATATTAAATAAACCAATTGACCCAAAAATTCAACCGTTAAAGGAAAAATTTAGTCGCCCTTCATTTGCTCCATATCCATATTCATACGAAATCGATCATCTGGAATATTCAAAAGGAAAAGTTACTTATTTATTTGCCATTAACATTAACACTAGATATTTATATTGCATTCCGGTGAAAGGGAAACAGAACAGGAAACAAGAAGAGCTATACAATACTTACTAGATCATGAAAGAGTAGATAATATAAGGGGTGATGGTGATAAAGGATTTCAGGCAACTATGACTCATTATTTCCCACAAATTAATTTTTCTTTTCATCCTCTCCATATACGTTCATAATAAAATAGTTTGATGCGGTAATGAGAACTCTTAGAGATGCGTTAGGGTTAACGGTCAGATATACTGGGATGGAAATCATGACTCCATCATACAACAGTTAGTATATTATTACAATAATACATGGCATAGAACTATAAACATGAAACCAGTGGAAATGAAAAATGATATTTCAAAAGAATGGGAATATATTAGAAAGCAAATGGAAAGGTTAAATGATGTTAAACGTGAACAAATTAATTCAGGGCTCATGAATTTTAAACAAGGGATAAAGTTTTGATTCATCTCGATTATGGAAAAACTGATAAATCAATGACAAAAAGAAGACGAAGATTTGACACAATAGCTGAATTTGTTAGATATATTAACGGCAATGCATTAGTTGAAGTTAACAATAAATTAATAGAAATTCCGATTTATTTTATTACTCCATTATATTTAAATAATATTTAATTTTTTTATTTCGTAAGAAATGAGTGACAACGAAGCAGCCAAGAGTCCAGACGATGAATATAAAAAGAAACTAAACAGAATTAAATCAAAAATATGCTATTACAAAAAGAAGCCACAATGCGGTGGGGTTGATGCCCATAAAACTAATGGAACTGAAAACGATGAAGAAATAATCGAAAAATTAGAACTTACCGTTCAATCCTTAAACTGAGTGAAGCAAAAATAAAAGAATTAATAGAATAAATAAATTGATTGGAAGAGATGAATTTAATAAAGATGAATTTTTAAACTCAATCCAAATTAATTTTTCTTTGACAACATCTCTCTTTCCATCATTACTGCATAACCGCATTTCTCAGTTTTAGTGGTTTGTTTTTTAATTCGTTCTTGCTCATTTTTATCATTTCCTCCCTTGTTATGATTCGTCGGTAAATTTGAGCTTGTGGGTATCCATTTATATAAAAATAAAATTTTGTTATCACTTATTTTATCGTTAATGGTTTCAGGTTATTCAATAATTAATTATTTTTGAATAACTGAAGGTTCACCAGTCACCAGTCACCAGGTTATTTAACTTCTCTGAAAAAATGAGACAACATGACATTTTGACAACAACACAGGAGGAAGGCAGTTATGAATTATTTTTGAATAACTGAAGGGTCACCAGGTCACCAGGTCACCAGGTTATTTAACTTCTCTGAAAAAATGAGACAACATGACATTTTGACAACAACACAGGAGAAGGCAGTTATGAATTATTTTTGAATAACTGAAGGTGTCACCAGGTCACCATCACCAGGTTATTTAACTTCTCTGAAAAAATAGACAACAACATTTTGACAACAACACAGGAGGAAGGCAGTTATGAATTATTTTGAATAACTGATGTCACAGCACACCAGGTCACCAGGTTATTTAACTTCTCTGAAAAAATGAGACAACATGACATTTTGACAACAACACAGGAGGAAGGCAGTTATGAATTATTTTTGAATAACTGAAGGTGTCACCAGGTCACCAGGTCACCAGGTTATTTAACTTCTCTGAAAAAATGAGACAACATGACATTTTGACAACAACACAGGAGGAAGGCAGTTAATAATTATTTTGAACTGAAGGTGTCACCAGGTCACCAGGTCACCAGGTTATTTAACTTCTCTGAAAAAAGAGACAACATGACATTTTGACAACAACACAGGAGGAAGCAGTTATAATTATTTTGAATAACTGAAGGTGTCACCAGCAGTCACCAGGTCACCAGGTTATTTAACTTCTCTGAAAAAATGAGACAACATGACATTTTGACAACAACACAGGAGAAGGCAGTTATGAATTATTTTTGAATAACTGAAGGTGTCACCAGGTCACCAGGTCACCAGGTTATTTAACTTCTCTGAAAAAATGAGACAACATGACATTTTGACAACAACACAGGAGGAAGCAGTTATGAATTATTTTTGGAATAACTAGTGTCACCAGGTCACCAGGTCACCAGGTTATTTAACTTCTCTGAAAAAATGAGACAACATGACATTTTGACAACAACACAGGAGGAAGGCAGTTATGAATTATTTTTGAATAACTGAAGTGTCACCAGGTCACCAGGTCACCAGGTTATTTAACTTCTCTGAAAAAATGAGACAACATGACATTTTGACAACAACACAGGAGGAAGGCAGTTATGAATTATTTTTGAATAACTGAAGGTGTCACCAGGTCACCAGGTCACCAGGTTATTTAACTTCTCTGAAAAAATGAGACAACATGACATTTTGACAACAACACAGGAGGAAGGCAGTTATGAATTATTTTTGAATAACTGAAGGTGTCACCAGGTCACCAGGTCACCAGGTTATTTAACTTCTCTGAAAAAATGAGACAACATGACATTTTGACAACAACACAGGAGGAAGGCAGTTATGAATTATTTTTGAATAACTGAAGGTGTCACCAGGTCACCAGGTCACCAGGTTATTTAACTTCTCTGAAAAAATGAGACAACATGACATTTTGACAACAACACAGGAGGAAGGCAGTTATGAATTATTTTTGAATAACTGAAGGTGTCACCAGGTCACCAGGTCACCAGGTTATTTAACTTCTCTGAAAAAATGAGACAACATGACATTTTGACAACAACACAGGAGGAAGGCAGTTATGAATTATTTTTGAATAACTGAAGGTGTCACCAGGTCACCAGGTCACCAGGTTATTTAACTTCTCTGAAAAAATGAGACAACATGACATTTTGACAACAACACAGGAAATAAACTTCTTCGTATATGTTTTGTCAAGACTTCTTCATCGTAATGAGTGTAAATGACCCAAAATATATTTTAGGGTAGAAGGGTAGATCTAACCTCATTTCTAACCTCTTGCGATTTTCATACGGAATCTCTTCCCTCGGTTTTCCGAGGGAAGCAATCATATGAGGAAATTCTTCTAAAAGTTCTTTTGTCTGTTGGTTTTCAAACCAATGATATGCTTGCTTTGTAGAACGAAGAGCGTTCATTATACTTTGCATTTGGTATATGTCATCTTTGACCGAACGAATGAGTCTCAATTGTTTGTTATATTGTATGTATTCGTATTCTTCATTAATGGCTTCATGAACGATAGCAGTTGTTGTGTTCTCTGATGTTGACATATCTGTCATTTCATACAAAATAAAAATAATTTTAAAACTAACGTTATTTTCTGACTTTCACAAAAGACCAAAAATAAACGCTTTACATGTATTTTTCAGCAACTTCGTCAAATAATTTTATAGCTTTATCTATCTCATCTACTTCAAACGTTTCTTTACCTTTCGTGGGAGCACCATACATTTTCTCAAAAACTTCAAGCAGTTCTGTTTCAGCAGCTCTCATATCATTAACGAACACAACCTTGACTCTATTGACTGTACTGTCATATCTTTGAGTTATATTATATGTTCTTCCTATCTTATATCTCTTTGTATTGAAGTCCTTCGGTTTCTGAACGATGTAAAGTAAGCCTTCACTGCAACGTTCCGTATCGAATGAACCATAAGTTATGAAGTTATATCCAACAACTGGGTCTAACCATAACAAAACTATTGGTATAAGACTTTTGTCTATAAGATATGCTCTTGTTCCATGAAATGCTACTGATATCATAAGCTCAGGATTTCTTGTCAAAATTTTCTGAGTAGAAGCAATTCTAACCCAGTCCTTTGTTTTCTTTCCAGATGGAGATATAATGTCTGACAAAGAATATTTGTTGTATTTCTTTGAGTATCTTACGTTTAAATCACCTATTCTAACCACTTTGGTGTCATTGTCTATCTTTCTAACTGTTTCAAACTCAATGTTTGTCATTTCTGTCTTTACATACAAAATAAAAAATTTTCTTAGAAAAAACTAACTTTATTTTTCTAACTAATGAAATTCATTATTTTTGTTGCTGAATTCAATAAAAATATATTTTAGGTGAAGAGGTGAGATTTCACCAGTTTTCTCACCTAATTTTTCACCCCAGTTATTTTATAAGCGTTTTACATGAATTGTACGATGTATATTTGAAATTCTAAACAATTTCGTAGCTTCTATTTCTTCTGTCAGTATGTCAAAAGTTTTAACAATGCCGAAAGTTTCTTTATACTTCTTCTTGACGTCAGATAAAAGGAAATCATCAGCTGTTGGATAGTTTTTGTTCAGAAATGCTAACATGTCCATTTTATCTTCTGCTGGCTTTTCTGCTTCTTTCTTTAAGTCTGCGTAATCGTTTCTCATTCTTTCTATCTCTTTTAGTGAGTAGTTATATTTCCTCATTGCTGCTTTACATTTTGAGCATTGCGGATTCATTTTTGCGTTATACATTGAAACATTACCAGCTAAAATAACTAAAGCATCAATGGCTTTCTTTAAATCAAAAGTTGTTGGTTTTATTTGTCCATTCCATACTTTGCCTCTTCTGTCTTTATCTCTTATCTGCCACACACATTCAGCAGCTAATGAAACAAAGTTATCGTAAGTCTTAAACTCCTCAGATTTATATATGTCAGAAATGTTTTTATAAACCATGTCGCAATCTTTGTTCATAACTTTTATGGTGCAATGAAAACCAAGGAATTCATAATTTACTTTACGTATGAACTTCTTTATTTCTACTGAATCAGTAACTTTAACTTCAATTTCATCGAATTCAGGAATAGTTAGTTTTTGTTGCTGAACTTCCGGTAATTTAGGCAAATGGTCTATGATATCTTGCATTTCATATAGCTCCTCTCCATTTGTTTCATCTTTCGCACTACAGTCTAAATTACTTGTTAAAAGTTCTTGCTTTATTCTTTGTATTTCTGTTTCAAAAGTATATGAAGAAGGAATGAAGTTTTTCATCTCTACCAACATTGACGTAGGATTCATGATTAATGAATTTGGTGCCGTAGTTGTGGACAGAGTCCCGCTGTTCGTGGCTTGAATTGTTGAAATCATATCTTTTATACAAAATAAAAAAATAAAAATAAAACTAACTTTATTTCTTCTGTCTTAAGGAAATTCATGAAAATTCACGAGACCCAAAGGGTCTGAGCCGCTAAGCGGTGAGAGTGAAAAATTAGGTGAGAAAACTGGTGAAATCTCACCTCTTCACCTAAAATATATTTTTGTCTGATTTACATCCAACGAAAAAGTTTAGAAGAATTTTCTTATTCTTTCTGGCATGTTTTTATCTTTCCAGTACTCCCGCTCTAATGGACCCAGATGAGTTGGTTTAGATTCTCTCAAGTTCTTAGATGGTATAACATCTTCAACGCCTTCTTCATAAGTCTTGACAAAGCATATACGTTCATTACGATGAAGAAGTCATGAAAATTCAAGAGGTGAGAAAAGAGGTGAGAAAAGAGGTTAGATCTACCCTTCTACCCTAAAATATATTTTGGGTCATTTACGCTCATTACGATGAAGTCTTGACAAAACATTAACGTAACCATTAACGTAATCATTAACGTAAACATTTATTTCCAGGACTGTTGTCAAAATGTCATGTTGTCTCATTTTTTCAGAGAAGTTAAATAACCTGGTGACCTGGTGACCTGGTGACACCTTCAGTTATTCAAAAATAATTCATAACTGCCTTCCTCCTGTGTTGTTGTCAAAATGTCATGTTGTCTCATTTTTTCAGAGAAGTTAAATAACCTGGTGACCTGGTGACCTGGTGACACCTTCAGTTATTCAAAAATAATTAATTATTGAATAACCTGAAACCATTAACGTAATCATTAACGTAAACATTAACGTAAACATTATTTCTGCAGTTCATTCATTACTTCATTACCTAATTAATTACAAACATAAAATATATTTAGTTCATTCGGTAAGCCTAGACCCTTTGGGTCAAGTCTCAAGCACATTCAATGAACGCGGTAAGCCTGCAAAGTAGGCTCAAGTATGTTTATTGAACGCGGTACCATGCAAATACAGTCACAAATGGTGGCATATAATCTTTACCCGAACCTGTTGGATTTGTTGTGAAAGTATGGACATGATTTCCTCCTGGTTCAGTTGGTCGAAAAGTCTTTTTTGCTGAATGGTTATAATCTGGAGATAAAACATCATAACCAGCTTCATATTCTGAGTTGTATAATGGGTGGTCTCTTAATGAGTGGCTATGGTCGCCAGAAAAGTTTGTCGTTCCTGTATGAGTGTGCGGTGGAAGGTTTGCTTCTTTAATTTTCTTCGAACCTCCTGTTTGCTTTGAATATCTAGCACAGTATAAGAATTTGTCTACAATCTGCTTCCACGTACCAAAACCTAAAACTGTTGCTGGATTTGTTGAGTTCATTGACGTATAAATAGAACCAACAGGATATAATGTTTGAAGTATTTCATTTTTCATGCTTGTAATCACATCATTTACTTCCGACTTCTTTGCATAATTTTCATCAACATAAGTTTTATCTGCTTTAAGGTCTAAACATCCCGAAACCCATTCTGTATCAGCTTTAACTTTAAAAGTCTCAAATGTCCATTCATGATACCATTCAACCTTTTCTTTAATTTCATTATCTTTTTCATCCACATAAACCAAATTTGCCTTCTTATTTAATTCATTATCCACATATTCCTTATCTGCCTTCTTCATTATGTCGTTTAGGAAACCTTCTATGAATTCCTCATTTAAATTAAATCTTCCAATCTTCAAAACTTTAGGAAATGCATTTAATGCGTAATATCTCTGTTCTTCTGGTGGAATTGATGTTATATCATCCGTTATACCTTTAATTTTAGAATTCATAAATAAAATTTCTTTTATATTTGATATCACTGCACCGCCTTTGCAAACAAATTCGAAATGTTCATTTTTCAATACTATCTCCAAATCTCCATATTTCAACCTTTGCGTTTGTTCTGCCATCTTTGAATTATATGCATATATGGCGTATGTAATGGTCTGAAGGACCTGGGCGTTTTGTGCCTTAAGTTGCTGTGGTTTAATCATTTATTACGATTTAAAAATAAATATTTAATCCGTTATCTCATCAGCTATTTTCTCTATTTGAAATTGCCATAATATTTCATTCATGAATTCTAAATCACAATCAAATAGGTCAGTTATTCTAAATTTAATATTTGATAAATCTTTTGAATGAAGAATAAATGAATTCCCAGATAATTGAAACGGATATGATAAAGAAAATGTGTTTAAGTTGATGGATAAAATGTTTTGTATTGATGGGTAAGAGTTAGGGTCTAATGTTTGATGTGAAAATCTCATTGGGGTATTAACTTTATCACATTTGATTAAAATGAAATTGGAACCAGTGTCAGAATACAAAACATCCCCAACATCTTTTTCAAAATTTAATATCCCCAACAATGAACGAAGATGAGGAGTACAAAATTTAAGTTTCAGCGGAAATTTAATAAGGTTATTTATTTCATCAAGTTCAAAAAGTTTATCAGGTTTTGATTTAAAATTTTCTTCATACCATACGATAAATGATTCATTTAAATAACTTAAAATCATGTTAATATCCCATTTGCTATCACATTATTTATATACATATCATACGTTTTTTCAAGGTCATCTTTAATAAATGATATATAATCTGAAGGGTCTAAAAGAATGGGATTAAATTTACCACTCACAGAAACGAGAGTAACATTATAAATTCCGCTAACTGTTAAATTTAATTCACAGTTATTATTCGAAATAATATTGATAATTGACATTTTTATTACGATTAAAAATATGGTAAAGCGTTATTTTCCAGTGATAAATAAAACTAGAATAAGATTACCTCAAGAATTCATAAATTCAACGAATAAGAAATTCATTCATGTTATAAATTTTAGTGTTTTCAGAAAATATGAGTCAATGTCATATTCATCAACAGGTTATATTTCACTTCATTCAAATTTAGTTCAATCAAACCCATATAATGACCATTTCATAAGATTTTCAGATGGTATTAAAAATGTAATTGATAGATTAAAATATGAACAGATTGACAATATCGAATTTTTGGAATTTTGGTTTAAATATCCCGATGGAAAAAAGATTGAAGTTAAAGATAAAGCTGATACTATAACAAAAACAATTACAATGACCGATCCGGATAGTGGGGAACAAAAAGAAATAAAACAAACGATAGAAACTGGTGAAAGGTCAATTATTATGATTATGATTCAAAGGATTATTATTCGATAATGTTAATGCTTGAATATTAAATAGCCTTAACAAAGAATTTTTCAAGTGATATTTTATATTCATCAACTATTTTATTATAAATATCATTATATGTTAAATGAAGTTCAGTTGTTGTTCCGTTCTTTGATATCTTAATTGTGCTAATATCCTTTATAGGATTTATTTTTGCAACTGTTCCGCAGCATGAAACCTCATCATCTATGAAAAATTGAATCTTAACGTCTGAATCTTGAACATCACAAAGAATGGCGATAATGTGAATTAATGATTCATAAGGTAAAATAATTAAACCGGATTGATCAATTAAATTTATTATTGAATCATAATTATTAATTATTATATCACGGTAAATTTTCATTAATTCAGAATTAATGTCTATTTTATATGGGTTCTCGATGTTTGATGAAAGAGAGGTGGGGGTATGTTGGATAAGTGGGAATTTCAACAGGTTCTTTACCGGGTTCAGATAAAATGATTGGGTCTCCATTCTCATGGTTTTCTTCATTCTCCTCATTCTTCGGTAAGTCACGAGTTAATAAATTTGGTTGAGTTGCTGACCTTGTTAATTCGGGCTAACATTAACTTTAACATTTTGAATAATTCGTGATTTATCATCATTTACGTTATAACCAACCGTAATCTCTGCTTTTGCGTTAGTGTTCTTTTGACTAGTGAAACGTCTTCTCATTTATAATCGAATAAAAAAAATATATTTAAACTTTTATTTTGCTGGAACTTTTGAATCTATTATTCCCTGTATTTGTTCATGAAGTTGATTTTTAGCATTTTCATCGAAATTAATAGACCGAATATATTCATTAATTGCATTCTTATAATCATCTGATTTCTCAAATTTTCTTTTATCTGATTCCTTAACTAAATCATAAGTTAAACCACGTTGCTGATATAATGGTTTCTTAATTAAATCTTTGAATGCTTGAGATAAAGCACCTGATGCAATTCTTGCTACTATAATTGGTTGGAATTGCTGTTTAAGTTCATCTTTAACATTCGCGAAAACTGGATCGAATAAAGCAACTTTAAAGAATTTCTTAGCTGAAATTTCAGGTCTAATATTTGTATATTGACCATCAAACTGGTTAGAATATCGTGGTAATCCATCCGGTCCCTCTTCAATAGCATTTAATTCTTCATTGAAATAAGAATATGGATTATGACGGTATGAATTAATTGGACCATTTTCACCTTCTCTAATGTATTGTTTAACAGCTTTTCCATTTTCATCAAATTGCATAGGATAACGTTCATTATATGCTTTACGTTTAGGATAATCAGACATAGTTAATTTATAACCATTTATGACTTTAATATTACCTTGACCATCAGTAACGAAAACTTCATTTATACCATCAGGTTTTCCATTTGGACCCGTAATGTCTGCTTCGTGTGCTTCCCAATTTGGACCATGACATTTGGCATATGCTTGAGCTTCTGGTAATGTTAAAACGTTTCTCATTTGTTTAACATCTTTTTGAAGACCAGCAACAATATGAACTAATTCTTTCATTCCATCAGGAACTTTCATAGTTCTATTATATGCACCCCTTTTGTTTGTCCCTTGTTTTAATGGAACCTGTAGAAGATTTACCATTTCTGTCATGTTTAATTATAAATAAAAAATAAAAATTAATTATAAAAAGTTAATCAAATTTAACACTTCCTTTATTTAAATCAACTATTATTTTTCCATGTTCACCTAATTGCTGATATTGTGTGTAAAGTTCATTAATGCTCATTGGTAAATTCACTTGATAAAGCATAACGTTCAACTGTTGACGACTAAACCCACTGAAAATGAAAAGTGTTGATAGATTTGATTTAATGTTTGTGCTTAATGCTTTGAAATATTGAACAGCCATAAAGAATGAACACTGAATGTGTCGACATTGAGTTAATAATTGATTAAAATATGATTTCTCATTTGTTATTAGTTTTGATTTCACTGCATCATCTAGAAAAATGAGTGAATGCAAAAATTCTCTATCAAAATTTGAAATAGAAAGTGTTTCAAATAATTCATCCCGTTGTTTATCAATAATTTTATCCTCTAATCCTTGCTTCTTGATTGTATTATATAATTCTTTATACATTAAAAAGTTTTTTAAATAATCTTCTGCTTCTTCTTGTGATAAATAAATAATTGGAATTTTGATTAAATGCTTTAAAGATTCAAATGTATCATCTGAAGGTGAACCTGAACGGTTGATATAAATTAACACATGTGAATGGGGGAAGTGTTAGCAATAATGATAATTTGTTTTAATATCGTTAATGTTTTACCTTTATTTTGTTTACCAATTGCTGCAGTGATTGAATTTAAGTAACATTCAGAATATGGAATTTTCATTAATTTTTCCTTAGATAGAGCATTTCTATTATCACTCAATGCTTCATTAATCATATCATCTACGTATGTATTATATACCCGCTAATTCTTCATAAGGGTGGATGAATTTAAATCCATTTAATCAAAAATAAATTTATAATTTTAAACATTTCTATTCATCAATATTTCATCATATGAACTTCTATACTGTGGTGGTGTACCTGTTGGATGATATTTCAAACCTTCATCCGGTGTCCATGTCCAATATGTAGTCCTAGTAAACCAAACCTGAGGAGGATTTGTCACCTTTGAACAGTAAGTGTCATTTTCACCCTGAATGATTGGATAAGCTTTCACTTGTACTGTAACTTGTGAGTTGAAAGTTTCTAATCCATCAAAGAATATACCCGCTCCATCACGTTGAACTGGAATAGTGCATAAGAATGAAGTTTGGTCTTTCCATGTTCTAGCTAATGGCGTGCCATTATCATCATTCAGTGGTCTAGTTAATGAGTCCTCGTATTCTTCTGTGCATTCATTCACTCCATCTAAATCAGAAGCTTGAAGCATACGTGTAAAGAATATGTCACCCACTGTGGTCATCGCTTGATCGGGGAAGTTTCTGGAATCTATAGTGACCTGAAGACCTCGAAGCATTGGATTTTCTAAAACTGTTCTTTGCATTGCATTCTTCGGAAATGTTAACACAACATCTGTAACATTATGAAGAGCGTATGAGAAATCTGAGCTGATACCTTCAGGAGTGATGCAACCTCCATTTAGTGAACGAACGTCAATATGTTGAGCTGGAATCATGAATGGATCTTCCTTACTGAATAAACGTGGTATTGCTTTAACTGATTCTTCAATTAAACCGTATCCTGGTGTAATGCATTTATCCTCTAAAACTTCCATCTTTGTGCATGAAATAAATCATCAACTGTTGCGTCAGCAGATGTAGCGGCTAAGCTTGTAATTAATTTGGCAGGAAGTCCGATTTGTTGGAATTTGCGATCATATTTATAAACATGATTCATAATCTTTTCATAATTTTCATCAGTTATCTTTTCATAAACGTAATTTTGTAAATCAGCAACTCTTAACGGGTCAACCTGACAAAATACTAAAGTATCCCTGAAAACATAATATTTAAGAATGATTTCACCAAATGATTTAGGATAATCATCGAACGCCTGAAATGCTAACAAATCATTTACCGGAATAATCATATCAAAAGTGATATCAACTTCTTCATTTGCGTTCTTGAAAACTTCTGAAGGGTCAATATATTTACCACATACTGAGTTATCATATTTTTGAACATTATTATATAACGAATGAACAAACTTTTTAACTTTCCTTTCTGATTTTGGTTTATATGTTGCAAATGCGAAAGATTCACGGGCGCAATCCATCTGAAGATAACCGGCATCACCTCTTTCGGTTTCTACTTCTAATTGTTTAAAGCTTTGATTTGATGATTTGTAACCAACGAATAAACGCATGCATTTAAAAGCGGCATCACATGTGAAAGCTTTATTTGAAACTAGAGTTGCTTTAACTTTGCGTTTAATATATGTGTCACCTAATTGGTTCACATCATGAGCGGATTTGTAATTCTTAAATGAGTTTGTTTATCATCAAAATATGGAGCATCAGAGTCATAGCATGAACTTTCAAGTTCTCTATAATATCTTCTACCGTCATTCTTTGCGAATATTTCATTTATCTTTTCGAATGAATGAAACACATTTCCATTAATCGGTTTAGTGTTTGGCACCAAATAGTTAGTCGTCATTTATTAATAAATAAAAAATCAAAATTAAAAGATGAAAATGAATTTTTAATTTTAATGAAATAATCAACTATGGCTGCAGGTATATTTAAGAAACTGTGGGATAAAGTAAAAAGAGGAGCGCATAAAGTTTGGGAAACAATGAAGAAAGGAGCAAATTGGATATTTAAGAATAAAGAAGCAATTAGTGACGTTGCTGAATCAATAACACCAAAAGCTGCCCCAATAAGAGAAATATTAAATAAAGGAGAAAAAGTTTATCAAAGACTTCAACCGATACTAAGATAAAAATAATATTTATTTTTCCACTATCTACCTCCTATTTTATTAAGTATTCCTTCAGCAATTCCACCAACTGCGTTACCTGCTTGTGCTCCCATCGCCGGATTACCTGCTTTAGTACCTAATACTCCACCTATGATAGTTCCTGCCGTTTTCGCTACTGGTGCCAAAAAGTTTGCAACGGGTTTAATAATCTTTTTATAAACCCAACCCGCAGCTTTCTTAATTCCATCCCATAATTTTTTAAAGAATCCTGCAGCCATTTCTGATTTAATATTAATTAAAAAATATATTTCATCACTTATATTCTAATTTTTATTTAATGATAAATGAAACCGATTTTAAAAATAAATGAAACAGAGGAGGAAGAAATAAATGAAAATGTTCAACAAAAAATAAACGTTGTTAAACCAATTACTGAAATAAAAATTTTTTCATCTGTTGAAGAATTTAATGACTATTATGCTAACAATAAAAAATTATTTGAAGAATTAACAACATGTAAATTGAATAAAATGTTTAAAGTTGATGGATTCAAAATTTCAAAAATAAAGGGGGTGGTTAGTTTGAAATCTATTCCTCAATCAAGAATCACCTCATTAATGAAAATTGATGATTTAACAAAAAGAATAGAAGAGATTGAAGAAAGAGTAAATCAGATAATTGATTTCATAAATTCAAACAATCATTAGTTTCTTAAAGTTCAATGATGATTCTGAGACATGAATTTTTAAAGTTTATTTTTTATTCATGATTTAAACAATGTTTAATTAATCGCGGAATATCTGACATCATCTATATATAGCTTCTTTTATAAAAGATAAAAGATAAATTATTTTAATATTAATGTTAATTTTTTAATGCGTTTAGTATATAAATATTTATTACTAATTTATTTAATAATGTCGCGCTTTCTTACGAATTCATGACTTAAAAAACGTAAGAAAAAATTTTTATATCATCTATATATAGAAGATGTGAAAATATACCTTCGTCTATATATAGACGTAACAAAAAAAGTCACACAACCCTTCCTATCCTACTACTAACGTGGGTGATTTTTCACACTTTTGAGAGTTTTACATGGCATTTGCTGGCAAAAGCCATGTAAAGTTATCTCAAATCCCCTAGGAAATATTTGAAAATAAATTACAGGCGAAAGTCGTAAATTTTAAATTTTTAATTTGATGGAGCCAGACTGGAAAGAGATTGCTAGAAATATATCTGATTATGTTGATAATGATACATTCTTATCGGCAAGAAGTCCTCAACAGATAGCTAAAATTCTTAGTTATGCAAAACTAAGTCCTTGCGAATTTGCAACATTATTCACAAATCTTTCAAATTATCATGGAAAAGCAGACATATTGATGATGCTTAGTCGTACACGTTTAAAAGATTTCAACAGTCAAGAAGAAGCGTCTGAAATTTCTGACACGATTTCATCAATCCTCGGAATTCAAATTCTTGATTCACTATTTTCTTTCTACCAAAACAAGCTTCAACAAGAAATTTCGGAGACAAAAAATCACACATCCCAATCTCCTGTTCCTGAATATGCCAATATTGATGTATTATTATCATCAGGGAAGCGATGGACGTTTGAAAATATTGACCTAAATATTAGGGTTGAAGATTTTAGATCATTAATTCTGAAGAAATTTGATAAATCAACTGAATATATAGAAATTTTCTATCATGGTCAGCGTTTGAATAATGGTCATACACTAAAAGAATATAATATTCAGAATTATTCATATGTTACATATATTATTACAGATCTGCCTTTCTCAGTAAACGTAATTCACATACGAGGCCCTGATGCAATAGTCACGACATTGGAAAATATTGATCTCAATTGTAGAGTTGAAGATTTGAAAGATATGATACAAGACGAAATAGATCTCTCTACAGATCAACAAAAACTCTCGTTTTTCGGAAAAGACATGGAAGATGGTAATACATTAAAAGATTATAATGTTCTTTATGGAGATACTATCAGCCTTACTTGGACCAAATTTCAAATTGTTTCTCCTACGATCCCAGCAAATTCAATTACATTAAAGACTTTGGCCGGAAGAGTTATTATATTAAAAAGCATTGATCTCAATTGTATGGTTGTAGATTTGAAAGAATTGATTCACGAAAAAATAGTATTCCCTCCAGATCAGCAAAGACTAATTTTTGACGGAAAACAATTGGAAGATGATAAAACGTTAATAGATTATGGAGTTAAATATGGAAACCAAATTCATCTTCTTAGAAGATGTCGTGGCGGAAAACCAGTAATCTATTTGTATCCAAAGGAAGAAATCGATGCAAAGGTAAGTATCAAAATCAATGATGGCAATTTTTCATTCGTGTATCCTTCATTCGACGAAGATAACACGTGGAATGTGAAAGCACTCCCATCAGGTGAGATCGTCCACAGAGGAAAGAAGATGAGATATCTCTTCTGGGAAACACTCTTCTACCCTAATCTTAACATGGACAAAGGATTCATCATCAAAGGCGAAGATAGTGTCTCTTTCTTCGAGGATAAGCTGAAGTCTATGAACCTCAACGACGCAGAGATATGTGATTTCATCACATACTGGTGTCCGAAGCTTTGCGGATACAAATATGTCAAAGTATGCTTCCAGTTCGAAAACTTCGACGACATGTGTCCAATGAACGTCGAACCGAAACCAGACAACATCAACAGAGTCTTCTTCGCAGCTCTCCCTCTAGAGAGTCCATGCGACATCGAACCACAAGAACTTCCAACATTCAATCGTGATGGCTTCACAGTCATCGAATGGGGCGGAACTATTGTTACATCTGAAAAACTCTAATGATTTATTTTTTTTCTTACATTCAATTATAAAATAAATTCAAATATTTAACTTCAAATAACCATTTTTTATCTAAATAAAAAATATCCGAAAAACTTTATTTTATATCTTCATATATTTAATGAAAATACGAATACTTTCAATAAAGAATCGTGAATTTTTTTTGATAAAATTTTCAATTTTTATCAGTGTAATAGCATCATGGGAAGTCATCATTTTAATAGCGCTCGGTACTATCATAGAGAGTATTCTCGTTGGATTACATATGAGAGCTATATCTGGGATGTTTTAATACTATTATTCACTCTAATGAGGCAAGATTATAGTATTATTTATGTGGTGCAAAGTTTAAAAGAACAAACATATTATGGATATTATTTTCTTTGTGGTTTATTCATATCCGAAATTTTGAGACACGATTTCGTTAACAAAAGTTTTGTATAATGATTTAAATTAGTATAGTAAGAATTTAATAATATCTCTTTTGAATTAATTTCAGAAATCCTATTTGATATTTGGCAAAACGAATGTTTGTAATAAAAGTTTACGAAGGAACTGAAAACATATCACTTGGCACACGATTTATTGGATTTGAATCAATAGATTCGATATATATATATATATATATATATATATAAAATCCTCAAAGATCGCATTCGACATAACAGATTAAGGATGCTGTTTTGCGAATAGCGTCACTTTTATAGTACCAATTTTAGGTCTCTTGCGTGAGACTTAAAATATCGAAATTTTTTTTACCTCGGATTCGGAAAAGACCTTCGCCATCGGCTAAAAACGGATAAAGTTGCTAGCGTGTTTTTTTTCGCAAAGCGACATCCTTAAACAGATGGAGATTTAACAAATAGAGTAAGATTTGTTGTTGTTGAAAATTGTCCGTATAATAATGTATCCGTACGACATTCAATAATTCTTCATATTCAATGTGCAATACGGATTAATAAATAAACATGAACTAAGAATTTGCATGCATTGATATGGGTAACAGATTAGAAAATAATGTTTTTTTAATCCTACAATAATTTGAATTAGAATTCAATCCATTCAATTTAAAGATTACAAAAATTGAAAAAACACATTTATTTATATTAGTATGGGTTTTCTCATCCTATTTCGACTTCAACCTTATTTTTGTTCACTCTTATCAGATTCGTGTTTTGTTGATAATTATGCACTACGATTTAATTATAAACTTATTTATAATTAATAAAATGTTGTAATTATTGTAATCCTTTCAATTGTATTGCATTGCGATTAACATATAGACATGGAAGATGACCGCATTGCTTCAGATATAGGCTATCCTAAACTTGTTAAACATAGGAGCGCTCGTTTCACAGAAGCTGAAGACACTCTTCTGAAAGAACTTATTAAAGATAAAAAGAACAAAACATGGAAAGAAATCGCTTCGTTTTTCCCAGGTAGAACGGCTTGCCAATGTCGAGATAGATATAACCAATACCTATTTAAAGAAGTGGTCAATAAACCATGGACTGCAGAAGAAGAGCAAATTATTATTGAAAAATATAAAATATTCGGTCCACACTGGGTTAAAATATCTCATTTTCTTCCAGGAAGAAGTGGGAATAATATTAAAAATCATTGGAATGGCGCTTTGAAGCAATTTCATGGAATTTCGCATGAAGAAATTAAGCAAGAAAGGAGATCAAAGAAAGTGAAATGGGATGGAGTTGCTGAAAATAACGCTGTTACAATTTTGCCTTCTATTGATTCAACAATAGTTCGAAGTTCCATAATTGAGCCACCCAAAATGGATTCGCCCATCCCAATACCTATTAGCAAACCCAATGTTACTGATATAGAGTTCACAATGGGAGTTAAAAATATTATTTTTTGTTAGAATTTTTTTCATTTTTCAAAATGACTTCCTTTTGATAAATAATTTTCAATTGTATTTTATAAGCAACAATACACCGATTAATCGTTATGTAATTCTTTTTGTAAAAATTCAATTTCGATACGAAATTTTAAATAGTCTTAGAATATCTGACAATGGATCTCTCTATGAAAATTCATACATGCCGTGCAATTTTGAATTTATTGTGCTTAAATTTATTATTAGAGATTTCAAAAATATATCCAGAATTTGAATCTTTGTTTGTTGGTGCACATACAGTTTTACAGGAAATATGTTATGCTTTTTATAATAGATATACTTCAGTTTGAACTTTGGGCGTTGAAGATCTGAAGATGTTTGTTAGAAGTAGTGCCCCATAATACATATGTATGAATGAATATCAGCTGGTTTAATGCCTTTATGTTAAAAAAGACGGATTTCCTCTTAATTGAATGTGAATTCTAAAATATGTGAATATTGTACTGAGTAATAAAATAGGCATTATAAGGATATGAATACAGTAAAATATGGCACCAAACAGAAAGCTGATTTCAAAAATTTAAAGATATTATGTCTTTTTGAGCTCCTTTTTATCAAAAATTGATTATGGAGAGTCTACGTTTATAATTATATTTCTTCATAATTTATTCTATTGCTTTTGTGAAGTCACTTTTTTTCTCAAAAAATACTTTATTATTCACGATGTCTTCACCGAAAGGAACTATTACGTTTGGGCAATGGGTAAAGCACGTGCAATATGAAATGAAAAATGTGCAAAATTTATCTAAGAATGCCTGTGCTCACAGAACTAAAATTAGCTATTTATGCAATCAGCTTGCTAATTTTTCAAAAACAATCAGTAGCTTCTCGATGGATCCTCGAGTTATGCCAGATGATGACACTGCAGAGTTCCAAAACTTAATTCAAATACTTTCTCGCTTCTCAGATTTAATTCAAAAGCAATCAGAAAAGTACTGGATGGATTTCTTCCTCGAGCACGATATTAACTATATTACAGATGAACTAAATAAAATCATTGCAAGTTTTAACAAATCCGTCATAAAACTTAAATTAACGGATACACCACCTTTATCATGGACAGAATTCCAAGAAAAGTCAAACAACGTCCACGATTTTGGCATTCTTCGTCAACTATTGGAAAATAGCGATCTACCAGACAAAGAAACGAAACTTCGCGAAGTAAATGATCTCCGTGTCCAACTTGCAGACGAAATTGGTATCGATAATCCAAAGTCTAAAATCCTCGGACTTCAAGAAATACAGAAAGGACTCGCATCCATTGAACAATGGGATATCGATCCGGCAGATATCAAATTCCAAAAGAAAATTGCATCTGGCGGTTTCGGAGATGTCTTCTTAGGTGTTAGAGTATCCGATGATACAGTTGTTGCCGTCAAACGTTTACATAATCAACAATTTGATAAAGAAGGTCTCGAAATGTTCAAAGGCGAAGTTGCCATTTTAGCTCATCTTCGTCATTTCGCAATTTTACCATTTGTCGGAGCATGTACAAAGCCACCTTTCTGCATCATTACAAAATTCATGAGCGGAGACTCATTATTTGCCCGTTTACATGCCAAAGATGCAAATTCACGTCTTACTCCTACACAACTCTCCATCATTGCCCTTGGAGTTGCCTATGGTATGCAATATCTCCATAGTCAGAACATGGTTCATCGCGATCTGAAGTCATTGAACATTCTTTTGGATGAGGACAACCTTCCTAAGATCGCAGACTTCGGCATGGCCCGAACAAAGACTTCTAATAATGAGATGGTTTCGGGAGGCATCGGAACTTCACAATGGATGGCTCCAGAAGTCCTTATGTCGCAGAACTTCGATGAAAAATCCGATGTATACTCATACGGCATCATTCTTTGGGAAATGCTGACAGGAGATGTACCTTACAGAGGCCTCAGAGACATCCAAGTGGCCATGACAGTTATCAACCAAAACAATCGTCCGAAAATACCAAAATCTTGTCCCCAGAATTTGGCCAAGTTCATCAGATTGTGCTGGCACTCTGATCCACATAAAAGACCAGATTTTACAACGATTGTTCAGACTCTTGAGACAGGAACAATCTGTTTCCCGAACACAGACATTGATGAACTCAAAGCTTACGTTGCACAGCACCAAAGCGAATCGAACAACGAAGGAAACAGCCAGAACAGCATCGATATCGATCCATTCGACATGACAGATGAAAAAATCGAACTTTTGATCAACGAATTCAAAGAAGAAAACAAGATTTTGCCACTTTTGAATGCAGCAAAGCATCCTGACAATTTGATGAGAATCACTCAATTCGATTTCATCCCCATCCTCGAAGAGAAACTCAAGAACTGTCCTGATAACATCAGACATTTAGTTATAGAGTTAACCGCTTTAATTATGGTCGATGAATCGACTAGAGCGGCATTTCTTGAGAGAAGTGGTTCTAAAATATTGTTGGATACATTGGCAAAACATTCCGTTTCTTCTCTGAACAAAATTGTCGATTGTTTGTCATTGGTCGTTGATTCAGAACACATCATCTTTTCTGTCCAACATTTGACAAATTTGACACCTTTGTTGTTAAATGTCGATAACGCTGTCAGATTGACAACTATCAAACTTATAAAGAAGATCATTGTCAAGCACTGTTTCGATGATGACTCCATCTTCTCAGTAATCATTGAGAACTTACTGAGAAACACAGAACCAAGTAGTACAACGAATATTTTGATTGAAGCTTTGGATGTTTTGATACAAATCATCGAATTCGAAGCAGCAAAAGCCCAATTAAGATGCGTTGAAGGACCAGATAGAATCATCGCATTACTCAGTCTCCAGAACCAAGATGTTTTACTGGAATCATTGAGATTGTTACAAAGTCTTTTCGACGGAACAATTCCTAAACAAAGAACAATCAGTGAATTCCTTGATAAATTCATGATGTTGTTAGAAACAAAGAATCCAAACATCCAACTCGATGCATTGAATGCTATTGCGACATTGATGGACAACACATTAGTTTATAAAGAAGTGTCTGCAATCAAATCATTCAGTGATTGCTTCGTTTCATGCATAAACAGTGAAGATTTGACTGTCCAAGTTTCAGCACTTCGTATCTGTTTTGCATTTTGTGTTAATATCATCACAGAAAATGTTTTCGAACCATTGTTGCCACATTTGATCAAATTAATGATGAGAGAAACATTTCCTGCCATTCTTTCCTCGTATTCTACTGCAGCAATCATTGCAAGCCATGATCCGCAGAAACTCCTCGATGAAGAACAAAAAGAAGAGATACACAGCTTCGTCGACAACGCTCTGACATTGGAATCCGATCTAACTGAGCCAGCAATTAGAATTGTTGGTGTTTTGGCGTCAACAATGAGCGGATCCCAAATTTTGGAGAAATGGGGAACAATGGAAAAAGTTGCAGAATTAATGGATAATGCCAACGACATCTTCCCTCATTTAGCTGTCATGGCGATGGCTTCTATGTCCGCAACATGCCCAGATTCGAATGTTATGCATGAAGCAATTCCGAAATTAATAGGTGTTGTTAAGGACCCTAATTATGAAGGTTACCCCCTCATTTGTTTGAGTAACATCACTGTTGTTCCAAGGAATGCAAGAGAATGCGCCAAATACATCAAAACAATCTTAGAATGTTGTTTGATGTATCAAGATGACAGATTTGCTACACAAAGAAGTTTAGTAACTGTCTACAGAATTGTTATGACACCTGATGTCGGAGATTACTTGTTACAAGATCCAGAAACAATAGAAATATTCATGGAATGCGTGAAGACATTGTGGGATACTGAACATGCTCCAATTTTGTTCTCTATCATTGAGAATTTGACTCAGATTCCAAATATTTGCTCTTCATTGAAGGATTCAACGTTGGTACAGTTGATTCAACAGAATCTCGATAAGTGCTCTATCAATGATCAGAATAGACCAAAGTTCATTAGAATTAGAGCTACTTTGATGGCAAGTGCTTAATTTTTTTTAATTATTTAGTTTTTTTTATTCTTTTATATTGTATTTTATTTGTTTGATATGTTCTTTTGAAGTATACTTCATTAAAACGATTGTACTTCAAAATAGCATAGATAAATCTAAAAAACAAAATTAATTTAGAATTTCTTTTTTAATTAGCTTCCTATTGATTCACTACATTAAAACAAAGTTGAATTCCAAAAGATTTTATTGGTTTTATTTGGAAATCCTTTCAGATATATTTTCAATTTTCGTTTTTTGTATAGATTTTAGGTTTTCTTTAAAAGGATAATAACGATGACATTGCAATGTTTGAAAGTTGAATAGTTTTCGTTTCATTTGAAGGGTTTGTTCGAACAATTTCCGATTATTTTCATTTTGAGAATCGATCAAAATTTGATTTCAATTCAATAAATTTTTTGTTTACAAAATTTTTTCTGTCAAAAATGGAAAAGTTTGATTTTTACGACGTTCGCAGCTTTCTTTATGCATGTAAGAATGATGCTGATACTGAAAAAGTCATAAACAAGTACATTTTAAAGGTTTTAAATGGTTTAAGCAATCCAGACAAAGAAGAACAAGGTGAAGCAATCAAATGTGCAAATGAATTCATTACTATCATCAAAAAGAAGCCGAACTTGAAAATAGAAGCTGATAAGATTGTGTCCTTACTACTTGAAACAAATAATCTTTTAATTCGGAACGTGACCACTTTGTTTGTGAAACAAGCTCTAGGAAGAATACCACCAGAGCAACGTGCAGAAACAATTACAAAGCTTTATGATGCTCAAAAGATCGTTCCGAAATTAATTGATGCTCAATTTTTCACATTAGCCATTGAATGCAACAAATACATCAACCCTGAACAATTTATCGTCATTTTAAACGCAGGTGTTGAGACTTGCGGCTATTCTAAACTCATACAAGGAAATTCTGGACAATTTATTCCAAATTTCGTCAAAAATAACATCAATTTATTCAAGAAATATGAGAAATTATACGCAATACTTATGACAGAAAACGATATCGAGGTTGTTACACCTAAAGACTTCAATGCCGAAGTAATATCAAAAATTGCAATGGGAATTTCTCAATCAGGAGAGAACATCAAGTGTCATCGCGCATTCGGATTACTTCTTCAACTCGATTACAAGCTTCCTATCGACTATCTCAAGTCAAATCTCGGATTTACAGATGGAATTCTTTTACTTGAGAAGCAAATTGACATATACGACACGATGCAGCCACATACAAAGGACATAGCTTTGAATTTGGCTACAAGAACTACAAGCCCTCAAGCATCTTCCTGTTTAAGAGCATTATTAAAGAAATATCATACAGAATTTGAGAACGACCTACAGTTTTTCAAGATGTTATTGAACTCAGAAGCCGACAATTCATGGATCATGCCCGTATTATACATGTTTTCCCTGTTTGTTAATTCAGATTTAGTCCGACCACTTATCGAAGAACAGCTCACAGATGGAAACAGACAACGCGCAATCAGATTACTTAAGAATCTATACCAATTTAGCGCTCCAAGACCAAGATTGTTCGCTTGTGTTTTATTTAATGATGGAACAATGATAGAAGACTGCAGATTGTTGTTGTATCCATACACACATATCATAAAAGATGGATTTAGAACACCAATTGATGATCCAACAGCTAATCCACCTTCGACATCAGAATTATTCTTTGAACTCCTTCAGATGCCAAATCTGAAGCGTTTCCTTTGCAACAGTAACAGTACAAGAGCCGTTAACGAGCTTTTCAGGTTCGCAGCCACTTGCAAAGTCACTCTTCCTTTACCTTTTGATTTCATTATCCAAGAATTTTCAAATTGTCCAAACGCTGCTTTAAACATCTCCGCTTTCCTTTATTACGTCACAACAAACAGCGAATTCCAAGGAGAGTTAACTGCTAATATCGTTGACCAATGCATTGACGTAATGAAATCAGAAAACGACCAAGAAATCATCGAAGCAATTTCTGGTTTCTTAAAATGGTCAAATGCAAATATTGATAAAAGTGAAGTGACCACTTATCTTTCTGGAAGCAAGAAGATTGCATTTCTTGCACATTTCGGAGAACCAATTGATGAATGCATTGACATGTTGAACAATCAAAGTCAAAGCGCATTTGCAAAACGATTAATCATGGTTTTGGCGAAACGAAATTTGTTGAATGAAAAACATTTCGAGATTTTATTCAAGAAATTCTCAATTGATTCATATGGTATTGAGATATTATCTGTCATCTCGAAGAACAACAAAGACTTATCTATGAGAATTGTTGAGTGTCTCTTTAATCCACCTCTTATTTCAACAGAAAGAGTTGAAGTCATCATTTCCGGTGCAAAAAGTTTGGTCGAAATAATTGACGATGAAAAATTTTTTTTAAAGAAAATCGATGACGGCTTGAAACAAGAGAGATCAAGAAGAAACTCAAGTATATTTTTACTCTATCTAGTTAACCACAAGATACCTGAAAATCTTTGGTATGTAACTCGTTCTTTGTTGTTCTGTTCTGGCGCTGAAAATGGAGTTGTCAGAACCGCCGGAATTTTAGGTTTGCCACTTTTGTATTCAAAATTACAAACAGAGGAACAAAAGAAGATTTTCGATGACGCATTCCACGGAAGAAACAAACCAAGCGATATCGATCTAAACCCTCAATCTTTGACAGGTTTGCCAAGATCTCAAACAATTTCTGCCATTGTAAAGTTCTCAAATAACAAACTTAACACTTTTCTGAACATTATGACAGGCATGATTGAAAACGAGTTTCTTATCTTCACAGGCATAAACATTCCTAAAGAATCCGTTAAGCCTGAAGACAAAGAACGTTTGGCCGCTCTATTTTACATCGAATCATTTAATCCTGATGAAGACAGAGCGAAATCATTCCGAAAGTTGTACAACTGGGCCACAGACGGAGGCAAACTGTTGTCACTCGAATCCGTCATCAACTCAATGAACCCAGAGGCAAATGATTGGAAGGAACAGCAAACAAACATCGGTTGTTTGAAAGACGTTATTTCAAGAATGTCAGTTGAACAATCTCAATTTTTCTTTGAAAAAGTGACAAAAATTTTATTGAGAATTGCATATGGTCCTGTAGCAGAATTCCAAATATTAGCCAGTGATGTATTAGATAAATTAGTTACAAAGTTAGGCACGAATCTTCCTGACAAAGTAACAAAACAATTATTGGATTTAATCATCAAATCCGTTGATTCCCAATTGATGCATTTAACTGTTTTGTCAATGAAATGGTGCAGCCAACTCTCCAAAAACATTACAACAAAGAGCGAAGCATTAGCTGTCTTTGAATGTTTGTTCCACGCCATTTCTTCTCAAAATACTTTCATTGACATTCCGAAAATGTTGGCAAGTGATTCATGGGCAAACATGCAAAGAACTATCTTCAAATGCAGTGAATTAGCATTGAATGAGTTCTTTGATATGTTAATGGAGATGTACCAGCAATCATCAACAATGGAAACAGTGAGATATGTTATTTATTATTGCCTGGATTCATGTGTTCGATCTCCAAACAAAACAGCAATTTGCCAGAGATTGGAAGAGAATTTGAACCAAATTTTCTTGTCCTGCAGTGAAGAAAAACATGAACAAGTCATTCCGATAATGACATCATTCATGCAACACGCGTTGAGTTGTATGTGCATCTATTACGATGATAATTATTGCTATGATGATTTATTGGTTGATTTGTTTGTCAACAAAGAAAGACCTGATTTAGTTGCGAAAATAATTGAAATGATGTGTACTTATGATCCTCAACATCTCAGGCAATCAATAACTCCTTTGATTTTGCTGGCTTCTTGTTTGGAAAACTCTTTGAAAGAATTCGTGAGAGTTCTTAAAGAAGAGATTGTTTTGAGAGTGGAAGTTAATTCCGATCCAATTAGATTCTGCAGGTTTTTGATTGATAAAGGCATCAATGGAAACTTGATGATGAAACCTGCAGGAGCAAAGGCTTTGAAGAAAGTTTTCATGGTTATGAACAATGATTCTAAAAACAAAATTTTGCCAATTTTGTTGGAAATAAGTGATACTTTGGATGGAAGATTATATACATCTAAGGAAAAATTAATTGATTGCATAACATTGTCATTAAATGGATTGCCTGAAATACCTCAAAAACTCATTGATACAGTAATTAAACAATGCAGTAGACAGAAATCTGTGTTCAGGGCTGCAGCTGCAAATTGTGTTCTCGAAATGAAAAAGAAAGGAATTAAAATTGATGAAAATAAATTTGGTGAACAATTGTTACAAATGGCTAAAGATGGAACAGGAATCGCTGTGGAAACAGCTGCTTTGTGTGCTGAAGGTGATTGGGTACAAAAAATTGCTGATGTTGTATATTCTAGAGTAGAAAAAGCTGATAAAGAATTGGTTCCAAACTTGATTTGCGCAATTCAGAACTTAAAGGAACATAAAGCTCCAGATAACTTTAATATGGATGATCTTATTGCAAAACTTGATACTATTGAATAAAAAACCAAATATAACTGTTTTAAATTTTATTTTTTTCTTTCTAACCTGTGATATGTCATCATATCATTTCTTAAATTTGTAACCTTCATAGAAAGTAATATTTAGCAAATTCGGTCTTTATAAATTCGGAACCTTCATAGAAAGTAACATAAAACACGAAAATGATTCCCATTTTAAATGAATTAAGTTTTTCAGATTGTTTTTTCTGTTACTCTATCAATAGTTCATTGTAAAGATATCAAAAATCTAAAAAACAAACCATATAACTAAAGAAAGAAATAAGGTTAAAAATATGAGGATTTTAATCTCCTTTTTCTGAATTTTATCCATTAATCATTGTTCAAGTTGTGGTTGGTGATTTAACCGATAAAATGACATGGAATTCTTAAAATGTCAAAAAAAAATTGAATGCAATCATATTTGAGAATTTCATTTTTTAATATTTACTTGATTAAGATCTTGAAAATGAAATTATAGATTTGAAAGTATTCAGAAAAAGTTGTATCAGAAACTCTCAAATTAATTATTTTTTTCTGTTCTTTTCAGGAGATAAAATGAGTCAACTAGGAAAATCAGTATTAATATCAGGTACCTTAAATTCAAGATGCGTCTTTTCGAATTTTCCAGACTGTAACTTTCCTTTAAGCTACATTTATTTTATTTTCTCTATTCTAGTTTCATTTCCTTATTCATATGTTCTAGTTATCAGTTTAAGACAAGCAAATTTATTTCGTTGCAAAAACAGAGATAAGAGCACTATTTTTTGCCTAATAACGCTCATTAATAATCTTATATATTCGATAATGTACTGTTCAATTACGCATCTCTTTGTAAATTTTGCTTTCTCATACATTTTTGTACTTGGTGCTACAATACGATTTCTTCAAACTTTTTGTTTCGCATTGTATTTCTCCGAAATTGCAAAAGTATTAACCATTTTTCAAATCAAAGGATCAAAAATTATTTATTATTTTACACTATTATTAATTGTTGCCTTTGGAATTCTGTCTTTTTTAGTTTACATTAATTATTTTATTTCTTACAATAGCAAGCTATTTATGGCCTTGCTCCAAATTTTTCATGTCAGATATGCTTTATCAATTCGAATTTGTGCGATATACATCATAAGTTTTGTTTCTCTTTCGATAACTTTTATCTTTTCAAATGTCAAAGAATTTCTTGAACCAGAAAGAAGAAAGAAGCTCATCATTACATTATTTTTCATGCCTATTCCTCTCATTCTATATATTCTCCAGCTCATGCTTTACGCTTCAAAATATTGGCAGTCTCAATTTTACTTTGATTTTCATTATAATCAATTTTATGATAATTTTCCTATATTTAAATCAACATATTTCTACATTTTATGGGGATATTCATCATTTTTCTTCGCCTTGATGAACCTAATTCCGCTTTCAATCTTGAGTATCCTTTCTGTGAAACTTGAATCAAATGAAGAAACAGACAAAAATAGCTTGGAAAACATTATTGGTGCAGAATTACCAATATAGAAAGAATCTAACATTTTAATGCATTCTCCGATATCTACACATATAGTTTTAGAAGCAATTATCTATCGAAATGATTAAATAATGAAGGAATTGCTGATTCTGTAATGAAAAGGAAAAGAATGAGTTGTACGCTTTAGATACGTTTTCAATCTACAGTAATTATAGATCATTTCACTACGAAATTAGTCATTTTATTATATCTATATCCTTAAAGAGAGCATCATTTCTATATCTATATTTCACTTCTTCTTTATAATAACAGAATTTTAATAACTTCAATTAATTGCTTCATATAATGGCCAAGTAAAAGATGACAACGTTCGAAAGAGACATTTTTTTGGATCTATGGGAAAGTTACAACACTGATACAAGAAGCAGATGAAACTTAATGATTGGGCTGACAGAACATAACAAATGTTGTGAAAATCATCGAAATTTCATCATTGAAAACAAATCTCCAGTTTGCCCTTTGTGCACAGGATTACATATTGTTGTTAGGAATGCCAGGAACTGGAAAAGCAACAACATTGACACTTTTAGTTGAATCGTTTGAGAAAAACAACCAAAAAGTTTTGATTTGTTCATATACTCACGCAACTGTTGACAATCTCTGTTGCAAATTAATAGATCGAGGTGTCAATTACGTGAGAATCGGAAGATTGGAATATATTTCTGAACAAGTTAGATCTGTGTTTTCGCCTGATTCAATTATACGAAAACCAGAACAATGCATGATCATATTTAAATGCCATTGTGGTTTCAGATCTAGCACAAAGAATAAGATATATTTCCCTAATATATCAATATTGAACGAGTTCTCCGAATACTCAAAAGAATGGATATCAAGGATATTGAAACCAGATCCAAGTGTTTTGTTTGTTGATACAGATTCTGTTCCTATGCGAGAAGGAAAGAATATGTCATCTAAAAACAATGTTGGAGAAGGCTCTGTTGTTTCTATGATTGTTTCTGCAATGATACTTGCAGGAATAAGTACAGAATCGATCGGTGTCATCACTCCTTACAGAGCACAAGTTATATTCATAAGGAAAGCTCTTCAAGCACAGATTTCTTGTTGTTCTAAATATTTCCCACACATGGCAGGAAATCCAAGTGAAATTGCAAGCTCGATTGAAGTTGACACAGTTGATAAATACCAAGGACGAGACAAGGAATGTATCATTATATCAACTGTTAAATCGAATGAGAAGAAATCTCCTGGAGCACATGCTTCTGACTGGCAGAGAATGAATGTTGCAATCACAAGAGCGAAAACTAAGTTGATTTTCGTTGGCTCGAGATCTACTTTGGAAAACTCTCCTTTCTTTGAACACTTGTTTGATTTGTTGTCTGATAACAACTTCTTCAGTTTGCCTCTCTCAGTAAATGAAGGCGAGTCAAAGCCATTTAGGAGTATCGATTCTTCACAATCATTGAGTAACATTGATACTCAAGACTATTAAATTTTATGTTTTTATTTGTTTGTATAAATAAATTGAATTTTTAATATGAATTCATAGAGTTTTTGAACCTACATATATTTGCAATTTTATTAAATCTTTAGTGAAATAATGCTCAATCTTGCTAATATAATATTTTTAACTTATTGAAAATGCTTTCATCTATAAATAATTTTATATTATTCAAAATTCTTAATAACAAACATTAATTATCTACATTTAGTGCTATTTTGAGAAAATATATGATTATGATCAAACTTTGTAGAGTTGATATTCCTTAATAAAGAAATATTATTTACACAAAATATCAAATATCAATAACAAAAATCAATACCTATCTTTTTCTATATATTTATATGCATTATTCAATATATAAATATGTAGATATTGAAGAATTCAGGGAAATTTGATCTAATTATCCAGAAAATTATGAGGTGATATATATGTACAACTGCATTATTAAACTCCTCTATAGATTAGCACTAATCATTGAAACAAGTTTAGCTTAGATATGATGGTGAGAGTTGAAACACTTATTGTCATTTTCATGGTAAAAAAAGTTTTATTCAAAATTTATAACGTATTAATTTTCTTTTAAAGAATGATAGTTCTTGCGGGAAGTGAATGACTTAGTTAACGCATTGAATTTCTGTAAAATCCAATTCTTTAAGCCCTTCAAGTCGCGATCTAATTTTACCAGAATGGTGGATTATGAAAAACTGATTGAGCTTCATAATTTCGAATGATTTCTGAGTTATCTTCTCCGTAAGATAAGAGCGATACAGTGTCATAGTAATCTGTTTTTGCGTTGATAGGCTTGAAACTATAAAACATTTTATCACCTGGATGAACGTCATTCCAAGACGTTCCATAAGCGAAAACTGAGTACACATCTTTGTTTGGTAAAGTAAATAATATATTAAACGTTTGAAAACTACAACAAGCATGGTGTGTGATAAGTTTGAAATCATAAGTTTGAGTGCAATTCGGAATTTCATTTGTCGAAAATATCTTGAGCATAGAACTAATATTATCAACATTAGAAACCTTTAAATGAAAAAGTACAAATCCTAAATCACGATATTGATACGACAGATGTTCAATTTTTAGAACTATTACAACGTTAACAGGGTCATCAAGCTTTTCAGATATGAAGAAAGGCATGTTTTCATTAATTATGAGCGGAAATTGAGGACTAGCACCACAATACCATTGATAATATCGAATGTTGTTTTGGAAATGAGTTAGAACCCAACAAATGACTTCAGAATTATTTAATAGCCTGCATTGCTGAAATGGAATTCGTTCAACTTCCTCACGACTTGGAAAGTTTGAATAGAAATTTAAATCCATGAACTTTTAATGAAATGAGAGTCACTTTTTTGATTTTTATTTATTTGTAGTAAGTTCCAATTAAAAATTGTAAAATGAGAGCTTAAACAAAACTAAAATGCGCTTTCAAAAACATCGTATTTTTTTTCAAAGCTTTATTTTAGAAGATTTGCAAGAGAAACAAAGCAACAAATTCAAATGATAAAATGCCAAAAATTTTGCTAAAATTTTTGATTTGAAATTCAATACTGTGTTAATTTTATTGAATAGTTTATAATTCACAAAATTTATTAAACATTGTCGATTAATATTATATATAACAAAATTCTGAAAAAACACGCCAAACATTTAGCCGATAGTCATACCATTAAGAGTTCACTCAAACGATACGTAAACTCCATTAACTAAAGTCCATAAGTTTACCAAATTTTTCGTCGAAATCCTCGGATATTACAAGATCTCTTAATGGTGCACTTACGCCCCTAGGTCATGGCCTTCAATTCAGATGTTTAAGGTTAATTATCAATGACGCTTCACGCCAGTTGTCAAAAATTTGAATTAAAGTCAGATGGGCTTAAGTAGTTTAATTCGAAAAATCAGAAGTTAACATAAGTAGGAGAGGATAACTTCATTAGTTTAAAAATAAACAGTACATTATATGATCGCTTGCGCAAATAGGGCACTGCTTAAGTGCAGGATCCTTATGTTGGAGGCACGCCAATGCGATCAAGACGAATTGATCAAGGAAATCTACAGAGAAGTCAAACAGTCCGTAATTTATAGTTCACTAGATAGATATATTTGTTTAACTATTGTTCATTCACATTATCTATCGAAATTAGATTTTGATATCGCAAATGAGTTACTATATACAGCGTTTACGGGAAGGAGTTTCTAAATTGTAGTATGTACTTACTCAATTCATTACAAAAAGAGAAGAAAAAAAGAAAACGTCTTCAAAACATATTCAAATTTCATGAAAAAAAAGCATTTCCTTCTGAATCTAGTAGATTAGTCCTATTCTCAATTGATTCCTATTATACGGACAACAAGCAATTAACCAAGCTTTAAATCACAATATTCAATATAAAGAAGCGAATTCTGCAAGAAAAGATCATATGTTTATCATAAAAAGAAGAAGTTAGTAAATGTTCCCAGGTTTTTGGAAACAAACCACAAATTGATTCAAATTCTAAAATTAATTGAATCATTGCAATGAAAAATCATCCTCTCTCCGAAAGAAATCAAATAAAGTCCTCCAACACTAATGAACTCCACTTGTTGATGCAGTGAAAATGTTAATTTTCGAAAGTTGTAAAAAATTCTTATTGATATGGAAAAGAAAAAAATCTCCTCCCGTGTGGATCGAACACACGACTTCCAGATTAACAGTCTGACACTCTAACCAACTGAGTTAGGGAGGAACTTACATTTATGGATTTTTTTGTTGATTGGTAAACACTATGCTTATATTTTTCAATGATTTACACAACTTTCCAGTTTTTTTTTTCAACGGTATTGATTCAACTAAACAATCAAACTCTTCAAAGGATTAATAATTATCAAGCTCTCGAAAAAGTTACTTTAACCATTAACAACATCGTTATCATACTTACAAAATCTTTTGCAGTTGCAATTTCTCAATTTCTCTACTCACAATATCTTTTAAATAACGACATTAATAAAATAGATATAACCACTGAAATCAAATCCCAAGATACATATAAGATTTTAAAAGATGTACTTCAGTATAATAAAACCGAAATCGAATGTGACGAAACAGTTATGAAAGATCTTTATCATATTGGAATTGCACTAGAGATAAAAGAACTAATTGATTGGTATAAAAGCCAAATTATGGATGAAATTAAATTAGATAAAGAAAATTGCATTGAAACACTTGAATTTTATTTTGATATTTCATCTAATGAAAAAGTATCAGAATGTATCGAATTTATATCATCGCACTTTCATGAAATTAATGCAGATCACCTTAAAGCAATTTCTAAAAAGCTTGGAATCGAAATTGTTAAAAAGATACTAAATAATAAAGAGCTTCAAATAAACAACGAGGATTCTGTCGCTGATTTCGTAATTTCTCTCGTTAAAGAAGATCAATGTTTCTCTCCCTTGTTCGATGTCATTTATTTCGAACTTTGTAGCGAAAAAGTTTTTAATGAAATCAAAAGTTTAATTACTGTAAATAACTACCAGAATTTTGTAAATTTACTTTTTGATTCAATAAAGAGGGGAAGAAATTCTGTCAATGAAAGTCACAAAGTAAATAATTATTTCCATAGTGGAAATGTTGAAATGTCTGCATCCACGGTAGTTTTTGGATCAATTGAAATTATAAATGCATTGTACAATAATCATGTGTTTGAGACTGCCAATATTCCTAATTCTTGGATTCAGTGGAAATTGAAACCGAAATATGAAATTCAGCCCACTGAATATATTGTCAGATCTTCGCCTGCCGGAACTTCATGCGGTCAACTTCAAACATGGATTGTTGAAGGTACTACTATTAATGGAGAAACAAAAGTTATTCATACTGTAAATTCAGATGCTTTACGCCCAGGTGAAATTCGTAAATATAAAATTAATACACAAGATAAATTTGTATCATTTAAATTGATTCAAACTCAAGCATCTACAACAAATTCTGATTATTTGCATGCTGATATTTTTGATTTTTCTGGAATTATATTTAAAGATTTGTAAAAAATAGCGAATTTATACATAATTTCATCGATCTTTATTTGATCATTATATTAGAGGTGTTGCTTTTTCATGATCTCTTTCATCAATTTGTGCGTTATATGAAATAAACAATTCTGTATCTCATTATGAATTAAAGAAGATAATGTTTGTGTAAAGAGATATATGTACCTGTCTTATTCAAATAATTGAAATAAAATGTTTGACTTTTTCTTTTGTTATATTATCTGCTGCAATAGGAAGTGCTGTTTCTCCATTATTTTTTTTAAGGATACCCTTACGTGTCAGATTTTTTGCGCATACAAAGAAGTCATGCTAGACATGAGCTATAAACCTGAAATTTTAGCAACATATTTAAAACTTTTTAAACTACAATACACTTTAATATTCAAGAACAAAAATATTCTTTTTAGAAATTACATAATTATTTTATGTGAAATCTATATAAAAACATATTTTGCGAGCGTAACTTTTTTCTTTATAAGCACCTTATATGACTGATAAACTGTGAAGGCACATAATTGTTAATTCATAGAGTTGATATGTTTCCAAAATTGAGAGGAAATTTGAAAATTGAATACCCTTTCAATTCAATTTTCAAAAGATATCAGCTCCTTCAATAATTGAAGGACGATTTTGATCATTTGCTCTTAAAACAAGTATGCCATGGAGAAAAAAGTTACGCTCGCAAATCTGAAATATAACTATCATATAAAAAAATTAAATTTCTAATTTTTTACTCTATAGATATTATTGGCCACTTGTGTAATGCATAAAAGTTTATGTCATATGCATACATTTGGAAGTATGGGAGACGAGGGAAATTACTTCTATGAGGCACTAGGATTTTTAAAAATTTCTCTATCGGACTCACCATTCAATTTCTCGAAAATTAAAAAAAATCAATAATAGCTAAAATGTATTATGCATAACAAATTTTAATGTTACATGGTATTTTTTGAACTTCATGACATGAATTTTCTTTATATTATTTTTTTTGGATTTTCTATGATTTATGCGATAGGCTGGAACAACATTGTAAGTGCAATGATATCATTTATAGAGAAATCTAAAACTTCAGCATTCAGAACTCGCAACCACAAAAATATTCATTTGCTAAGTAAGTAAAGTTGATTAAGTTCGACACTTAGCTTTTATACGTAAAACCAAGTGTGTATTGTTATTTCTTGTTAAATTATTGAGAAAAAAATAAATTGTAAGAGAAACGATACTGATTATTGAAATAATATTGAGGGTAGCTGCAGATTTCTTCATTAACATGCCGGAAATTTGTTAATCTTGGTTTTCTATCATAAAATCTGTCGAAGAATCTAAAAACGGAGATATGAAATAGAGATCATGTAAATCTAGAGTATCCTGTCAGAAAAATAGACTAAGCATGTAACCCTTTTTTGGTCAAAACACTTTTACCACTTAGTCATACAGATGATCATTAAATTTAAACGAGCACTTTTTGTCAGAATTTATTCTTTTACAAAGACAGAAGATTTTAGTATTATTTAATATTAGTGCTGTAGCAAAATTCAAAAAACGGTGAAAATTCAGTGAATTTGTGAATTCACAATTTTTTTCGACATTTTTCTTGATATATCCATGCACATTAAGAACACAGCTTTGATACGCTTAAAAAAGCATATTTCATATGAAATTGTTAAAGAAATAAACAATTTATATAAAAATTGCACTTATGGGCAGTTTAGATATATAATTTATATATAACATATATACAAATCCATAGACAAAGTGCAATAACTACAATGTTGTAGAAAATTACAGCAGAAATACTGACTTTTTTGAAGGATAATAAGAATTCTTCTAAATGTTGTATTTTTATAATTGATTGATTTTTTTTACTATTTCATTAATCTTTTATGAATAATAATTATTTTTAATATATGTGCTATTAAAATTTCAAATTTTGACTAATATATCTAAGTTATCTGAACGAAACATTTAGAAAATATCATACTTACATTGAAATAGCAAGTAGAGCATATTAATAGCAAGTTTCTTGGCTTTATATCTATCATCTATTGTTGTTTGATCAAACAAAATTCACTCTATTATATGGTGTCAATTAATTAAAACAATTTTTAATAGTTATTTATTTAGTGCGAATAAGTGCAAACTCATAAATGAATAACTTAATAGTAGAAATGAATTATCTGATATAAATCTCACATTTTGTCCATCAGAAATACTTTAATTGCATACGCATAACTATTAGTAATACGTCTGGAGTGTCAATTAATAACAATCCCACAACAAGTAAAATTCAGATTTTTATTAAACTTATTTTTTCCTAAAAGTTTTCTCAAATTACTATATATACATATGTGGATAAAATAATAGTAATATTGTAAAAAATTAGATAATTTTTTTTATTTGAGAACCTCTCAAAAGTTCATTCAATTTATCAATTGTTTCAGTTTGATGTATATTCATTTCTGGAGCCTAAAACTTTAGCAATCATGACAATATCATATTCTCTTTCTAACTACGCAATGTAAGGGTATCCTTAAATTGATATTTGCACCAAATGAAAGGAAATATTCTGCAGAATGCTGCCCACAAAATTAGTTTGATCGAAATAAACGAAAGATTATTCAAGATTTTGATAATATAGGTAAATAATTACAATTGATTGGATCTCTTTGTTATACTCAATCATTGCTATTGTAACCAAATCAATTTTTGTGAAATAACAATTGGGTACTTCATGTACTATTAATATTGTGTTTGGTATTTGAAAAATTCACTCATGATCTCTGGATTTCCTTCCAAAAAGGAAAGATCTTAATAACTTGATGCAATCAATGTTTCCATTGTAACTACATAAGCTGCTTTTAAGTTTTTGATTTTTATTAAATCCATCTCCATGAATATGATAAATCATTCTTTGTCACTATCCATAATTGCTCTGCAGATTGTGTTTTCTATACTATTATCAAGATTTTTGTATTTTATTTCTCAGAAATCATCAGATATATCTAATTTAATCCAATATCCTTTATCAAACAGGAAGTTTGTAATACTTATGAAATTGTTGAATTCTGTTCCATGATAACTATCTGATATGAGTTTGGAAAGCGTTATATGATTATGAATAGTGATTATTATAAAAAAATTTATAGGGAGATATTTCATTTAATCAAGCATCAGTCAGTTTTGCATTTTAATATAGCAATCTATAATGACAAAGGAATAAATGACTGACTTGCAATTAATATCAGTTAATGAAAATATATATATTTATATTTCTAATATGAAAGTGAAATAATTATCCAAACTCTCATCTAAAGGATGAATAAATGTATAATTTACAAGTTTTATCTGGGGGAAAAAATCGAATTTCTTGTAAAACTATATAAATCGTAAAGAGAAATAGATGTATTATAAAAACACGGATGGTTCGTCATTGAAAAACTAAGAAACAATAAATTTATAATTTGAATGAAAAAGCAAGTGGAAATTTCAATCATGATGCTGATGATTATCAGTGGCATTTTCAAGATCATGTAGTTCTTCATCACTATGATGTTTCTCCTTTTTAATTCTTGGTTTGGCCGGAGGCGACGTTTTCATTGTATGAAAATGAACAGCAATAATAGCAACTATAATTACTACTACCAGAATTGCAATAACAATCCCGTACCACATCAAAAACGTACTGTTTCTCTTCGCCATTGCTCAATGTCAAATTTTTCAATGAAAAACTAAATTCAGAAATTAGATAGAATAAATCCTAAGCAAGTATTGAACAAATTTTCTTCAAAAAAGTGAAATCAAAAAAAGAATGACATCTCAAAATGAAATCATTGAAGATAATTTCACTTAACACTTATATGTCATGACCTAGTACAACTGGATCATTTGGTATTTTTAGCATAATTCAACTTTTCTTTTGTAAATTTGTTGTAATTTGATTCTCCTTGCCTTTTATTAAAATAAAGGCCTGTATATTACAACTAATAAAATTTAGTTTTACTTAGCAGCTGGCTTCAGACATTCATTGCGGTGATTGCTCTCCTTCGCACAGATGAGAGCATATGTGTGTATGTAAGCTCAACTTTGTGCTTCTAAGCGAGCTTGAGGAGGATACCAGTCGTAGCTCCAATTTCTGTCTTACACTGGTTGAAAATATCCTGGTTCATTGGGTCCTGGTGCATCGGGCATTCCTCGAGGGTGTTTTTTAAGATTATATGGGTTCATGATTTTTTTCTCTCCAAATTTACTGAAATTAAAAGAAGCCGGCCAATTCTCTGGATTAATAGTGTCATTTCAGGATATAAATAGAGTAACATGATAGATGCTCTCTTGATGGCAATTTGAAATTCCAAATGTTTGTCTCTAATGATTTACCAGCTTGTAATAGTGAAAATTAAATATTGTATTTCTTTCAGATATCATGTATAGACATGTTTTGAAAAGAAAATTGAAATTCAAAAAATAATTTGAAAACGCTATCCACTCATATGATACATAGCTGGCTAATAGTTATTAGCACTATAGAAAAATGACATGATTTTCTTTAAAAAATATAATAAATGTTTAATTTCACACAGAATTAACAAGCGCTTCAAAAAAGGACGACAAATTTAGAATTTGGTAGCTTCAGCCTGGAAGAACTTGAGTTTTTCGACATCCTTACGGGCACGTTCAAAGAGTTGATCAATAGAGTCATCATCAATGCTGAAATCGCTGATTCCATAAATTGAACCAAGGCAGCGCTTGACATGATCAACAAATTCCTTCTTTTCTTTTGTGAGTTTATTCTTGATGTCATTAACTTCCTTCTGTGAATCTTGCTTAGCAACTAACAACTGAGCTTGATAGTTCTTCTTATCTGTGGCTTGTTGTTTGGTTGTTTGCTCAAGAATATTGTTGATCTTTGATTCAAGATCCTTGATTGTCTTCTGAAGCTTGACTTTCTCGATTTCAAGTGCTTTGGCCTTCTTTTCATTCTCAGCACTCTGATCCATAACCTTCTTTGACTCTGATTTGGCCTTATGAGCCTTATCTGTCATTTCCTGAAGAGATTCTGTGAGTGCAGCCTTTTGGTTTTCTAATTCAGTAGCCATTGCATTCATTTCAGACTCGTGTTGGGTCTTCATATCCTTGATCATTGTGCGAGCCTTCTTCTTTGTCTTTTCAAGCTTCTGTTGAAGCTGCTTGATTTCCTGGTCCTTAGCAGCAAGTGCTTCGTTTGTTCTTGATTCGCTTTCAGCTTTCTTCTCTTCAACAACATGCTGCTGATGATTGCAGTTGATGTCATCAATAGCCTTCTTTAATGTGAGGTTCTCCTCATTGGCTTCTGTGATGGCTTCCTGTAATTGTTTGTTCTTCTTCTTGAGATTTTCAAGTTCTTCGACGTTCTTCTTGGCAACTTCTGACTCTTGCTCATGCTTTGTTTGTTCAACTGTAAGTTTGTTGAGATCAGATTTGAGCTGAGCGTTTTCAGCTTGCAATGTTTGAAGCTCTGTATTGGCAGTGTTTAATTCAGCCTTAAGCTGCTCTTGTTGTTGATTCTTCTCATTGATTTCATTGCGAGCATCACGAAGAGACTTGTGGATTTCCTTGCGTGTCATCTTTAAGTGTTCGATCTTTTCGATCAAATCATCAAATGCAGCTGTGATCTCTCCAATTTCGTTGACGCCACATGCTTCCAAATGCTTCATGAATTCATTCTTGTGAACAAGTGCTTCTTGAGCAGAGTGGATTTGCTCTTGAAGACGTGTGTTGATAAGGAATATAGCAGCAAGAAGAGAGCCGAGTTCTTTATCACTCTGGCAAACTTCGTTGACAATTTGTTGACGTCTTTCAACAGCATCCTCTGAGAAAAGATCGAACTGACCGAACATTGGGCCAAGTAATTCTGCGCATTTATTGATACAATCGCAATTTGCGCCATTGCTGCCAATGAGATCAAGGAATGCCTTGTCTTCAATAGCAAATGCAGCTGTGTTGATCTTTTCTTGGGTGAACTCCAAGTTCTTCCACTGTGTAAGGAGAGATGAAAGGAGTTCTTCAAGCTTTTGAGCACGAGCTTCAAGCTTCTTGTACTCACCATCAAGCTTTTCTTGCTCTTGTGTGGCGTTTTGTGTCTTAGACTCGAATGAAGTCAAATCCTTGGAAAGTTCATTGATCAATAACTGAACTTTGTGGGTTGGCTGGAAGTGGTCGTAAGAGAAGATCTTCTTGATTCTCTCAACGATCTCATCATTAAATGGTAATGCGAGTTCGTTGAAATTAACAACATCACCGAAGCTAGCTGGAGTTAAAGCTGAGAGCTTTTTGACTTTCTGTGTTAATGTTTCTTTTTCAGCTGTTAACTGTTGGATCTGTTCTTCAGAATTTGAAACCTGTCCGTTAAGTTTCTGGTTGTCTTCATAGAGCTGATTTCTTTCATCACTAACTTGTGTAAGCTCGTCTGTCTTGAGCTGAAGCTGCTCCTGAATTGTCTGAAGTGTTTCCTCAAGATTCTGGTTCTTAGCATTTGCAAGAGCAAGCTGCTGATCAGAATCTGAAGCATGAGCAGTCATGTTGGCAAGCTCTTCATTCAACTGATCAATCTCAGCTAAGGCTTCCTTGAGTCTTGTATCGAACTCTTCATTAGCCTGGCATGTTTCTGCGAGTTTATCATTAGCAGCACCAATTGTTGTTGTTAGCTCCTTATTCTTCTGATCAAGCTTAGCTCTTTGCTTGGTCAATTTGTTTGCACGATCTGTGATAGTGTGAAGCTGGTCCTGTGTGGACTTGAGTTCTGCAGTGAGACGTGCAACCTCGGAAACAAGGTTCTGACGCTCTTCTGTGTTCTTCTTCATTGATGAATTTGTAGCATTGGAGAAAACTTCTGCTTTTTCACGCTCTGTATCAATCTTAGTATTAAGTGATTCGATTTCCTTCTCGAGGGCTTTAGCCTGCTTCTCAGATTTAGCTGTAAGTTCGCGAATCTGAGACTTAAGTTCACAGTTCTGTTGATGGAGAGGATCAACCTTTGCAGCTGTAGTGAGAGCCTGAGCTAATTGCTTGTTGAGGTTATCAATATTAGCTTGAAGTTGAGCATTAAGCTGCATCAAATGCTGATTCTGAAGCTTCATTTGTTGTATCTGAAGCAAATCGCCTTTTGTATGACTTCCAGAGGATGCACTCCATCCGGAAGACATGGATGATTGAGAACAAGAATCCATAATAATTCTTAAACGTACAATATGTTATTTCAATTTTTTCAATTGAGATGTTTAAAATAAAAAAGTGAGTGTTGAGCAAAACGTACGGAAAATCCAACACATTTTAAATCACATATTTATATTATACATGTGTTAAATTTCATAATACTTGCGTAATCAATACTTAATCTATGCATTTTTGAAATGAAATTTAATCATTAATGGGGTACTATGGGGATTTAAAAGTCCTTAATTTTCCACCATGTCATAATAAATCAGTATTTTTCTCTTTATATATGATATGATGTACAATCATAAATCAATAATTTTGTATAATTTCAGTATTTTGCTCTTTATATATAATTACATAAATTCTAATGTGAATGTATGATTAGAGGAAGTTATTTTTGGAGAATGAAATAAATATTACAATTAACTAAAAACAATGGTGCATTGTAAGAGCTTATGGGTAAATAAAATAAATAAGATCTGATCTGAGTATTATGTGATATTTGTTACAAATTGTAATAGATACACGGACTCATCTGATATGTAAAAAAGTATATAAAAAATAATAATAGTTATTAGAATAGAATTTTATAACATTCAGATTTTGAAAATATTGTTGTTTTAGACTTTGTCATATTCAACTCCTGAGCTCTGGTTTTCTTTCCTCTTCGTGTGGATGCAATAAACTACGAATGAGATTAAGAGAGCGATTATAACGATGACACCAATTGATGCTGGCAAGACAACACACAGATAGAATTTCCTTACAGGATCGTCGTGCTTGTATGAATCTCCTGCTCTGAATTCCATCTTGTAAGCGATACTGTTGTTTTCGATGAGCTTTGTGAAGTTCACGTTTCCGATGTTTGCAATGTCTGCTATTGTAGTTTTAGTAGAATTTATTCTGACAGGATCTAAATACAAGTCACTGTTGCCCGTGCTTGGTAACTTGTTATTCCATCCGCTGATGAAGATGATGAACAAGAATTTGTAATCAATTAAAGCTCTTCCTTCCCAGGAAGCTTCAACTTCGTTATCGGTTCCGTTTATCCTGATGAGGGGATGAGAAAGGGAATAACCTATTTGAACAGTATTTTTGACTGTGTTGTAGTCTCCTTCAATCTGGACAATTGCAGGTCCTGAGACTGTTATCTTGTTGTAGTTTCCTGTAACTTTGACAATACTCATGTATTGAGATGTGATTTTGATATTTCTCTCTCGGCATGTGACGTTATAATAACGTACATCTTGTGAAGGTGTTATCGTGATTTCTGCTTTACCGTTGTCATCATAGTATGGTAAGTTGATAGGTTTGCTCGAAATTATTTCGTCGTACTGCTGATAGAAGATATCAGTGTAATCAACAGATGCTGCAAGCGCATGTAATATCGCGAACATCAAGAAAAATGATTTCCCTAATTTACTCAATTTTTTAAATTCAAAATTTCTGAAGATTTTGCGTAATCCAATTTTATGCTCTCAATTTTTTTTAATATTTTGATAACTCTCAACGGTGAAAAATTATCAGATCTGCATAATCCAAGTATCGTCATTTTCATTTTATGAAATTAGATATATTTTTTATTTCAATCATCTTTACATTGAGATTTGATTTAAGAATTGTCAGAAAATCTTACAATTTTATTATTTTCACAATGACATTTATTACAATTTTATAATACTTGGAATAAACTTGATAATCTTTGGCACTGTTAATGGTTCACTCAAACGATACAGAGTATTCAATTTTTCAATCGTTTTCAACTTTTAATCGTCATCGTATCTTTTTGAAAATATACTTTTTGGAAGCATCTGCTTAATATTATCTATCGAAGACTAAACAAATACTTTATGAAATAGCATAACTATATTACTATATTACCATGAATGCTTTCAAACCAAAATTTTGATAAACTTATGAACTCTGTTTTATGAAGTTTACATATCGTTGGAGTGAATCCTTAATGACATGACTATCGGCTAAATGTTTGACGTGCTTTTTAGAATTCCATTATATATAATATAACTCGACAATGTTTAATAAAAATTTGTGAATTGTAAACTATTCAATAAAATTAGCGCAGTATTGAATTTCAAATCAATAATTTTGCAAAAAAAATTGGAATTCTATCATTTTAACTCGTTGCTTTGTATCTCTTGTAAATCTTCTAAAATAAAGCTTTGAAAAATACGATGTTTTTGAAAGTGCATTTTAGTTTTGTTTAAGCTCTCATTTTACAATTTTTAATTGGAACTTACAACAAATAAATAAAAATCAAAAAAGTGACTCTCATTTCATTAAAAGTTTATGGATTTAAATTTATATTCAAACTTTCCAAGTCGTGAGGAAGTTGAACGAATTCCATTTCAGCAATGCAGGCTATTAAATAATTCTGAAGTCATTTGTTGGGTTCTAACTCATTTTCAAAACAACATTGAATATTATCAATGGTATTGTGGTAATAATTATGAACATCCACTCATAATTAATGAAAACATGCCTTTCTTCATATCTGAAAAGCTTGATGACCCTGTTAACGTTGTAATAGTTCTAAAAATTGATTATTTATTGTGTGTAAATAATGACTTAGGATTTGCACTTTTTCACTTAAAGGTTTCTAATGTTGATAATATTAGTTCTATGCTCAAGATATTTTCAACAAATGAAATTCCGAATTGCATTCAAACTTTTGATTTCAAACTTGTCACACACCATGCTTGTTGTTGTTTTCAAACATTTAATGTATATTAGAAATATACTTCAAACTTTTTCTGAGCTTTGCTCAGAAAAATGTTTGAAGTATATTGGAATACCAATCACTTCAAATTCTTTTGGGGATTAATATTTCATTAAAAAATGGGGCCCAAAAAATTTGAATTGATGGGTATTTTACTATACCAAACAAAGATGTGTACTCAATTTTTGCTGATGGAACATCTTGGAACAACGTTCATCCAGGTGATAAAATGTTTTATAGTTTCAAACCTATCAACGCAAAAACAGATTACTATGACAATGTATCGCTTTTATCTTACGGAGAAGATAACTCTGAAATCATTCGAAATTATGAACCCCATTCAATTTTTCATAATCCACCATTTCTGGTAAAATTAGATCGCAACTTGAAGGACTTCAAGAATTAGATTTTACAGAAATTCAATGCGTTAACTAAGTCATTCACTTCCCGCAAGAACTATCATTCTTTAAAGGAAAATTAATATGTGATAAATATTGAATAAAACGATGTTTTTTTTTTTGAAAATTACAAGAAGTGTTTCAACTCTCACCATCAAATCTAAGCTAAATTTGTTTCAATGATTAGTTCTAATCTATAGAGGAGTTTAATAATGCAGTTGTACATATCACCTCATAATTTTCTGGATAATTAGATCAAATTTCCCTGAATCCTTCAATATCTACATATTTATATATTGAATAATGCATACAAATATATACAAAAGGATGGATATTGGCTTTGGTTATTAATATTTGATGTTTTGTGTAAATAATATTTCTTTATTAAGGAATATCAATTCTACAAAGTTTGATCATAATCATATATTTTCTCAAAATAGCACTAAATGTAGATAATTAATGTTTGTTATTAAGAATTTTGAATAATATAAAATTATTTATAGATGAAAGCATTTTCAATAAGTTAAAAATATTATATTAGCAAGATTGAGCATTATTTCACTAAAGATTTAATAAAATTGCAAATATATGTAGGTTCAAAAACTCTGTGAATTCATATTAAAAATTCAATTTATTTATACAAACAAATAAAAACATAAAATTTAATAGTCTTGAGTATCAATGTTACTCAATGATTGTGAAGAATCGATACTCCTAAATGGCTTTGACTCGCCTTCATTTACTGAGAGAGGCAAACTGAAGAAGTTGTTATCAGACAACAAATCAAACAAGTGTTCAAAGAAAGGAGAGTTTTCCAAAGTAGATCTCGAGCCAACGAAAATCAACTTAGTTTTCGCTCTTGTGATTGCAACATTCATTCTCTGCCAGTCAGAAGCATGTGCTCCAGGAGATTTCTTCTCATTCGATTTAACAGTTGATATAATGATACATTCCTTGTCTCGTCCTTGGTATTTATCAACTGTGTCAACTTCAATCGAGCTTGCAATTTCACTTGGATTTCCTGCCATGTGTGGGAAATATTTAGAACAACAAGAAATCTGTGCTTGAAGAGCTTTCCTTATGAATATAACTTGTGCTCTGTAAGGAGTGATGACACCGATCGATTCTGTACTTATTCCTGCAAGTATCATTGCAGAAACAATCATAGAAACAACAGAGCCTTCTCCAACATTGTTTTTAGATGACATATTCTTTCCTTCTCGCATAGGAACAGAATCTGTATCAACAAACAAAACACTTGGATCTGGTTTCAATATCCTTGATATCCATTCTTTTGAGTATTCGGAGAACTCGTTCAATATTGATATATTAGGGAAATATATCTTATTCTTTGCACTTGAACTGAATCCACTTCTCATCCTATTAGAATAAATAAGTTCATTGCAAAGTTGCATGATTTCATTATTCATTCGATACTGAGTTCTCAATGTCACAATCGCGTGTGTGTTTTTCTCGGAAAGCATCTTGAAGAGTGATATAGGTACTTCACCTTCATTCTTTGATATTGGAGGAAGTTGGTAATGATCACCAACTAAAATAAATCTGTTGCATTTAGTCAATGGACCAACAACAACTGGCATTGAGATTTGTGATGCTTCATCAATGACACAGACATCAAAGAACTTTTCGAGAATGAAAGGATGATTAAACGCATAACATGTGCATGCGAAAACTTTAACACCACTCAATGATAAATGAAGTTGTTCTGTGTTTTCGCATGATTCAATAATAGAATCTAAACAATGAGATCTAACTTTTTCAGAAATAGATTCTAATCTTCCGATTCTGACGAAATTGACACCTCGATCGATTAATTTACTGCAAAGATTGTCAACAGCTGCATGTGTATATGAACAAATCAAAACTGTTTGGTTGTTTTTCTCAAATGATTCAACTAAAAGTGCCAATGTTGTTGTTTTTCCTGTTCCTGGCATTCCTAGCAACAGCATGTAATCCTGTGCACGAAGGGCCATCTTGATTGCGTGCATTTGATCATGGTTCAATTCATTCTCCTGTGAAATGTTTGTTTGTTTAGGAAGTGATGTGAAAACTGGAGATTTGTTTTCAATGATGAAATTTCGAAGATTTTCACAACATTGGTTATCTTCTGTCAACATAATCATTAAATTTCTTCTGCATCGTGTAACAGTATTGTAACTTTCCCATAGATCCAAACAAATGTCTTGTTCTTCTTCATTCATCGTTGATTGGATCATTTCTATTGTAATTTGGTTTCCTTCAATTGCTGAAACATTTCCGCGTGCAATAACAGGAGGAATTCCGTTTTTTGTGATTAACACTATGTTGCTAACGCAGATCTGTGTTTTCTCAATAGTACCGGAATTAAGGTAAAAAGTGACAATTGGACTTTTTCCGTTATTTGTATGTAAATTATTCAAAGCTCTTCCAGAGGAAATTCTCTTTTGAACTGGGCTTGTCCAGATCTGTGTTTGCAAATCTAGTGAGTTAAGCATCTCGTTGACAAGAAGACGGTCCCATTCGTTATAAAACTCTCGATGTCGAAGATTTGGTGTATACGATAATTTTCCATTCAAAAAACTTTTGACAGGACAATCGTTATCGTATTCCAAGAACGCGCAAATCTTCTGTCCTGGGCAGTACTTGCAGATATGTGAGGATCCGGCTGTCGGAGGGATTGATCCGTGTGCAAGGGAGTGAGCAATTAAATTTCGACTCATTACGATGGATAAAAGCTCAGATCTACGTGGTTTGATGATGAAACTGCTTTTATCCTTCATGTAGAATAAAAGGCCGCATGGAGCTGATTGTGTTTTGTATCTTTCTTTCAACATAAAAATATAAGATGATAATTGGAGGACGTTGTCATCTTTGACTTGGCCATTATATGAACTACCTGTCTTTAATTCGAATGGGAACATGATTCCTTCCTTTTCCATTGTGGCATCGATTTTTCCTTTTAATCCCCATTGAAATGACCAAATGTTCTCTTCTTCTTGAACTGTCTTGGCGCCGTATGGTGGTAATGCTTCGATTGGAGTGGCGATGCCGTTGAAAAGTCTGTGATCTAAAGTAAATTTGTTTGAATTAGTTTCTATGGCATCTGCAATAAGTCTGATTGTTTCGAGGTATGGTATGATTGTACTCTTTGCGGATTCTTTTGTTTCTTCCATTAGAAATAGTTCGTATTTGGAGCTTTCAAGTAATTGATCTAATGTATGGTCAATATCTTGATTTCTAAGGCCAAAGAAGACCCTTTGTAATAGAATGTGACATATAGAACCTCTGAACATGTCCATATTTGAAATTCTTTCAGGGCAAACAGAATTAATGTAAGTTTGCCTTCTGCATCTTTGTGCAGTAGCCATTTCTGTACCTGAAATGAGTACATGTGGTAGTGATATGAAAAATCCATTGGCATCGTCGATAATTGTATAATATTTGTTTTGATAAACATTTCCAACAGGATCATCGCCTAATTCCCATTTTCCAACAATAAAACATGGATCTGCAATGGAAATTGATGAAGTTGCCCACTGACCTCTCAAATGAACGTATCTTTCTGAATGTCCTAATCCAGGCCATAATCTAACGAAAATTTCTGTATAATAGTTATATATTTGACGTATGAAATAGTCTATAACTGTAAATAAAGGTTGATCTTCTGAAATCACTGATGGAACGCCAATGAAACCAGAAGATACTGGTTCTTCAGTCACTTCATCACCAGAACATAATTCTTCGTATATTTCTTGATGAAGTGGTGGAAGAATTGCTGCCGAATCATCATCGCTATCAGATAAGAAAGAAGTCATAAATTTTAAATAATTTTTTTTAGAAAATACCAAATATTTTTTACTTTATCGGCGTGATGAAGCAGGCCTGTAATAGCGAAGATATCTTATATAATTTATAACTTATAAAAGTACGGAAAGTGTAAGTCTATGAATCTTAAAATTTAATGTTGGTAAATTTCAATTAAATTGCTTTTAAAATTTTTAATGTCTGATCAAAACATTCACCCAGTCAATTACAGTGAATTGAGAAGTATCTCCAAATTTCACATTGATTCGTATAATGCGCTGTATCAGTTAAAAACCGAAAATGAAGAAGAACTCAAATCTATTTACAAAAAGATCAAAACAGATTTGATTGACTCAAAGAATTATCTCCCCCATAATATGGTCAAAGATATTTTAGATATCATTCCGTTTAATAACCGCTTTACCAAGTCATATTTGACTCTTGCCAAATTTATCACCGATGATTATCATGTAACAAAGGTCATTGAGATTTCTGATGTTTCTAAATTTCCATTTTATAAACAATATGGAATTAAATTGTTCAATATAGGATTTTTAGATATCAATTCAGAAGATCTCATTTTTCACTCAGAAAATACAATTTACAAAGCAATAATGTATAATAACAAAGTAAGATTCATTGAATTCACCGAAAGAGATGGATTTAATAAAGATCAAAAACTACGAAGCAAATTATATCCTTATTCTATGGAAAGATATTCATTACTTGAATTATGTTGTTACCACGGAGCGGTCGATTGTTTCAAGTTATTAAGAACGAAATTTAAATCAGAAATAACTCCAAAATGTCTTCAATTATCATTTTTAGGAGGAAATCCCGAGATCATGAATGAATGTTTGAAATATCGAAAACCTGATAATGATTGCATGATGTATGCAATTATTTCACACAACATTGATTTTGTTACATATTTGATGAATGAGTTTAATATAGAGATCAATTTAAGCTATTGCATCGATTATAAGAATCTTGAATCATTTTTAGTTTATTATAATCAAACTAATGATATTAACACATGCTTCCTTTATTCAGTAATGTTTGATATTCCATCTATTTGCGAGTGTTTTATTTCCCATGGTGCAAACATTAATGAAAAAGGTTTTAATGGACAAACCGCTCTTCATTACGCGGCAATTTATAATTACAAAGAAATAGCTGAACTTCTTATTTCACATGGTTCAAATATCAACGCAAAAGAAAATTATGGACAAACCGCTCTTCATAATGCAGCATTACTTAATAACAAAGAAATAGCTGAATTTCTTATTTCACATGGTGTAAATATCAACGAAAAAGATAATTATGGACAAACCGCTCTTCATAATGCAGCATTATATAATAGCAAAGAAACAGCTGAACTTCTTATTTCACATGGTGCAAATATCAATGAAAAAAATAATAATGGAATCCCCGCCCTTCATATTGCAATATTGCCTTGGATGAAATAAGATTTGGTGCACAAGAATGATGACTCAAAATCAATAGATGAATATTTTCTATTCAATTTTGAGAGAATGATGAAAAAGATTCATAATTTTATGTATAGTTTACAAATATCATAAAATTTTCGAAAAATTTTGTGAATTGTAAACTATTCATAAAATTTATGAATTCCATTTTTCAGCATTTCGCACAACATTGAATTTAAAATAGTTTCAGCATTTACCCAAAAATTGAGGCGAAGCCTCAATTTTTGGGCAAATGCTGCTAAAATTTTTCTATCGTTAAAAGTATACGTTTTAAAATTTTTGACAATAAAAAATTATGAGTGAAATTACTGAAAATAAACAAGAAATCGAGAAAGATCCAACCAATACTTTCCTCACAGGTGTTAACATTGATGTTGACGCTTGGAGAGAGCAAACTGTTGAAGAACTAACTGCCTGGCTCAATGATATTAAGAATAAAAAGACTGAATTTGGAGATCCACTTGTTGAATTTCCCGAAGGTTGGGATAAAGATCAGAACCTTACAACAAATCAACAAATTGATGTAATAGCAAAAGGATTAGCAGATAAATTACAGGGAGCGGAAGCAAAAGAAGCCAAATCTGACTTACAAAGTATTAGAGCTCAAGCAGATAAGCTTAAACAGCTAGAAAAGCAACTTGCAGCATTTGATGGCGATGATGAAGAACTAGAGCCTGAATTATCAAAAGAAGATGAAGATATTCTGAATGAGGAAATAGTAATTCCAAATATAGATGTATCTGGCCCTAATCCATTTGAAATTGATGCTGATTCATTGAAAAGATTAAAAGAAATTGACGAAAAACTCGGAACTACTGAAGAAGATACAAAACCCCCGACAAGAACAATGGAAGAAATCAATAATGATATACTTAAACTTTACAAAAACCCAGAAGGTGATAAACCGGAAGACGTCTCTCTTATTCCAAACGAAACAGATGATAAAGATGGAGATGAAACAAAAGAGCCTTCATCTGACCGTTCTTCTTCTACACCAAAGTTACCTCAAGAGACTTCTGTAACAATTCAGCCTCCAGAAATTCTATCAGCTCCTAAATCACCACCTCATAAATCATCACTAAAATCTCCATTACCATCATCTCTAAATCAAAAACCAATTCCACCTTTACAGCAAATTTCAGCAGATATCCAGCTGAAGCAAATCAAATCAAAGAAACCACTAACGAAGAAATAGGTACTTACTAATTTCAATCCCTCTCATTTTGGAATTATTTGATACTCAAATTATATAGTCACTACTTCATAATTACATAATTATATCGTTGTACAACAACGATCTCGGATAGTTTATGCTAACCATCTCCAAAAAATTTATTGTTTTTTATATTTTAACATGATTTTACTTAATACCAATAAAAATATCTAGTTTTAAGTTACATTTTTGCTACATGTCTGACGTGTAATAGAAAATCAAATAAGAAAGTCATTAAACAATTTTGAATAGAATAACTTAATATATAAAAAGTTCTATATTGAACAATCATGAACATATTGTTGAGTAAAGCACAGGAGTTATTCACCCTTGGAGTATTAAATGTATTAAATGCATGATTGCCTTAAAAAGGATAAAAATGAACAATAAAGTGCAATTATTGCAAAGAAGGCAATCATGTCAACACATCGAGCTAGAATTAGGATTATCTTTCTACTATAGAGCAAAATGAAGAAGATAATATTATAGTAGTATATGATGCGGGTTGTGTGACTTTTTTTGTAATCGTAAGAATTCTCACATAATTGAATGATTTTTGAACATACTTCCGAATAGCAGATTTTAAAAATTTATGAATAATTTATAAAAAGTTTTTATTCCTACAATTCCTATATTACCATTAATAAAAAGAATATATTTTATAATAGTTTCATTTCGAACATGTTAAAATTTATCTGCATTTCGAAAAATTTTATTATAAATGATAATATAATTTATTAAATTAATATATAACTTATGAATTTTTACTTTTTGTATGAAATAAAATTTAGTATTAATAAAGTTATAAAATAAATTGGTGCATGTTAGATGTAAATAAGATATAAAAAGGTGTTTATTCGTATTATTTCAGGTGATTGTAAACAATTAATTATATATGAGCAATGCTCAAATTAGTAAGTTTTTAGTCTGATTAGATCTCATCAGGACAAGCACTGAGGATAAAGTCTATTAGTTGTGTCTTGGTTTTGATGAGAGGAACAGCGGTCATCAGGAGATCACGCTTGTTGGAGCCAATTGGTGTACGACCCTTCCAATTGTGCATAGATCTGAGTGCTGATATGGTAAAGAACTCAAGGACAAAGAGTCTTTGAGACTTTGTAAGGTACTCGTCTTGGTCTTTTTCTTCTTGGATGGTCTTCGTCGAAGCTGAGGATTTGATTTCTTGAGCTTCAATCGGATCATACTCTTCGTCTTTTCTTAATGTAAGTTGTTCACGCTTGTAGTCGTTTCTGAGGACATTGAGACCGGCTTCGAGCTCTTGTGCTTTCTTCGGAGATTGAGAGAAGTGCATCTGTTGTTGGCTCTGCATCTGCTGCATCATCTGCATTTGCTGTTGCATCATCTGTGTCATTATCTGCATCATGTCTTGAGCTGGTGCAGATGTCGCTGGTGCAGGTGTCGCTGGTGTTGAATCTTCTTGGGACATTTGATCTACGGTTAGAACAATAAGTAACGGTTAAACTTCTACTGGTAAAGTTTACACTGGCAGAACTTCTACTGGTAGAGTTTATACTGGCAGAACTTCTACTGTTTCCCTCAAAATTGAATACTTTAGCAGAACTTCTACTGGTAGAGTTTATACTGGCAGAACTTCTACTGGTAGAGTTTATACTGGCAGAACTTCTACTAGTAAAGTTTCTACTGGTAGAGTTTATACTGGCAGAACTTCTACTGGCAGAATTTCTACTGGTTATGACCGAGCTTCACCCACTCTGTGCCATTGAACTCAATGAGAGTGTTTCTGCTTACCTCTACAACACATTAAAGTCCAAGAGAACAATCCTTCTTACAAAGATCTCCAGACGACAGATTCAAAGGGAAAAACTAAATCACAGCTTAAACAGTTGAAAGATTTCAAAAATAAAGTATTAACAGAAGAAGATATTGATGAATTATATAAATTATATAATCCTGAGCCACAAAAACCAAAGCCGAGGTCTAAAGTAGCAAATGTTCAACAGCTAAAGGAACAAAACGCCCAGGTCCTTCAGACCATAAATGATGCACAAGCTTTAATTTATGATTCATTAGTTAAATCATATTCAGCCCGACTTTTAAATGAAGATCAACTTTTGGAATTCATCCTTCAACATAAACTCGAAGCGGGAAAGTATATCAAACCTTTATATACAGCATATTTAAAACAAATGAATAGAATACATCCAGAATTAATGAAGGAAGGAATGAAATCCAAAATCAAAGCAGATAAAATTAAACCACTTGCAACACCAAAACCTCCAACGACAATACCTCCTCCTCCTTCAGTTAATCCTTCATCATTCACTTTATTATATCCATTTCAAACATTAAAGAAGCAAAAAGATTTTAAAAAGGATTTCAAGATATTAAATAAACCAATTGACCCGAAAATTCAACCGTTAAAGGAAAAATTTAGTCGCCCTTCATTTGCACCATATCCATATTCATACGAAATCGATCATCTGGAATATTCAAAAGGAAACGTTACTTATTTATTTGCCATTAACATTAACACTAGATATTTATATTGCATTCCGGTGAAAGGGAAAACAGAACAGGAAACAAGAAGAGCTATTCAATACTTACTAGATCATGAAAGAGTAGATAATATCAGGGGTGATGGTGATAAAGGATTTCAGGCAGCTATGACTCATTATTTCCCACAAATTAATTTTTTCTTCTCATCCTCTCCATATACGTTTCATAATAAAATAGTTGATGCGGTAATGAGAACTCTTAGAGATGCGTTAGGGGGTTAACGGTCAGATATACTGGGATGGAAATCATGACTCCATCATACAGCAGTTAGTATATTATTACAATAATACATGGCATAGAACTATAAACATGAAACCGGTGGAAATGAAAAATGATATTTCAAAAGAATGGAATATATTAGAAAGCAAATGGAAAAGTTAAATGATGTTAAACGTGAACAAATTAATTCGGGGCTCATGAATTTTAAACAAGGAAATAAAGTTTTAATTCATCTCGATTATGGAAAAACTGATAAATCAATGACAAAAAGAAGACGAAGATTTGACACAATAGCTGAATTTGTTAGATATATTAACGGCAATGCATTAGTTGAAGTTGACAATAAATTAATAGAAATTCCGATTTATTTTATTACTCCATTATATTTAAATAATATTTAATTTTTTTTATTTCGTAAGAAATGAGTGACAACAAAGCAGTCAAGAGTCCAGACGATGAATATAAAAGAAACTAAACAGAATTAAATCAAAAATATGCTATTACAAAAAGAAGCCGCAATGTGGTGGGGTTGAAAACGATAAAGAGAGGAAAGAAATAATCGAAAAATTAGAAACTTACCGTTCAATCCTTAAACTGAGTGAAGCAAAAATAAAAGAATTTAATAGAATAAATAAATTGATTGGAAGAGATGAATTTAATAAAGATGAATTTTTAAACTCAATCCAAATTTAATTTTTATTCCTCTTCGACAACGTCTCTCTTTCCATCATTACTGCATAACCACATTTTCTCAGTTTTAGTGGTTTGTTATTTTTAGCAAGTTCTCGCATCATTTTTATCGTTTCCTCCCTTGTTATGATTCGTGGTAAATTTTGAGCTTGTGGGGTATCCATTTATGATAAAAATAAAAATTTAAATTATACTGTTCTAAAGTTTGTGACAACATGACATTTTGACAGTTAGTATACAAGTCTTGGGTATGGTGGCACTGCGTTCCACCTTACCCAATACTTGTGAATTTGACACTTTACAAAACCGTTAACGTATATTTTACAACATGAACGCAAAAACTAACTTAACCTTAAATATTTACAAAACCGCCAACAATTTCACCTCACTATCGTTCTCACTAACAACTTCACTAATGTTCTCATAAATTTTCCTCAATATTCATCATCAGTGTTAACCCTATTGTAGTCATACTTGAAGCCATAAACTTTCTCTAACTTCTTAACGTACAATTTACATAACTTACCTTCGTTCATCGTATGGTTTAATGATATAACTATTTCTATCTTTATAAACAGTCAATGAAAAGTCAACTGGTCTCGGATGTATTTGAAAGAACATGTTATGCTCAGGAAGGAAGAATAAATGTTTAAATGTATGTTTGTTATATGTTTTGATTTGTATGAGTTGCTTTTGTTCTGTCATTACATCCAAATAAAATAAAAATAATTTTAAAAAATAAAATAAAAAATAAATGATATCACCACCCTCACACGTATGAAAACATAGCACAAAAATAAATTTAGGTGAAGTGGTGAGATCTAACCCGATTTCTAACCCGATTTCTAACCTCATTTCTACCCTGTTGAATTCATTGCTTTATAACTCTCTTCCTTGGTTTCTTTTTAGTTGCTTTCTTCACGTCTGTCTCCAACTTGACTGTCTTTCTTCTTCGTCCGTAATGATACCAGTTACTTCCACCAGTCAATGGGTCAAATGGTCTTTCGTAAGGGTTTCCATACATTCCATAGGGACCATACGGAAGAACTACTGGTGGAGAAGAAACATCTTCTTTAGTTCCATCGACTCTATTTAAATGCATTGTTTCACCTTTCATCTGGTCATTAAAGTCTTTTGCGTGTTTTGCAAACTCATCGTCCTTTCCTAAAGCATTTTCTGACTCAGTCGCAACCAAATTGGATGCTTTATTTATGAGCCCTATTTTATTTAATCTTAACTTCTTTGCAACCCAGCCTCCAATCTTCCCTTTATTTGCATCTAATGTCTTTGAAACCCTTCCTCCACTCATTTTATTTACTGCGTCATAAGCTCCAAGTGCTTTTGCTCCAAATGCTAATGCTTTTGTTCCCATTGCGCCTAAAGCTGCCCAAGCTACCATTTACCCCATATTAAAATCATCTCTCTTCAATATTATCTCATAAAAGTTCTCGTTACTGGAGAAAGTCAATGAAACATAAACGTTCTCATTCATAAACTTCTTTCTTATATCATCTATACGCTTCAAAATGTCTGAACAATTGCTAACATCTTCTACAACAGTTATTTCATCATGAATGACCTTCAAGAACAAGCTCATTTAGTATGCAATTAAAATCATCTCAATAATGAGTCCATCCTTTCCATCTTTAGGTAGCACAACATCTTTCATTGAAGAAGGTTCGACAAGTCTTATGTTAAACTTACTGACAAAGTTTGTTATACTATAATGCTTCGGCGGCGAATACATGTAGTTTGAAAGACATAATATAGATTCTTCAGCAAATTCACTTATACTGGATTTTATAACAATGTTCTCACGAGACCAAATACCACCAATTGACAATCTTGTAAGCAATCCTGCTGAACCTTCAACTGTAAACGTCGATGGTAACATTCCACGAAGGTCATCTATTGACATCTTTGAGTCACTGAATTTAAATATTTTCTTAAAGCAATCGTCATTATCTAACCATGCAATAGCTTTGAAGTTTTCATTTGAATATACATCTGCTTCATTAAATGTAAAACCTGACTTCTTTGCAGAGACGATTTTAAAATCTATTGCATTTGTTTCAAAATTATATGCTATGGTAACTTCTGAAGGTAATGGATGTCCTTCCGCAGTAAGTTGTTCTCTCACTACCGTTTGAAGCTTTGTGTTAAAAACTTTCATGTCATCTCCTGTATCTAAGTTCACATACACAGCAACAGGAAAACTATCTTGCTTCTTTGTTTCATCATTATATCTCAAAACATTAAAATTCTTCAATAATATTGTTCTTCCTGCTGGAATACTTCGAACCTGTCTGATTTCAATAGCTTTCTCACCTCCTACATACTCTACCCAATGTCTTGGATATTCATAAGTATACTGACTTTCTTGAATTTTGGTTGGTTTCATCATAACGTGTTCATAGTATATCTTTATACTCTTGTCAGTTAGACTCGGTGCTATGTTCTGAATATTTCTGACTTGCATTTTTAATGGAGATAAAATGAAGCATTTAATACATGACGTAGATGAAGACATGAATGAAACTACAGACAAACTTAACTCTTCTCTTATTCTTCCTTTCAGCAAAGATTATGAATTCTGTTCAAATGGTGTATATTTCTATTGTGGAAAGATGGGTTCAGGTAAGACATTTAACCTCATTCGTCATATACTCATAACAGAGCGTTTAGGAAACGACTCTTACTATGACCAAATCATTATATCAGCAACTTCAGACTCTATGGATTCAACAGCGAAAACATTTATATCAAAAGTTCAAGCCTCTGTCGTTAAAGTTCCAGATAGCGAACTCATTGAATTTCTTCAACGTTATATTCGACGTAAGAGGAAATATTATGCTATTGTAGAGTTCATACAGTCAGGAATGCAAAAGACTTCAGAAGAGATGGAAAGAATTATTGACAAACACCACTTACGTCAGTACTCAGGAGTTTACGATATGAAACGACTGACAAACTACATTCTATCAAAACTTTCAAAATACCCCTTCAAAAAGTATCCTTCAAACACTCTGCTCGTTTGTGACGACTTCGCCGGAAAAGGTTTAGTGTCAAAACCAGACTCACCATTAGCTAACATCATAACTAAAGTCAGACATTACCACTTAACTGTAGCAATACTTATGCAAACATGGCGTTTCCTTGCTTTAAACATATAACGTCTCATAACTGACTTCGTTATCTTTCAAGGTTTCTCACGCTATGATATTGAACTCATTTGGAAACAGTCAGGTATAACATTACCTTTTGAAGAAATTTGGGAAGCATATAAGTCTCTCATCTCTCCTCGTTCATACCTTGAGATTCATATCATGACTAATACCATTAAAGTCAAAAATATTCCATGGGAACGACCAACATTGTTTTAAAGTTTAACCTTCAATTGACTGATAGTAAACAAATTCCATGCATCTCTGTCGCCATTTCTGTTAATATTTTTGCTGTCATTCATATCATCCACTTCCCCATCCGTTAGCTTTTGAGGATATGCGTTAGAATAGCTGTTCTTAAATGAAGGCTTTTCACCTTTGAGAGCATAAACTCTATAACTTTCTGCATACTTTATGTTTGAACCTCCTGAGCCATCATTGACATAAATTTTTATAGGCTTCCACCCTTTGTTCATATTCCTGCTTCTTCCCTTTGCTCTTTTGTTCAGTAGTTCTACATCTTTATACACAGCTCCTGTCTCAGTGAATTCAACAATATTTTCATTCGTTAGCTTTACATTCAAACCCTTGTCGAGTATATTGTTCATTTCATACATATAAAAGGTTTTTATTCTATATGAAATGAGAAGCAAATCCATCTTAGCTGGTGCCGTTAATGTTCCAATTGAACCAACATCAAATGTTGACTCACGAACGACAAACAATATTGTCATAAAGAACTATAGTTCGGAGTGTTTGAAAGAAAAAGAACCAGAGCTGAAATCCGTGAATTTAAACACAGCTTCAAACGCTAACGCTACATCAGATGTTAAGTTAGAGTATCCACCACTGGACCAAATTCTTTCAAGAGAAGCCAACGACAACCCTTACACAAATGTTCAAACAAATCCTTCAGATAACGTAGACCATTACCTTCTTCAGTTATACCAAACAATTTTACTCAAAGACGATAAGAAGCTTTTGACAAATCTTATAAGTAAGAACCAAATAATTCTAACAAAGGAGGACCTTGAAAATATTATATCACGAATAACAGGAAAGCAATGTGTCATTGACTATCTCGACCCTGAAATCGAATGCTGTGGTCAAACTCCAATATTCATGAAAATAGGTAACATCCGCATCATTGAAACACCAGGTACTCCAGGAGTTGAGTTTAAGTATAAATATTCGAACGAGTATACAAAACTATCTACTTACTATAAGCTTTGTTTGAAATATGTTTTAGTAAATTAAAGCAATTTGTAATATCTATCCAAAACTTCTTCAACAGTATCGAACTCATCTTCATAATGCAAACCTAATCTTATTGACTTGGTGCAGTTTTCACTAACACAATATTTTTCTGTTCTCTTGACTGACATAACTAACTCATTTGTTTCATCAAACAGCAACAACCAAAGTTCATGACCTAATACATAACATTCATACTTTATATTTTTAGCTCTGAGTTCTCTTGTAAGCTGTTGCATTTAATATTTTCTAAAAAGTCAACTTCAACAGTCATTCGCACTGGTGCCTTCAGTTCTACAGGCTCTCCTTGAAAGTCAACAAGTCTGAATTGCATGTCTTTCAAATTATGAGGACTAATGCGAACCCATTTACCTAAATGAGTTGCTATGACAGGAACGTTTGGAATGAACATTGAATTTACTTCATAACAGAAGGATTTATATTCTACTGAACCTTTACTATTAACTCCTGAAATACCTGTGACATTAGCTATTTTTGACTCAATGTACAAACAATTGCCATAACATACGTATGGAACAGATTTCATCTCAATCGTTTTGTCAACACTTTTCAAAGGAAATGTCATATGGTATGCTCCCAAAAGAAGTTGTACTCTATGACTCATTCTTGGTATCTTAAACTCTTTCGCATAACTGAACTTCAAAACTCCTGCAATAAGTTTAACATTCATTAAGTTTTCTCCGTTATCCTTGTTTATTGTAGTATTTATGAGAGCATTTAACACTCCAGCTAATGTTTCCATCTTATATTCTACATTATTGTGAAATCTTATTTCGTGCTTCTTTCCATCTATTTCAAGCTCCATGAAATCTGTTTCGTCAGTTATAACGAATGAAGCAATAGTATTAAAGTCAACCATTCTGAATGCAAGTGGCTCATTCTGTAGACCTAAGTTTGTTTGTAGTTTTACTGTCCCGTATTCGTTTGGGTCTGTACTTTGCAAATAGAACAACATTTTATTCTCATTAAAATATGAGTATAGCTGCATATGCGTATGAAGCTGACAGAGCTAAACGTTTATATTTTGGTCAATACTCTCTCACACTTACTGACAAATATATTGTTATCAGTGATGGAAATACCGAGAAATACATAACATGGAAGGACTATGAAAAGTTTGACCCCATTTTAACTCCATGCACTATGCCATTCATTGTAAATGGTGAAGTTGTCATGAAGAACGACACAACAGTATATAAGTCTGTTCATGAAGCGTTAGAATATATGTTGAATTATAATCCCGAAAGATTTGACCCAAGCACTACGCCATGTACAATGCCTTTTATTAAGGATGGTGAAATCGTAAGAGTTCCGAATTCAACGGTTTACACAGCTGTTCAAAACAGTTTACAAAACATTTTAGCGAATATCTTTAATTCAGAAACTACAGAAATAAAATTACCATATATAACAGATGCTAAAGAAATTAAATCAAAAACGACAACATTATTTACGTCACTTAATGATTTAATGACTTATATCATTAATATTCCTGCACCAACTATAGCATTTGATCCAAACTCGACGGTTTGCAGTGTACCTTTCATAAATGACAGTTCATTAATTACTTTAAGGGATTCGACAGTAAATGAATCATTAAAGGCGTCATTAATGAAAATCATTGATTTTAATTCATTCATGAATACATATAATTCATTCATTAATGTTTCATATGCTTCTAAAGAAGGTGAGCCAAAAACTATCGATAAAGCGGTGTATGAAATAAAAGCATCAACGACGAAATTGAATTCGTTAACTTTTGACGGTGATAGTTCGTAATGACATAACATCGGGGAAAACAATTTTAACGAAAGAATATTTAAAATCTCATGTTAGTGAGTTCGTTGAAATTGAAAAAGAAGGTGGAATTAAGTTCGATCCACTGAATTTCATTTTCAGCTTAGCGAATGCGGGTATTAATTTTGCTGAATCGACAACAATGCAGAGTGAAATAAATGCAATATGGACGTTTTTGGGGTCAAAAGCGGGAATGGGTGAGCTTGTAAATGCTGCAAGAACATTAGGTGAAACAGGAAATTTTGTAGATGGTTTTAAAAGACTTGTTTCAAATGTTTTAACAAACACAAAGAAATTATTTAGATATACCATACATAACGGTCAGATTTTCGAACAGGTAGCAACAAACCCTCCGGTTATAGCTGCGTTGATGATGGTTAGAGATATAAAACCACGTAACGACGGGAACGAAGAACATGAACAACAGGATACTGGTCGGGTTATTCGAGACATTAAAAACGTGTATCCTGAAGTTATTGATTTATTTAGAGGAGTTAATGATTCAATTTCAAAACATTCTATAACCCTCGATGAAGAGAATAAATTAACAGATTATATATTTCGTCATTATTGCAGAATTAATGAAGAGAATAAATGAAAAAGGAATTGGTGATATCATTAATGTCAGCGATGTAATGATGAAAAGAAATTTTGACTCATTATTTACAAAACCGAAAACAGAATATAGTCTTTATGACGTAATTACCGAATTAATGAAAAAGATTAATGATAATAAGAGTTCTGGCGGAAGAGTTGAATTAGAAGTGAATGATGTTAATGAGAAATTAGCCGAAAAAGCAAACAAAAATGAGCTTTTAGCTCTGAGTGATAAAGTCAAGAACCACGTTCATTATATAACTTCAGACGAACAGATTATAACGGACTACCATGGATATTTAACACGAAGTGATGAAGTGAAGACGGAAGACCCCAATGAAAGAAGATATAAATACATTCGTGCTAAAGGTTATGACATAAGCTGTACTGTACAGTATGACACGGTAAAAGCACCAGAAGCATTTAGTTATAACGATGAAATTTATGCCTCTACTTTCTCTGTTAAAGGTGTATTAGTTGAACCAAGATTTACTTTTGAGAGTTAAGTCAAAAATAACGTTTGAAGATGCTATTAAAAGTAAAGCTGACAAAGTTGAACTCGAAGCAATGAACAAAGTTTTGAAATCTCATAAACACAACATCTCCGATATAAATGAACTTCAAGCTACATTAGACAGTAAAGCCGACAAGAACCATACACATAAATCCTTCACTACTGTTAGAGCAGACGACATAATATTGAACTTTGACCTTGGTTCAAATGCACCATTAGAGAATCCAAGTACAAGCGTAAAAGATACACTTAAACAATTTAGATAACAGTTGCAGGAATATCGAAGATCATGCCAGAAACTTTGAAGCACATGAACTACCAGCAATGTTAGAAGAAAGCAGACAAAAACCATACACATAAATCCTTCACTACTGTTAGAGCAGACGACATAATATTGAACTTTGACCTTGGTTCAAATGCACCATTAGAAAATCCAAGTACAAGCGTAAAGATACTCTTAACAATTTAGATAACAGTTGCAGGAATATCGAAGATCATGCCAGAAACTTTGAAGCACATGAACTACCACAATGTTAGATAAGAAAGCAGACAAAAACCATACACATAAATCCTTCACTACTGTTAGAGCAGACGACATAATATTGAACTTTGACCTTGGTTCAAATGCACCATTAGAAAATCCAAGCACAAGCGAAAAGATACTCTTAACAATTTAGATAACAGTTGCAGGAATATCGAAGATCATGCCAGAAACTTTGAAGCATATGAACTACCAACAATGTTAGATAAGAAAGCAGACAAAACAGAGCTTCAAACATTAAAGACTGAAATACTTCAAACATTATATCCTGTTGGTTCTTTATATACGTCAATGAACTCAACAAATCCGGCAAGTGTTTTAGGTTTTGGTACGTGGGAACAGATTGTAGATAAATTCCTCTATTGTGCGAACTCTTCAAAGCAAACAGGTGGTTCGAAGAAAATTAAAGAAGCAAACCTTCCACCGCACACTCATACAGGAACTACAAACACAACAGGTAGTCATTCACATTCAATAACAAAAAGAGGTTATACAAATCTTGCAGCAGGTTCGGATAGACAGGGAATGCATAGATATGATATTTCAAGTGACCCAGTAGATTCAAGCGCAGGTATTTTCTGTGGAACCGCAGGAAATCATTCACACACTTTCACAACAAATCCAACAGGCTCAGGTGAAGATTATATGCCACCATTTGTGACTGTATTCGCATGGTATAGAGTTCAATGAACGCGCTTGAGCCTTGAATAAAATCTTTAACTTTACATAAATGAGCTTGAAAGAAGTATTCGAACAACATCCATGGAGGTCATTTAAGAAGTTCAATGAAGCTGCAAAGAGTTGGGGATTTACTAACAGAGCTGAAGTGAAAAGGTTCTTTGACAAAAATGTTGTACATCAAACAAAAATAAACCCTTACGACTACTTTTTACCAATTTACTCCAACACTCCTGACGCATACCAATTTGACACTCTCATTCAAAGCAGAAAAGGAGGACATAACCCATTCCTCATCTTCATAAATGTTAACACTCGCAAAGCATATGCATATCCAATGAGGAATAAAGGAACTCGTGAAGTGTTAAGAGTTTTACAAAAGTTTGTAGCAGAACATAGCCCAAGTACTTTAACATCAGACCAAGACAGTGCATACCTCAGCAATGAAATCACAGATTTTCTCATTAAGCATAACATAACTCACTACACTACTGAAGACCATAACCATAACATACTCGGTATCATTAATCGCTTCATAAGAACGCTCAGAGATTTAAATCAAGAGCGAGACTTTACCGAAGAAACAATGAAACATTTTCTCGAAGTATATAATTCCTCAACACATTCTACAACAGGACATACACCAAATTCAATGACACAACAACAAGAAGAAAAGTATATACAAAAGAAACGAAGCCAAACACAAAATATCAGAAATTCAACACAATTTACCCTCATTCCTGGTACAAAAGTTCGTGTAGTTCTTGACGACAAACCGTTGACAAAGAAACGTTTAAGGTTAAGTCGAAATTATTATATAGTAGACTCTACGCAAGGTAATGGATATCTTATAAAAGCTGCCAACGACTCTATTGCGTTTTATCCTCGTCATAAATTAGTCGAAAGTAGTAATGGCAAACTTGCTGAAACCATTGACGAAGCAAAGCGAGGAGTGGTTATTGAAATACTTGGCTATAACACAAACGATGACACTTATAAAGTAAGATATGAAGGAGGCGTTGAAGATGTTATACCATCTAAGAACTTGAGAGAGTCGAAGCCAACACATCTGGGACCATTAGAGCGGGAGTACTGGAAAGACAAAAATATGCCAGAAAGAATAAGAAAATTCTTCTAAACTTTTTCATTAGATGTAAATCAGACAAAAATATAATTTAGGTGAAGAGGTGAGATCTCACCCGTTTTCTCACCTGTTTTTTCACCCTCATGAATTTTCATGAATTTCCTTAAGATAGAAAAATAAAGTTAGTTTTATTTTTATTTATTTTTTTATTTTGTATGTAAAGACAGTAATGTCAGTCGAAGCAAAAACATTCACTAACAAATCTAATGGCGAAACATTCACAAAAGGCACTTATAACGGTATTGAAGTCTTACGTAGAGACAAGGATGGTTACATTAATGCAACAAATATGTGTCAGCAGTTTAGGAAAGACTTTAGAAAGTTGTTGGAAAATAAGTCCTGGGAAGAGTATTATAAGGCATTTTGTGAAGAATATAGCAACCGTCTGAATTCCGGCGGTTGCTTTTTATACAAAATTCATGCAGGAATTCCTGATGAAATCAAACAGGTTAGAGGAACGTATGTAGACCCAAGACTTATAAACTATATAGCAATGTGGACTTCTCCAAAATATTGCATAGCAGTTGGAAAAATTATGGATTCCATAGACAAGAAAGTTCATGAGAAGTTAGATGAAGAAGAACTCGAAGATACAGTAGAGAATGCTAAACTTTGTTCGAACAAGAAGTTAGAAAAATGCGCGAAAAACAATTAGAACATGAATGTGAGATATGTTATGGTTATAGAGATTCTTCATACGAACTAGACCAATGGGAACAAGAAGATTTAAAGAGAGAATTTAGAGAATATGAACTCGCTAAGATAGCATTAGAAGCTGCAGAAAAGAAGTTAAAAGTTTGGGGTCGTTTTGTACAAAAATATTGTGAGTAAATGAACCATTTATTTTTATCATAAACGACCAAAAATATATGTTTACGTTAATGTTTTTAGGTTATTCAATAATTAATTATTTTGAAGAACTGAAGGTGTCACTCGGTTAATTAACATCTCTGAAAAATGATGACAACATGACATCACATTTTGACGAAGTGCAAATCTTCACTTCGTGTCAAAATGCAAAAAAATAATGCTGAAAATGAAATATATTTTTGGTCAAAGCTTCCACGAGAGAAAAGATTCCCCATTCGCTAAGGATTCCAAAAATGAAAAAATCATTGATTTCGGCTGAGAAAAACAGCAAAACCCTTCTTCCACGGGAACAAAGAAATAAAGAAGAAATAAAGTAAATTTTTTATTTATTCCGTGGAAGATAGAGCACTTTTATGACACTTTTTATTCACGACAAACAAGACAAACAAAGAAAATAAGAAAATACGGCGCTGTCGCGGTTCGAACCACAGACCCTGACCCCTCCATAACACCACCTTAGACCACTGTGCTACGTAGCCTGTCGACATAAGATTTTATAAATTGCATATTTGACGTAAATTTATTTCCATCTAGCTTCCCACCGCATAAGATATTCATACGTGTTTGTAAGACATTCATTAAACTTCTTTTCTATTGCATCTAATCTTGCGTTATTTTTTTCAATAACTTGTCTGTATTCTTCATCATCTCCAGCAGTGTTTGGGTCTTCACGTTTAAAATATTCATTGTTAACCAATTTTTTATCTACAAATTTTATTAGTGTTTGATTCACTTCGTTATGATAACGGTCATATTCTTTCAATACGTAAGTGAAGACAAAATGCGTCGTACCTTCAATCTTAAAGCTTAAAGAACTTTCAACACAGTTTTGAGGGTCTGTCAGTGCGTCAATGAGATAGTATTCGAAGTCAGTCAATAATCTTTTTAAAGTCATTTCATACAGGATAAAATTTAATGTTGTGAAGAAATAGTGTTTATCTCAGAAAAAATAAAGTTAGTTTTATTTTTATTTATTTTTTTATTTTGTATGTAAAGACAGTAATGTCAACATCAGAGAACACAACAATTGCTATCGTTCATGAAGCCATAAATGAAGAATACGAGTACATACAGTATAACAAACAGTTACGTCTTATTCGTTCAGTCAAAGATGACATGTACCAAATGCAAAGTATTTTGAATGCTCTTCTTTCTACAAAGCAAGCATATCATTGGTTTGAAAACCAACAGGCAAAAGAACTTTTAGAAGAATTTCCTCATATGATTGCTTCCCTCGGAAAACCGAGGGAAGAGATTCCGTACGAAAATCGCAAGAATTTGGCTCCTGGTTTGAAAGGTTATTATGTTCATAGACTTTTAGTAAATGCTGTAGCAATGTGGGCTTCACCTCGTTATGCTTGTTATATTTTCATGATGTTAGATGAACTATATAAAGCAGAACGTGGAGAGATGGAAAAGAAACTTCAAGCAAAAGATGAAGTCATTGAATCCAAAGACAAAAGCATACAGAAAAGAATACCACGTTCAGTACCAAAAGGAAAGGAAAAAAGCTATAAGTATATGATTTACGCTGAAGAGTTGGAGAAAGAAGAAGATAGAGATATGGTTATGTTGCATTTAGTGAGAAGAAACAACAAGAGCTTTTATGACTTAGCTAAGATATATAAATCTGACAGAAACTGGTTCTATCGTGAAAACTTACCGATTTCAATGACACCGAATGAGCAAATAAAGGAAATTGTCAAAAATACTCTTCCTCAAACACACTATGACATCAAAGGTTGCACAATACTTACATTTAAAGAAGACTTAACATTACTGAAAGAAAAGATAACAGAATATTTCGACAACTTCAAAGAGGAAGAATGAAAACTTACCGATTTCAATGAAAAACATTAACTTTTTTGACGAAGTGAAGATTTGCACTTTGTCAAAATTTAATGAAAAACATTAACGTAAACATTAACGATAAAATTTATTTCCTGGACTGTTGTCAAAATGTCATGTTGTCATCATTTTTAAAAGAAGTTAATTAACCTGGTAGCACATGGTGACGTGGTGACACTTTCAGTTATTCAAAAATATATTTTTGCTTAAATAACTTCAGGGTCAATTTCTTCAACCATTTCACTTCCTTCGTCAATGTCAATTGAAGCTTCTTCAACCTTTGGTAAGAATTTCTGTATAACATCTTTGTTCGTTATTGTCTTCAGAGATGAAGGATAATATTTCACATTTGTTTCACCCTTCTTATATTCTTTCTGTTCGGAAAGATTTAAAGCAATACTGAAGAAGTCAATATTAGAGTTCTTTATAACAGTATAATGAGTATCTTTGACATTCACGAAGAAACTCTTTTGTTTCAAAACTACTGCTAACTCTTGTGAAGTATAACGTTTGCGGTCAATGACGATAGCTAATGGTCTGACATACTGACCAAACTTAGATTCTTTCACAAACTTCTTGTTAAAGATAACATTAACATTTGAAGCATTATTGAACTCATTCTTGATGGCAGTAGCGAGAGCATTGTATGAAAAGAACTTGCAATCTTGCATGTGTTTCATTAAAATAAAAATATTAAATTATTTTGAAAAATAACTTTAAAAAATCTAATCTAATTTTTTCAAAAATATTTTTTTATTTCCTACTAAAGATGTATCGGAAGTTGTCTAAGTTAGAACACTCGGAAATAAAACAACTTCTTACAGAAGCTAACATAGAAGTAGCAAAGCATTACGCAACAAACAAAAAAGCACTCGCTGACATCCTCAATGACTATAATGGTGCAATAAGTTATGATAGAATTCATGAGTTCATAAAGCCGCAACGCGGCGAGGACGAAGTCCATGCAAGAGCATTTCCTTTAAATGACGTTGCTATTGACTTATATCATAGACGTTCAGTACCTCATGAAGTAAGAAGAGAAATGTTTGACATAACAAATGCAAACGTTGGTCATACTCGTAAAGCTCTTTCGCATGATGTTCGTCAAGAGATGTTTGACATAACAAATGCAAACGTTGGTGAAACACGAAAGAGAGACGACACACTGAAACAACAGAGAAGAGAGATGTTTAAGAGCGCTATAGAACAAGTTCGCAAAGCTAACGATGTCATTCGTTCCATTGACGACAAACCAAAAGAAGGTGAGAGATGGTTAAAGAAAGATGAAGAGAATAGGAAGAGAAATGTGAAGTCAGGCAATAGACTCATTGACTTTAACATCGAAGCTTTAGATGAACCAAACAGAGACTACTTACACAAACATTTCGGTAAGGTTTTCATGAGACTCTTAGAGAAGATTAAAATAAACTCCCAACAAAGATGGATGGTATGTTATAAACTTGGTGGAAAGTATGAATGTTCTACGTTAAACCTCAATAATATTGGAACATTACTACATCAGCTCTTGAAGGAGAACTTTATATCAGAGATAGAAGCAAATGCTGCAGGTATTGTTGAAATGCACTATGACTTCTTCTTGACAAACATAAAGAATCTTACTGAAATAAAGATGTATGATTTAACTGAATATGAAGGCTTAACGATGTCAGATGTAAAGAAAGGCAAACCAAAAAAGAGACCATATAGAGATGAAAGCACACTGACAGAAAGACAGAAAAGATTATTGAACAGACTTAAACAAACAGGAGATAAACAAGATATAGATGACTTCTGGAATGAAATCCTTGGTGAAAAGAAGTTTTATAAGAAGAGAAGCGGTCAGTTCTGGAAGTATCTTTGCACATTACCTATAAATCTTGAACGCTACCAAATCTTCAATGAACTGAACAAAAGAACTGCAACACTTATGACAGAGGACAATTGTTTCGTTTATGCTTGCATTCAGGCTGGAGTAAATGAAGAAACTATTGACCACATGAGAGAAGTCATTCGTGTTAGAGACTTTCCTCAAAGTAAAGTACAAGAAATTTCCGATTCAACAGGTATAGCATTCAATGTTACCATTGGTTATTTCAATGACTCAAGACATAATGAAATAAAGAGATACATACCAAAAGAATGTAAAACTGTTCGAACTATTGACTTACTTCTTGTTGAAGACCACTACATGCTAAACGAAAGATTACCAATGACAACATATTTCATTCGCAACTATATAGAAATCTTGAAGGAGTGTGGTGGAATGAACATTGAAAACAGATGAAAATATATACAATGAGAGATGATAAATACATTGTTCGCATGGATAGAACTACACCGCTATGGGATGTTATGAAAACATTGTGGGAGTGCAAATATTTCGAACCTATTTCTTATGGAGAACTTTTCACATATACGACTGACTTATATAAACAGAACCTTGCACCATTTAAAGATTTGACATATGCTCCAAAGTATTGTGTACAACTGAAGAAGAAAGCAGAGTCAAAAGAAGTAAATAAAAATAAGTGCAAGTTCATTCCTGAGCATGTTTTCTTTGCTGACTTTGAGTGTAGTACCGATGGCTTTCATAAAGCTTTTAACATCTGTTATGACAGTGAAGATGGTTCAGTGAGTGAAAGCATATGGGGTCAAAACTGTGCAACAGAATTTTTGGAGCGACTTCCTGACAAGAGTTTAATATATTTCCATAACCTCAGCTATGATATAAACTTCATCTTAAGACACATGACAGAAGTGAAAGGAACTCCCATCATTAAAGGTTCACGAACAATGCAAATAACTTTATATAAAGGAAGGGCAATTATTATAAAAGACTCTTACAGTGTTATAAATAAGAAGCTTAAACTATTTCCTGCTATGTTTAACTTACAAACAGGACCGAAAGAAGTATTTCCATACAACTACTACAGCAGTGTTTTGTTAGCAAATGACAACAGAACTGGTGTCATTTCTGAAGCATGTAAGTTTGTAAAAGATATTGAAACGTTCATGAAGAACATAGATTCCATCAAAGGTTGCAGAATAGATGAAAACCACTTCGACTTAGAAAAATATAGCACGTTTTACTGCAAACAAGATGTAAGAATTTTAAGAGAAGGTTTTGTAAAGTTCCGCAATGACTTATTGAAAGAGTTTGATTTAAACGTTTATGACTACGTTAGTATTTGTTCTATTGCTAACAAATTGTTTGAGAACAGAGTGTACTTCCCGAATGGAAATCTTTATGACCTCTCAAATAAACCAAGAGAATTTATTTCAAGATGCATTCAAGGTGGAAGATGTATGTTGTCAGATAACATTAAACAAAAGAGCAAAAAGAAACTCATTGCTGACTTCGACGCTGTTTCATTATATCCATCAGCTATGCAAGACTTTATACTTTAGAAGGAATTCCAAAAGTATTGAAGGATGAGATGTTAAGCACAGAGTATTCATGAGACATTTATTCGATGACGACCAAAAGGAACCCATTGGTGAAAAGTTTATGTCTGGCTTCTTTGTTCTCATTAAGATAACAGAGATTGGAATACATAGACACTTTCCTTTAATAGTTTGTGACCCTGAACTAAATCCAGAACTTAACGTTCCCAGAAGTTCAAACACTTGCTGTTTAATGTATGTTGACCATATAACATTACAAGACCTTATAAAATATCAAGGTGTCAAATGTGAAGTGTTGCAAGGATATTACTACGATGGAAACAGAGATATTAGAATAAGAGATGAAGTAAAGAAGTTGTTTGAGTTAAGGTTAAAGTATAAGAAAGAAGGAAATCCTTTGCAAGAAAATATAAAGCTCATTCTGAACAGTATTTATGGCAAAACTATTCTATCTCCTATTGAGTCAAAAATAACCATAGTAGATGACAAAGATGCTATAAGATATGCCATCAGAAACTACAACCATATAGTGAAGTTCGAAGGTTTGGATGGTTCAGATAAAACTATTTTCAAGCTAACGAAAAGCATTTGCAGACACTTTAACTTCTGTCCACTTGGTGTTAACATTCTGTCTATGTCAAAACGTATTATGAATGAAGTGTTTTGCACGATTGAAGACTTAGGATTAAAAGCATTTTATCAGGATACAGATTCGATGCACATTTACAATGAAGACATACCACGTTTAGCTCATGAATTTAAGAAGAGATACGGTAGAGAACTTATTGGTAAAAACCTTGGTCAGTTTCATAGTGACTTCGCAGAAATAACACCTGGAAAACAAAGTTTAGCATACAAGTCAATATTTTGTGGAAAGAAGACTTACATAGACTTACTCACTAACGATTTAAATGAAGTTGCATTTCACTGCAGAATGAAAGGCGTGAAGCAAGATGTTATTGCTTTAACCGCTAATGAAATGTTTCCTGAAGCTATACAATGCTATTACAATGAAGATAAAGGTTTAATGGTTCCGCAAGGAAAATTTGACAAAGACTCTGAGTTCAGTGTCATGAAACTTTATAAAGCACTTTATGACGGTCAAGAGATTGGATTTGACTTATGTAAGTCTTCTAGTCCTTGCTTTGCTGAAAAGTTTAACTTCTCAATAACGACTAAAACAAGCTTTATTCGTAAGTTGAAGTTCTGAGGTCATTTATTTTTGTCAGCAATGAGGTCATGAATGAGGTCAGCAATGAGGTCATGAATGAGGTCATTTATTTTTGTCAGCAATGAGGTCATTCATGATAAAAATAAGCCGCTAGCGGCAAGGGCGAAGCCCATGTGGTCATTTACAATACTGCGATGGTAGAGTTTAAGAGTTGTGCTTCAATGTAGAGACAGTCCTTATGGTCTGGAGGTAAGAACACTGGGCAGTTATGGTCATGAGTGGAGAACATGTCTATCCAAAACTCACGATTGAAGCCAGTTAATTTATAGTATTTAGGGTTAGGAAGTGGTGTAGTTCTTGTATGACCAATGAACTCATTTTCAACTCCCTTACTTAAGTTTGAATATAATATAGCTTGCTTTCTATCCCAAATGCCAGGTGTTACAATCTTTGAAAATTCATTTTTCCTCGGAAGCATTGCATCATAATTGAAAACATTCTTGAAATCATCACTTGGTTCAGAGATTTGAAATCTTATACGTAATGGATTTTCTTTCTCTTTAGCTACTTCATTGAATGGTGAGAATACAACAAACTGACAGTCATGAGTTCCATCTTCATTTTCATTAAATTCATAATGAAAGTCTATAAGTTGTGGCTGACTACCTTCTTCTTTCAGTTGTGCAAGAAACTCACGTAAAGGCTGTAAAGTTTGTACTTCAATGTTAAACTTTTTCTCGAACATTTCATTAAATGAAATCATACATTGCAACAATGTTGTATCGTCTTTAAAGTATTTGTATATGTGAATGTTTTGGGCGCTTAAAGACTGTTCGTCATTTTCTATCTCGACTTGAAGTATAAAGTCAACTTTCCTAAATGCACGTGTTATATACATAGATGTTATGCCAATGTACTTCTCTTCATTTATGTTCACAATCCAGTCTGTTGGAAACTTAAACGTTACTCTGTTCCCCTTTATTTTGACGTCAGGGTTTTCACTACTGAACGCAACAGATAAAGGTATTTGTCTATACATTTAGTTCCAATAAAAATAAACCATTTACTCTTTCTTCACTTCAGCTTCTTTAGCTTTTGCTTCAGCTTCTTCTCTAGCTTTCTTCGCGAGCAAACGTGGGTTCTTCTGTCTTCCAGCAGCTAATGCAGCTAGTTGTTTTTCACTAAGTTTTCTCTTTGGTCTCTCTGGCTTTTGTTCTTGTTTTTGTTCCTTCAGTTCGGATAAAATTTGCTCGCGAATTTCTTTCTTCAATGCTTCAACATCTATGACCCCTTGGGTCTTGTCCGTAGGACTTGTCTGAGTCATTTGACTGCAGATAAAAAACAAAATTAAAACTTTAACCGATGTAAAATGAGCTTGTCAAAATCAGAACGAGAGTCTATTATATTAAATGACGCCAGAGGAATACAACATCCTTTCTATTACGTAAGTCAGAGTAAAGATGGTAAAATATATGTAAGAAAAAGAAAGGTTCCATTAGCGAATGCAGAAAGCGACAACATTAAGGTGCATGGCAAGGGTGAAGTCCACGAAGCCCATATAAAACCTTCTGTTCAAACTGAGCCACCAAAAGAACCAGAAGAAAAGAAGCCAGATGTACTTTCAATAACGAACCAAGAGCTTATTGCAAAGTTCGTGAATTTCATTGAAAAACAAACCGAGTCAAAGAACCCTGACCCGCCAGTGAAAGAAGTTGAGACAAAAGAGAATGTACAGTTCATTGAAAATGTCAAGAAACAACTTCCACCACGAATGCCAAGAAGAAGAGTGAGAATAATGAAGTAAATAGATATTTTTATCTGAAGTAAATACATGCAGAACGAACAGCTAAACGAATTTACTCCAGCAGAGCATATTCATCAGATTCGCTCATATTTCGATATCATAGACAATGCAGTTCAAATTGGTGACACTAATAGAAAATATTCTGACGCAAAGATTCCATCACAACCTGGAACTGCTAAAGATAACACATGGGTAACATTCAATCTCTCACCTCCTGGTGAAAATATGTTGGACCTTTACAATACATTCATTACGTATAAAATGGAAGGTCAATTTATTGTAGATAAAGAAATTGGTTCAGGTTCCAATAAAACAAACCCACCAGGATTTTGGATTGGTTTCGATGACGCTTTCTATGCAGTTGCTGGATATCAAATCCTTGCAAATGGTCGTATCGTATATTCTCAAGACAACGCAAGAGAAGAAGCATATATAACTTCAAACTCACAAACTACCGAACAAATAAAGAAAGTAGATGTTTTCTCAAAGACTCGACATGAAGATGTATGGAGTCATTCGGGAACATGCAGAACAGGACAAATTGTTAGTGGTCCAATTACAGCAGGAAAATCATTTGATTTTAAGCTTCGTTTAAGAATTCCTGTTAGAAGATTCCTTCCATTAGAAGCTATTCGATTTATTCCAGCTTTTGCAGGAAACATTCAGCTTAAAGTAAAGTTCAGTAGCGACGCCTTACAATGCACATCTATATCTGTAAATGATATCATTGCTTTCAATCCAACTCTTAAAGTTGCATTTGCTTCAGATTCAAATCCACCGACAAATAAATTTGTTCCATGGAATGAACCATTCACTATGATAACGAAGGCAGTAGAAGCTAGTGGAACAGTTACTATTACAACTGTAACCAGCAACTATTTCGAACAAAGATGGATTTTAATGAATGTTTCATTCATCCAAAGTCATTCTCTTTAGACCCTAACATTTATACAGAACTTGTAGAACATTATACAAACGAGGCTTTATGTTTTCCTGTTAAAGTTATGGATTGGATTCCTATGGACGGTTCATTCTCAAAGAATACAGATAGTTCAAGTGCAACATTTACAGCAGCTTATACGCCTATTAATGTTAAAAGTATTTGGGCACTATTTAGAAAGAAAGACAACTATTATGTTAATTTTGAGAACCCTAAGTTTAAATATCTTCAGCTTTCCATGGGAGCTTATGGAAATATGCCTGCAGAACCTGAAAAATCATATGGACCTGTATTTTATGAAATGGTTGCGAACGCTTGCAATACAAACAATGATATGATTGGATTTAATGAAGATGTTATGAGGTCATTGGTGGATGATGGTAGTGTGGAACATAAATGGGATAGCTATGACAACACACATTTCTTATGTGGTTTTCCAACAGAAGTGGACTTTTGCTTCCAGCAAGGTCAAACATCTACTGCTCCAATAACATACAAATTGTCTGTTAAAGGACCTATTGAACTAGCAACTGAAAACGTACCAAAGCCACTTATTGGATTTATGAGGGATTGTTGCTTTGCCATTCAGGTGCGTGCTAATGGCATCCCCAATAATAAGATTAGATGACTATAACTTAGCTACGGACGACAGTGAGGAATAAAGGATGAACGTTTATTTTTAAAGCTTATAAATGAGTTCTTCATCAAGCTCTCGTGAACCTTCACCATCTATGAAACAAACTTTACCAAACGATTATGGAGCACCTATTGAATATTTCTTACGAGCTGCACAATGGCAAAGAGCAGTCTCACCAAGGTTAGGTGTTCCACCAGCTCCTGTCAAAAATAGCATTTGGTCAAGTCCTTATATAAAATATGGTCTCCCACTAGGTTTGCTAGCTACAGCAGGAGCAGTAATGATGTTGAAAAGAAATAAAGCAAATGTTGTAAATAATACTGAAGTAGCTGAAGTTAAACAAACTCCGACACCATCGCCAAAACCAACGCCTTCACAAACAACACCTTCAATGACTCCTGAACCTATGGAATTACAAACTCCTGTTCAAAAGTCAACTCCAAAACCGACTCCAACATTTAAACCAGAACCTACACCACAAATAAATCGTAAAACTCCTGCGTTTCCTTACTGAAAAAATAACGTTATTTTTATTTAATATTAAAATTTTTATTTGATTGAAATGACGACTAAAGTCACTGAAGCAATGAAACAAAAGTTTTTGGTAGAATACATTAAATCAGGAATTATTCCAGAAGGTTTTTACATTCATACTATGAAGGATGGTAGAGTTCAGTTTAGAAAGATAAAGCAACCATTAGATAAAGAAGGAATTTTGAGAAAGATTAAACTTCATGAGGACAACATTGCTGAACTTAAGAAGAAGTTAGAAGAGTTGGAGAAAGCAGACGACAGTGAGGAATAAAGCAATGAATTCAACAGGGTAGAAATGAGGTTAGAAATCGGGTTAGAAATCGGTTAGATCTCACCACTTCACCTAAATTTATTTTTGTGCTATGTTTTCATACGTGTGAGGGTGGTGATATCATTTATTTTTATTTTATTTTTTAAAATTATTTTTATTTTTTTGGATGTAATGACAGAACAAAAGCAACTCATACAAATCAAAACATATAACAAACATACATTTAAACATTTATTCTTCCTTCCTGAGCATAACATGTTCTTTCAAATACATCCGAGACCAGTTGACTTTTCATTGACTGTTTATAAAGATAGAAATAGTTATATCATTAAACCATACGATGACGAAGGTAAGTTATGTAAATTGTACGTTAAGAAGTTAGAGAAAGTTTATGGCTTCAAGTATGACTACAATAGGGTTAACACTGATGATGAAGATATTGAGGAAAATTTATGAGAACATTAGTGAAGTTGTTAGTGAGAACGATAGTGAGGTGAAATTGTTGGCGGCTTTGTAAATATTTAAGGTTAAGTTAGTTTTTGCGTTCATGTTGTAAAATATACGTTAACGGTTTTGTAAAGTGTCAAATTCACAAGTATTGGGTAAG